GCAGAAGTTTTCTAAAAATTATTTCAATAGCCTGAAGTTTCTTTCAAAAATTCACTTGTACACACTTGGTTATTTGGATATAAGGTAGAATGTTTCAGAGTAAGGGGTAAATTAATTAATTAAGTAATGGCGATAACATAATAAATAACAAAGATAACAGTGAAATTGGAAACGTTTTCGGAAGCTTTGCAATGTATCAGAGACTTATAGCTTGATTCAAACATTAAAAAATTTGATGAATAATAATTCAAAATATGTATTTTCCAAATTTGTATTACGTTTACCAGTGACGATTGTTAAGCATCCCCCGCCATCCGAAAAAATATATAGCATCTACCTCTATAGAACGTTGCTAAATTTAGATCCAATGAATAATACTTATTATTAGCACGTGTAAAAATATTTTGAGAAACACATTTCATAGAGAAAATCAATTCGGATTAACATACTGTCCTATAACAAATGTGCATTGGCTTGTGATACCTCCTACGTAAGGTATTAAAAGTATCTTTTTGATGCCTTTTTACTTTTGAAAATCGGTTTTCGATTTAGATTAAATTTTTTTCATGACGTCATACCAGACTCATGACATTAGGATTTTGGTATTGGCGTTTAAGAAACTACTAAACACCAAGATAGTCTAAGCCGTACTTTTAACTTTTGGATTTTGAGTCATAATAATATAAAAATCTGTAGAATCTTTTTTTAAACCAATTTTTGACGTATAAAACGGTTATTGAATCAAATCAAATCAACTATTTTTTTTCATCACTTTTCTTCTATAAAACTCTGCCCAGTTTGCTTTTTTCCTAGTTTTTGAGATCCCAATGAATCGTTCGATGAATATATGCTTCACTTTTAATATCTAGTGCAAACTTTTCTCATTGATCCGAAACATATTGCCTATAACAGAAACCTTCGTGGTATGATAGAAAATTTTCGCCGCAATCACTTGAACTTTTCTTCGTCGATAGAGCTGACAAAAATCGCAAGGTAAATTCAACAACACGGATTCTTACGTAGTCTGCAATCAGCAGGTGTAAATTAATTCAAGAATTAATTCACTGATAATTATGCTAAAATCAATATGCATTCGTTAGGTACATATCGGTATCTCATTTATTTCAAATGTTGAATATATTTAAATTCTCAAACACTATATACATACAATAATGTCATCTATAATGCCATAAAAAGTTTTACACTTTAATGTTTTTGACAATGTTTTAATACGCGATTCACACAGGTCCCCGGGCCAAAATAACTAATTTCGTGAGAAGAATCCAGTTAAAACCCAAAAAATTTGACTATAAAGCGTGTTCTTTAATGGTGTATAACTAAATGGAACAATTCTTAAATTAATTTTAACAAAAAAAATATATTCATATCAGAATATTGCGTTTTCCTTGTCAGATGCACCGTTCGTGATTAAAATAGGTATATTAATATATTTAAATTGTCCTATATTTCGATTATTTGCAATTAACAATAACTTATTAGTATTTACCGCCTATGCTTCAAAATAGGTTAATGTTCCTATTTAAAAATTGATATGAAGAAATAAATAATAAGAAAATCATCTGACTAGCGCCAAAAGTAAACAGTGCGACCACTTACCCTTTTTTTACCAGTTTGTTACAAAATAGTGCATAAATGTGCAAATCATTTTCTTGGAAATATTCGTTAAACGTGCTGAAATATATGTTTAGACTATTATAGCAGATATCGGTAAAAATTATAACCACAATGAAATTATGGGAAACGATGTAGGGCAATGACAATCGAAAACTAGACCACCGCTCAAAATTTGGATGGATATTTTTATTAATATTGATGCCATGATGAAGTTTAAAATTACTTTGAATGAACTTTCCGAAATCTTACGTTTCTTTAAACAAAAATGGCTAACAAGAAAGAATAAAATTTTATCCACTATTGGATGTAATTGTTTTCGCTGTCAAATTAGCTATGATAACTAAATTAATTCCTTTTGTTTTAAACCGTTGTCATGGAAACGTGAAGCAATTGCAAATATTGCTTTATAAATGTTAATTTATATCAAAACGGCATTTACGAAGCCAATTTATTTTTTGAAACAATTAACCTCCATATTACATAACAAACACAATATTTCAAAATCTGGTAAATATGTCCCTAACAACCCATATACAGACTGTCCCTTAAATGTGTGTCATTACTGAAGTGGATAGTTTTCGTTTTAAGAAAAATAAAATAGCTAAGCGTATGTCCTAAATAACTTAATTTTAACTATCCGGAGAACAAATGGCAGCGTACCTTTTTTTTTCAAAAACACACGATACAAATCACGAACTGACGTCACTAGTAATAATGAAAACAGTATTGTACCCCAAGAAAATAATTAATGTTCAAAATATATTTACTAAATTTCACAAACATAACTAGAATCGATTTTTAGACAACATAAAAAAATATTTTGGCTGAAAACTTAAACCATAAACCACCATAAACTTTAAAAGTTGATATGAACTATTTTTATCAAAATGTCAAAATATAAAAGTACTCCAACACCTAAATTATAAGTGCTTCTAGTTTTAATATTAACAAAAACATCCAATTAGTAATTTATAATTGTACCCAGCACGAAAGTTATCACGATTTAAGTTTTTATCCTTATTCGATATTTTATCACAGGAAGAATGCACGACCTATATCGCACTGAACGAAAAGCTTTAAAAGTTTTACATTGCTTTTTTTGTGTCTCTGAACTTACAGTCTCTTCCCTAAATCAATTTTGAATAAACCACACAATTTAATCAAAAAATGTTCTCAGGTGATTATTACGGGCACGCAAGATCGAAATGCGTCTGAAATCACCAATCATTTTTTTATGCGTTTTAAATAAAACTTGTTTTCTTGCCGATAAATAATTTCTATATCCGTAAAAATAAATTTTAAGCGTGTTTAAGGGCTTCGTTATGTGGCAAATGCAACATTTTTTTCATGAATAAACTCGATATATTAAATGTATTATTTTTTTCAGTAAGTCAAAATCGAGTGCAATAAAATTTCAAGTGTAGTTAGTATGTTATCGCTATCGCAATAAAGATATAAAAATATATGAAGTAGGCTTATATGTCAGCAAACTGTGTTTTGTTTTACATTTAGGTAACTTAGAGAAAACTAACCATTCATTTATAAACAAAGATGTTATAGCGGATAAAAATGTTATCGAGATAAATTCATAAAAATAAATAAATAAATGGCCTTTAAATCCCAATCCGATAATATTTTTCTCAATTCTTTACCAAAATGTTATTAACTGAACTACAATTGTATGATGGCAAAGACACCAAACGAAAACCTAACATTTAAAACGAAAAGCGTATATAGTTCATGCGACTGTCGCAGTGCAGCTTATTTGTAATGGCCGGCGTATATGACTAAGTAAGATAACAAAGTTTTTGAAAAATAATTTCATTCATATAACACATTGATATTTATTTCAGCAAGACCTTAAATTATTGACCTAAAAAATTCCAAAATATTTTAAAATTTTTTGAACTTTTCAGATTATAGTAAAAATTTATATACTAATGCTATATTTTTTCATTTCATATTTGAGTCTCCCGTGGAATACCTACTTAATGTTTTAACTGTTTTTCTTTTATCTTTCGTAGTTTGAAATATTAATGAGTTAAAACTTCCCAAAAATAAAAAAGACAGTTTCAGCTGAGTTAAAGGGCTTTTTAAAAAAATATATTACTGTCAAAACGAATTCAAATGAGGTAATCCCAAATATGCTGCTGCTGTTACAAAAAGTTGTAAAAGTACTGAGTGAATGTGCCAAAAAAAATCGCAAGGCCTACGTCGTTCAAAATTGATTATTAAATTTATTCAATTTATTTTTGGAGAAGCTTGAAATACTGCCACCTCCGATACAAAACAGTCATCAAAGTCAGTGGCATGTTTGTTGTATTGTTTATAGGAATATTTCCAGAATGTTCCAAAGCGATTTAGAGTTTTTTCTAATGATAAAAAGTAGATGGACAACATAAACAAAAAACATTCGAAAAATGAAAGGCGAGCATTGGTTGATTTTTTATATTATCGGCCAAAAAACATTTTACCGAAATTCTTGCGGTACCGGCTTTTTCAAGGTCGACCGAAAAACGTGCAGAATCAATTTAGATACCTACGCAAACTACTTTATAAAGGTTTTTTCCCTTATAAAAAAATATCTAAGTGCACTTACGAAAGTTGTGCTTCTTCTTTTCCTTGTTTTTCTTCGATTCTTCTTCTAACAAGACATCTTTTTGCATAATCTTTAAAAACAGATATTGTCGATATAATCGAGCGGATATATATAAAAAAGCGATGCGCCAAAACTCGCGATAACCGCCAAAATATCGATGTTAAAAGGAAGATTGGGAAAATGTTTTTTTGTTAATTTTTCTTAAACACGTTGCGGAACCGATGCTCGAATTCAAAGCGCGCGAATTTCTAAAGGCGCGGAGAACTACTGAAATCAAAATTTGTCCGCGAAAACATCGCGGCGTGCGATATCGGGCGGCGTTGCCACATCCAGATTTAATTTTATTTGACTGACTTTTTAGCACAAATCTCTGGTGTTAGATTTTAAAAAATGTCCGTTTGGTTTTAATATGATTTTATGGGAGTTGGAATTAAGAATAGGTATTTATCAATATTTTCCCTTCCGTAGCATCGTTTTTATATTCTATATCTTGAGAATCGAGTTTTGTACAGCAATGTATTTACTTTTTTTTTAAGTTCTAATGGAATCTACAAAGCTTTGGGAAATTTAAAATTTTTTGAAGCAGTTTTACTTTGCGTAGAGAATAATTGGGCATAGTACATGGTTGCCAAATGTTGTCTTGAACAAGCCAATTCTCTGCATTTTATTTTTGAATTTAGTCAGTCGAGTCATTCGAGTTATAGAAAATAAATGAGAATTTACTAGCTCACTAGTCACTACATGTAGTGCAAGTAAATGAAAACAATTTCCTTAAATAAAATTTAATATGCCCACTGTTTAACAAATTTTGCATTACTTAACACAAATAAATATATTTTATGAAATGAACACAAACCAAAAGAGAGAGTAAGAGCTATAGTTCCCTAGGGTTATTCCTCGAGGCCTCCTTATATGAGGGAGGCTCAAGACCAGTTTTATAAACAATATCTTATCCCTCTTTCTTGTCATGGAGCGTTAAGAAAAACTTTCCAATGTTAGCAAATAAAATTCTACCCCTTTACAGGGACCAGTTTGTTAGGTAAATTATGAAACACACAAGAAAAGGAAGGCTCGGGGACTCCAGGGATGTGTATAAACTCAACCAAATACAACACCTTACCAATTATCTAAAAAGTCAAGTCCAGTCTTTGGAAGTCCAGTATTAACTTCTACTGTAATTGTATCATCGTTCATTTCAAAAAAAATATCTCCTAAATCTTGAGCAGGTGCAGGCTGGGAGAAAAATGAAATTTAATTTGCAACCATTTTTTTCAATTTCATGGATCAATAAAATACTACCTTTGGCTTTTGTAGAATACTTGAATTGGGTTCGACGATTTTTTTTCCTTTGGACTTTTCACTTTGGAAAATGTTGAGATTTCTTTGGCTTTGTGTCCTAAAACTAAATGGTGCAGAATGTTCGTCTCTGTATGAGCAATGATCATCAACAACTATTTTCATAGCATATTCATTTTTGACGTGGTTTTGTTTAGACTTGTACTTAATTAAAACGTCGGACTTTATAATACTTTCAGTTAAAATTTGCTGCTTTTCATCTTCCGAAAAGGTTTCCCAAAGATTTTCATAAGTGCTTTTGATTTCTTTAAGATCAGTAGAGAGTCTTGCTGCCATTGGATTTAAAGAACTAAAATACTCTTCAGCAATATTCGCCAAAGCCATTTTGATGCTTCTACACGTTAATAACGGTGTATTTGCTACATCATTATTTGTAAACAAACAATAAAACCTCGCCCAAACAATTTGACATTTGAGATGCACAACCGATAAAACATAGAACACAGTATAAGTAATAATGATTTTCCAGACCAGTTGGTGATGCATAGTACCCCTTAAGGCGGTAATTGTTTGGCAATCCTCCATGGTTTCAATTAGTTTTCTGCATTTTAATTGTATAGAAATAAGCAAGTAGTTGAAAACTTTGGGTTAATTTCTGTTATTCTGTTTTTCAGTTGATAGAGAAGAGAGCATTCACTTATTTATAGGAGTATTAAAAAATACGTACACGAAGGGGAGAAAGCAACTTAGCAATAATGGATTTCGGTCAAAGATTTACCGCTTGCTTCTCTAAACCGAACCGGAGCGCTGTAAGTTTAACTTATGATGCCCACAAGGGTCTCAATGCTAAAAATGGTGTAAAAAGTTTTCTATGAAAGAATCATTCGTCGTTTATTAGAATTGGCATATTTAGTACCACGAAATGATCTTGACACACTGGGCCAAACGAAGTAAAGAAGAAGAAATTTCCAGTTCAGTTATTTCTAGAGGGTAAATACTGTAAAATTTATTTTCTTAAATCAAAATACCGATATGCCTAAAGTGGTTTCCAGAAGTATAGCATGTTCAGACACAAAAGACCAAGAAGAATATGGAGATGAAAAACCTTTGCATTTATATTATTGCTTGTGTGGTCAAATGACCCTCATTTTAGGTAAACAATTTAATGTAGTAGATCAGTTTTATTTTTGCAAATTGTTGATTTTCAGATTGTTCTATAGAGAGATTACCTCTACGAAAACGAGATGGGGCCAGAGTTTTAGATGGATCAAATCATGCACACAAAATTACGTGCGATGTTGATGAAACAGTGTATCTAAAAAGAGCAGAAGGTATTGAAAGGCAGTATAGATTAAAGTGTAAAAAATGTGGTTTGTTGCTTTATTACAAGCATGACCCAGAAAGTGTTGTCAGTTTTATTGTGCGGGGATCATTAATTACTTCTACCACAGAAGGTCCAATCACTGACATATATAACCAAGTAGCAATAGAAAAACCAAAGAAAATTATGGTCACAAAACACACTAAGAATATGGGTAAATTTAGTTCAGTCACAGTTTCAACAATTGATGAAGAAGAGGATGAAATTGAAGCTGTAAGTATTTTGTTGGCCAAGTTTTCAATATTTTTGTACTGCTAAGGCTCCTTTATCAACAAATTGTTGTGTCAGCAAAAAAAAACTCATTTCTTCAAATTTATTTTCAACAACAAAAATAATAAAAATAGAAACAAATTATAGTTAAAACTTATGTGCTAATTTTAATATTTGTAAATTTTGCAGCGAGAAGTAGCCGATAGTTATGCTAACAATGCAAGAATAATTGAAAAACAACTTGAAAGAAAAGGTATGAACAAGAGAAAACAGGAACAAATCCGGTCCCAGCAAGATATAAAGAAAGTTCGTGGTACTTTAATTGATAAGTAGCTCTAAAAGAGGAAAGTATTAATAAAAAAAAACAAAATCTTTTGTTATGTTATAATAATTGGTTACCCTAGAAAATGTCATCTCATTTTTATAAAAAACATATATCACTAAACCCAAATCAATAACGAATCTACTTTTGTTATCACTTAAAAAACAATTTTTATTCTAAAAAAATAGAGTCATATGTACAAGTTATTTTCCTATAGCAGCTTTTATAAATCTTCATAAATAGGTTTTATTTCACACTGACTAGAATGTATTTACATTCACTTATTAAGGAGTGGAGTAGTTTCTTCCATTGACCTCACCTGTCTTAACGAAGTCCTAAGAAACAATTGTTATAAGTAGAAAGGGTCAAATTTTTTTTGTTATGAGTGAAGATAGAGGCTTGAATTTTTGACATGCATTTGAAATTATATAAACACTATATATATATATATATATATATATATATATATATATATATATATATATATATATATATATATATATATATATATAACTTTTTCTACGATTTGAAGAGGAGTTCTTTGGTTCAGTTTGTATTTATAAGGTTTAGATAGAAAGGTCACTTTTATTCAATTTGTGATTTTTTAAAAAGTACAACGGAGACTCTATTCAATGGAAAGGAATCAAGCCTCATGTAGTGAGTGATAAATATTTATTAAAACTTTTTTTACTTATTACTACTACACTACATGTAACAATAATAACACTGAACATGTCACACTAACATACAAATTAATACAAGGCTGAATTTTAAGTACTTATTACTTTATACCATGCTGCAGTTTTTCCAATTTTAGTGCAAAAACATTTAATTTTGCACACATTTATCTTATTGGTTGCTCACTTCTTTATATCAAGATTTATATATATATGGGACCCTCTTTCACCTGCAGATCACCTCTCTATTTTGCAACTAACAGAGTTGTGCAATATGTGGTACAAAATTCACATTCAATACTCTACATCACCTGCTACAAGTCTCTATCTTACTCATAAATGACAATAGACCATCAACTTAACTTGGTTAAAACATTACCTGTTGGCATGTCTATTATGCAAGATCAAAGTACTTGCACGCATGTTGCTGGCGCTGCTAAATAAGTCTGGACCTTCAGCCATCCACCTCTGACCACTCCTCTTCGTACTTTGGTTCACATGAGACACATATATAGAATCTCTATGTCCTGCTGGTAATGAGAGATCTTCATAATCAACCATTGAACTTGAATCCCAAAATCCCATGGTTGCCAAATCTGTGTAAACACAATTGCATTTACAAGATTACATTTCTTAAACCCATCCTATCAATTCGAAAAACTTACTTCCATACGCGCCACTCGTTTCATGCTGGACATTTTCGACAAAATCCTTTGCCTCTTCTGGCGGGACCCACTCTGGATTTGTGGCAGTGAAATGCATCAAGGACAACTCGACTTTGCCATCTTCAGCCTGGGAATACTGATCCGGTAAAACTTGCGTTTCTACACCTTCAGTATCGGCTGCCTGCCAGTCAGGATTGCCATGTTTCCTTATATCCATTTGAGCGAAACTACAAACATCACCCACTCCCACAACGGATACCGTAAAATTCCGGAAAAAATCCACTATGTCCAGGGATCTTGGATATACGTAGCGGACCAGAAAATATGGTGTAATTACGGGAGAGATAAATTCTTCAATCAGAGCTGCAAACCTGAACCAAGTTCAACATTATGTAAACAAATTTGGTCTGCTGTAAAAATATATAGAGCTCGATCCGTCAAGAAACTTTAACAGCATATGCAATATAATTTTATTTTTGAAATCTTCCAGATTTAGCTTTCAAACATGGTAGGTATTATAATAGTTACAATTAAATTAAATTATTATAATTTCGGGAATCGTTATGTAAATAAAAGAGAATTTAAATTTTTGTCACGCAAAAAAACTGAAGAAGTTATCATTTTTGCTGATGGGGGTATCTAATTTTATGAAGAAAATTGCGATAAACCATTGGCGTGCCATTTTTTTTCGCAGGCCGCTGGCAAACAAAAACAAGTTTATATTTGCTATAAATTTGTGTTTGATTGGCAATAATATCTGCTGATTTTGAACGCAAAATCTTAAAAAAAATTAAAAATAAGAAAAAACATTTTTTTTCCTCAATATTTCAATCCCCATGTATCCCTAAAATGAAGCATTTTTGACATAACTTTATACAAACTTTTTTACTGAATATGTTGTTAAAATTCCTCCTTTATTATTAGGACCACCCTGTATGTAATATAAAAACTTTGTTTCATATTAAGCGTATTAACTCCTGGTATCTCAAACGCAATTTTGCCTCTGATAGATCGAAGATGTCGAAAGATTTTTGGGCCAGTGGTAAATCTGGTTTTCGCGTTATATTTCTTAAGAACGTTTGATATGTGGTTAGTGATATTTGGGATGATAACAGTGTCATATGTGGGGTTGCTTTCGGAATCTTTGGAAGATTGTGGTGAAGCGTATTTTGTGATGGAAGGCTTAATATGGCATGATTGGTGAAACGTCAAAATTTGATTTAAAAACACCCCACACAGGAGGAATACAGAAATTTTGTAAATAGTATTACAGTAGCCTTTGGAATTCTGTAAAAAATTTAATATTAGTTATATGTTTTAACACATTCGACTTGGATCACCTCATATAAGTGTACAGGCTGGGCCCAATTGGACACTTTTAAACTGAAACTCCCCTTTGTAAAAGAAATATTCATAAAAAGCGTAATGGTAAACACTTTATCATAATATCGGATCAAAATCCATAAAATCGATTTTTCGTTTGATAACTAATAATCGATTGACTTTTAAAATATATTTAAACCATTAAATTCTGCGAAAAACAAATTGCAGCAATTTTTTAAAATCAACATTTTCAGAAAACATTCTATAACTCAGAAACAGTACTGGATATCCATAAACATTTTTAAAATTATGAATTAGTTTTCAACTATCTCATTTATAAAGGTGAGTTTTGTCAACTTTGGAAAACCATGTTATAAAGACCAACAAAAACACTACAATTGCAGCTCACCTAAATTGAAAAAGTTGTTGAAAACTAGCTCTAACATGAGAAGTATGCGCTAAGCCTTGCCACTTTCCAGGAAAATAATGAGTGTGTAAAACAACTGCCTGGAGTAAAGCTTCAGGACACCAAATTGAATATTCATCAGGAACCATACTCCGACATACTGCTATTGCACCCGTCAAAAATGCCATTATTGACAGTACCTACAAAATTCAAGAAGTAATGTTTTTATTACCATGCTTAATGGGATGTCGCACCTGTTCTATATACAAAAATTCATTATCATAGAATGACAAAATGAGGAAAACGCCAAGAATAGAGCTACATATAAAAGCTACATGTTCTGCAATAACACTTGCTGTAGGTGAAGTGAAAGATGACAAGTATTTTGAAGCTGGTCTATATGCTCTGGTCAATCTCGCATGAAGTTCATGATCTAGTTCATTGAAATGTCTGTAAAATATATAGGTTGATAGTGGCAGTAATTAAAAAAATCATTATATGTATATAGTTTACCTTAGGTACATTCTTGCATATTGTGACCAATACCTGACCCCAAATTTTCCAGGCTCCCTACGAACCAGCTCAAAGTAGTTAAAAAAATAAAATATTATCTGCCAAATGAATATCAATGGGGAAAAAATCAAATTTAGAAATGCCAGCCATAAGATTTGGCGACTAAGTTGACTGGCAAGCTCTTGCCTCAAACTCTGACGTTTGTACTCCTCACGTAAATGCCAGGGGTTTTCAAAAGGAGACCAAGGAGACCAGAACAAAAGACCAACAATATTGTATCTCATTCCTTTAGTCCAGTACACTATATCTCCAAGAAATGGCATGTATATTCTAGGAGGTATCAACTTTTTATTCACCATGGCAACAAAATAATTTTCTTGGCGTAATATACGATGATAAATGTCCAATTCAGTCAGTTCTCTTTTATGAATGCATATCTGTTGTTCCAGCTGAACTTGTTTCAATTTATTCTGAACTTCATACCAAGTCAAGTTATCTAAATCTTTGTCCTTAATATTTAGGGCTGTATTGTAAAATTGCTTTATGTCCCAATACATAATCATCACATAAAACTGCCTTATTGCCTTTAAAACAAACATGCCTGCAGCAAAAATTAGCAGGAACCATGTAAAAGGAGAAAAATATTTTATGCACTCGCTAATAGGTAACATGGCCTCAGTTATAATCCTTTTTTTACCATCAGTGTAATTGAATAACACATTATAATCTACTCCATAAAACAGGTACACGGTGAAGAATATTACAAATACAAATTGATTAAGTCCAAAAAGTTCTTTTAAAACCATGCATGTAAAGCCATGTTTCTGATGGTACTTGTAAACTCTCGTAAAAAAAGAATCTAAATCCACGATGTGGTTCCATCTCGATCTTGTTGGTTCAGAGACGTGAAATAATATACCCTGTTCTTCTTGATCTTGAGTTTCTTGTAAAGAAGCGTAATTGTGCATTGTAATTTTTTACCTTGGAGTACTCAACCTGAAAAGTCAAATAAGAGATAAAAAAATTTCAAATTCCAATTAAAATTCACTTACATAATATTTAGTTACATTCCAAAAAAAATCTAACACATAATTTTGAATGTTTTAAACTGCAGAATCATCTCTCTTTGACGCATCAAAACTAGGAAATTCAAAATTCAGGTCAATAAGTTGTGTTTGCAAAACAATCTTAAAAAATGATAAAAAAAACAAAGAAAACATACCTACCTTTGTGCCAGAATGAGGGATGCATGCTTGCCAAACACTCGGAGTTCGGAATCAACTTTAAAGGAAGTAGTTGCAAAAATTGGATAAAAATAGAGATTTTGCGCAAATAATTTAGAAAAATGTAACAAAGAAATGTCACTGCGACTTGGTAATTTCCATGCTATTCATTTTGAATTTATCAATTTTACATAACGAAATTATCACTTATTTCGTTATATTTTTTCGATTCGTTAAACTTGTAAACATGACAATATTTTAAAAAATAATTTTGAATTTTTATAGAAAGGTAATAAAAGTTATTTGTTTTGAACAGTTGATCGACATATTTGACATTCTTCTTCCTTAATTTCGCCTAATAGCAAATTTTGACAAACCAATTGGCCACGCTTTGAATTACCTATTAGCGCTATTGAAAGTTCACACATCAAAACATTTAATAAAATCACAATTATAATCCTGTTGTATAATTATAATTGTGGAAGTTTCGAAATGAAGAAGTGAAATTAATGTTGCTCTACTTCAATAAGGCCGGTTTCACCCAGATCTTGTGTGCTAGGCGAGTTAGATTGTTATTTTTTTGGTTTATATCGCTCCAGTCAACAAAGAGATAAATTTCTGACCGATTATGACCAAGTAAATTTTTATCATGTGCCCGATATGGTAAAAGGTGAAGAAAGTCATTTTTATTTGTGAACTTAGTAATAAGAACATGAAAGGTAAAAGAAAAAGAAGAAATTAATTGATTCCATGGTTAAAAAACGTAACCAATGAATAAACTTCAAAATCTTATTGAGTTGAACATTTATATGGTGACGTGGGTCAAAGAAAAAATTGTGTAGCGTGCAGTGCGTTTATGAGTTGGTAAAATTTGAATATGTTCAAATTTTTGTTATATGTTCTCTTTATATCAAACGCCTACTGTTTGCAAAAAATAAATGAGGCTTTAAATAACAAAAATGTAGAAAGAACAATCGATTTGACATCACAACTGGTAAAAATAACCGCAACTGTAAATGTGGAAAACACCGGTAAAGAACTTGCTCGTAGTTATCTAATCGCACTTGAGCCCGAATTGAATGGCAATATTTCATTCGTCGGAGCAAAAGACTTTTCCAAAAATGATTTAAGGGTAAATCCCATTCAAATTGAAGGTAGAAGTAAAGACATTTTTTATAATGTTCAGTTTAGACAACCCGTGGAATCAGGGAGAACAGTTACAATTACAATTGAAGTTGTGCTCATTAAAGCTTTGGTACCATATCCAAGTAGCATAACTCAAAAAGAGAAACAACTTGTTCGTTATTATGGTAATCATTATTTTTACTCTCCATACACCACACAAAAGCAGAAAACTGAAGTTGAAATTTACTCCAGAGTAATTGAGAATTATACTAAATTCAAACCTGTGAACCAGGTTGATTCTAAGATCAATTATGGTCCATATGATAAAGTAGCCCCATTTTCGAAAGATGAAATGATTATTCATTATGAAAACAATGCACCATTTTTAACAGTAACAAGGTAAGTAATTCTACATATATGTTATTTATTTATTATATGCTACTTGTTAAAATTTTAGGATTGAGCGGGTTGTGGAAATATCTCATTGGGGTAATATTGCTATTGAGGAAGCTATTGAAATCTGCCATACAGGGGCCAAATTAAAAGGTCCTTTCTCCAGATATGATTATCAAAGAGATACAGGCAGTAATCATCACAGCATTAAATCTTACAAGACAATTTTGCCTAGTGGAGCTCATAGCATTTATTATAGGTTATTTCACAAAATAATATTTTTCTCAAAACTGTTATGATTTTAACTGTTTTGCTCTTTTAAGGGATATGAATGGAAATATTTCCACATCTGCAGTGAAGGTGCAAAAAGATTGGATTGAATTAGAACTGAGACCACGATTCCCTCTATTTGGAGGCTGGCAAAGTTCTTATGTATTAGGTTATAGCATTAAAAATAAATTTTGCAATTGTATTATAGATATAGTTTGCAGGTTATAGTATTCCAAGTTACCAGTACCTTTTCAAAAAGTCTACAGGGGAATATTTGTTGAATGTTAAAGTTTTGGACCACATTTTTGATGACATGTATGTGGAGGAACTTGAAACCAAAATTGTTTTACCAGTAGGTGTGTCAAATATAAAGGTAAAATTGCCATATGACATGCAAAGATTAAGTGATGGTGTTACTTACAAGTACTTGGATAATATTGGAAGGTATGTGACATATATTTGTTGATGATAAAGTGCTAATAGTAGTTGAATTTTTCAGAACTGTCATTAGAGTAGCTAAAAACAATTTAGTGGAACAACATATCCAAGATATTGAGATAACTTACAATTGGCAACCCCATTTGTTACTTCATGAACCTTTGCTAGTAAGCCTAGCATTGTTCATTTTATTTATTATTGTAATTATATATGTTAGGTTAGATTTTTCTATTAGCAAACCAGAACATGTAAAAAAGGAGTAGTAATAAGTAAACACCTACTTTTTCTAATAAAAGTAATATGGAAAGTGGTATTTGTGCATTATTTTTGAAAATAAAACTCAGGTGGTAAAAATTCTATATGGTAGTGTATTGGTTTGAATTTACTACTTTTAACTTGAAATAGTATGGAAAGACATGAAAATATATTCTATTTACAAATCGCAGCTAGCTCGAATCAAAATTTGTAAGTAGTGTAACAGACTGTGGAAGTTTCCTTGAAATATCAATATATCATATAATTAAAATAGGAATTAAAATTTTTTCATTAAATTATTTAACAAAATGTTTTTTTATTATCGCACCATTACGGTAATAATTCCATTTCTTAAAAGAAATGTTAGCCTGTTACAATTTTCGTCGGATGTCGGTAATGAGCGACTAACCTTGCCTATCTTTCCCAACAGACTAAGGGTCGTAGAAGAAGAGACAATTGTGCTTTCCATAAGGATGCCGTTAACGCGTTAAACTGCAGTTAAAATTTCCTTTTCTATGGTCTTTTCAACACGAAGCCATCATGACGGGCTTTAGCGAGAAGGTATTTATATCTTTTTAAGCGATATTTTATTAAAACTAATACTATGTTGAAGTTATGTATTTTAATCGAATTTAGAAATAACGAATGGTTAAACCAATTTGTTGTGTTGAGATATATTTGCAGCTTTTTTTAATACTTAACCTTATCGCCAGTGCTGTACACGTGTTAAGTGAGTTTTATGTATTTCTTTACTTTTTCAGGCTATTCTTATAGATGGACGAGGTCACTTACTTGGTCGTTTGGCTGCTATAGTAGCCAAAACCCTTTTGCAGGGTAACAGAGTTGTGGTGGTAAGATGTGAGCAGCTGAATATTTCTGGTAATTTTTTCAGGTCAGTAATATAGTTTTTTTCTTATTGAAACTTTTATTTACATTTAAAATCTGTTTTAGAAATAAACTGAAGTTTATGTCTTTTCTGCGTAAACGGTGCAATGTAAACCCTGCCAGAGGACCATTTCATTTTAGAGCTCCATCCAGGATTTTCTGGAAAACTGTCCGTGGTAAGATATGAGTGATAATTAGTAAAATCAATCTTATTTGTTATGATTATTTCTTATGGACTTACCTACATTATTTGATGTTAAATGAAAGTTAAGATGTTTATGAATTGTGTTGTGTTTTTTAAAGAAATTACTGATTATTATGTTTGTTTTAAAAAAATGTTTTCTCTGAAATATCAGGTATGTTGCCTCACAAAACTGAAAGAGGTAAACAGGCTCTTCGCAGGTTAAAAGCTTATGAAGGCATTCCTCCACCATATGATCGAAGGAAACGTGTAGTTGTGCCTGGTGCACTCAGAGTCATCTGCCTTAAACCTGGACGTAAAGTAAGTGTTTTTGATGTTAAAAATTTATTTCATTTTTTAATCAATGATTAGCTCATTTACCTACATTATTTGATAAATATAATGAAATTAAACCAACAATATGAATAAATAATAAATGCTTCAACCTCATGTGATTTTAAGAACTTGATGATACATGTTACTGTCTTCTTAGTTTTGCCATGTTGGTCGTCTGTCACATGAAGTTGGATGGAAATACCAGTCTGTGGTGCGCGCCCTTGAGTCTAAACGCAAGGTTAAGGCAGTATTGGCAATTCGCAAGCGTGACAAACTGAAGAAGATTACCAAGCAAGCTTCAGTTAAAGTTGCTAAACAGACTAAACCATTCACAGAAGTAATCAACTCGTATGGTTATAATTAGGTGTTTTTAAAAATAAAACTGTATATTTACATCACTAGGTATTTTTATTGTCCTGGTACATCTTATGTTCCTATGTTTTTAATATGATAAAATTGCTCACTTTAAAATTTGATACACACTTTTAGAAACTTACTAGTTTTGGTTAGTCATGGGAATGCATTTGTGGAAATCATTGAAATGCTTATTTTTTTCTAATTTTTTATCTTGATTACATGTAAGCAATACAAGAAATATCAAATACCGGCTCGTTCACTAGACCCAACAAAACATTCCCCCTTATGTTTATTTTAAATTTTTTGCCTCCAAAATTGAGAATTAAAGAGAAACAATAAGCAAATATAGGCAAAGCTTACAGTACGTTCTCGGTAACAGTATACCGTTTTTACAACATAATCTGGTATTTAACTTTGGTAACCCTCAATAAGTAGAGTTGTAACTCTCCAGAACCGTATGTCGTGCATATAAATTTTCATCGGTAACACTTGTCGATTATTGTAAATCCATGCAGTGAAAAATCCATTCTTACTTTAAATCCTACCCTTAAAATATAACAGTCGGCACGGCAGAGGTCTTGCCGTTCCTTGTAAAAAAGGTATATCGTTTATAGAGCTCTGCTTGTAGAAGTATAATCTAAAATTAATTCCAGGGCCGGATTTGGAAATTTTGTTTGGTTCCCTTTACCAAAACTAACTTATAGGGTTTATAAATTTCTCGTTAATACATGATCATTTGGTCCTCCTGAACTATTGTTGGTGCCTTTCAAAGGCAAAATTATACCGTAAAAAAGTTTTTCAAATGTAGATGATTCGAGAGATTCAAAGTAGAGCGTCATTTTTGCCTTGGCCTCTATTTTGTTGCTCCTATCACTTCCAGATTAGCTATTGAGCCATATTTTCAGAGCAATCACATCAAATAAAAATCAATTGATCAATCGAAATCCAATATATATAATACATACTATTATATACTGCCGAATCCTTACACCGTAAGATGCAAAATTACCTACATAAACTTTCTTTGTGTTAAATGATATGCTATCTATTATACCAACCATTGCTACCCGATAGTGCTTCTACTTATGATGTATTTAAAAAAAAAAATTTGTAATTTGGCAAAAATTTGTAAAGTCAGTTTCATCCACTTGTTGCTATCGCATTTTATTGTAAGTAAAGTCCAAATTTTACCGGCACACAATTACAAAAAATAAATAAATAAAATGCAGCCACACATACACTATCATGTTTTAATCTTATCTAAATTTTCCAAGTAAAGATTGGGTATTTGTTCATTCTTATTTTAGAAGTTACTTGATAAAGTGTTCTTATGAAAACCAGAGAAATTAAGGAACCGCGAAAATGTTGTGCATGTGCCAAAAATCTAAAAAATACACCATAAATACTGACAGAACCAATAGTGAAATATCTTTAAACAGAAGAGAAACGATTAAGCCGATCACTAACGGTGTAGACGCAGAATCACAACCTACGAGTACTCAGCAGGTAGGTCACAAAAATGCTCCACGAGACGAAAGGAATTCTTCAAATAGGTACAAAGATACATCGAAAACGGTGCAAATTGAACTGGAAGCCAGAAAAGATTCGTTGAAAAATACCGCCTCGAAGCCTGCAGATGCACCAAGAACTATAAATGGCGATGTGGAAGAACGATCCGATTCAAAAATATCATTAACTGAAGACGCGTCTTTCGAATCACTGAATATTTCTCGAGACACTTTAATCGGTCCCAGTAGTAGCTTACAGATTGAAAATGCATCGGATGAGTCGAACAGATCGTCTTTTGTGGAAGACAAAGGGGTTAGCAGAAGAAGATCGGGAGTTCCGGCAAGTATACCCCTGGGTATCGAAGACACTTCCAAGACGATGTTGCCGGTATATCCAAAAAGTTCCGAGTAAGTAAGTCGCTTCTATCACTTCAAAGCAATATGTAAATATATTACTGAACTAAATCAAAAGGCAACGGAAAGATAGCATGCGGATGGTTCATCTGCGGAATGCAAATAAAATTGGTTACTCAAACTGAATCATCAGTCGCATTGTAATTATTTGCTTTTGTTAACCAACATTATAGAGATAAAATTGAGCTTAACAATAAAATTATCAAATTTTAAATAAACGAAATACATTTTTCTTTTTGGTTGAAATCGTGCTCGCTAAATTGCATGTAGATATATACCTTGGCAAATCAGAAATATGTCAAATCTATTTTTTTCGACAATACGATAGCTGATACAAACGATTATCAATTAATCCGACACGCATCGCGTTTACACACACTTGAAGTGTTCTTTGATTATGATTGATGGATATGTTCAACACTAGTGGATTGTATTTTCTTTGCCTTATATGTAAGCAAATTTTTCAAGCGTGAGTTGGTACTGGACAAAGATTTGTGTGAATATAGGCACCCCTGACTTTAGATTTAATAAAAATCTGTTCATCCCTAGCTTTTAGGATGCAGTTTTTGTAGTACTACAAATAACAACATAACAAATCTTCTTACCACATTTTTCATAATTACTTGTTTCATTTTAGATTACCTACTTTAAATAATATAAATATGACGTAGATCCGGAGTATTTTTTTAAAGAGACTTTCTTATTTTTCTTCTTATTAGAGATATAAAGTCGTTAAATGAGCAAAGTAGTATTACTTTTAGATGGCGAATGCAGAATGGTATAATATGCAACAAGTGCGGTAAACGGCATTTGACTCACGAGTGTATTTGACACGAGCGGAGCGAGTGTTTGATAAACGAGTGAGTTAAAAAGTTTACCGAACGTGTTGCGCACTATACTTTTTCTACGGCCGTTACTTTTTGGGTACAAAACACGAATACATTCTCTGAAATGACCGTCAGAAGTGACAAACGTTAAAATTCAAAGCGTGGGAAATATCTCCGAAAACATCCGATTGCTCCCAAACCCGTGCGGTAAAATCCCGGAAATGTCCGAAGTGACTCGCATTCGTGGGAAACGAAACTGACGTGCTAAGCGACGCATCCCGTACGCTAGATCTGTGCGTAATTAGGTATTTTACAGACGGGAGTGGAAAAAACCAATTGAATATGTCATTTTTTAAAAAATGGAATACCCTGTTTATTTTTAAATCTAATAAAAGTTCCTAAACAATATCCAAATCAGAATTGCTGACATATATTTCTTTATCCTCTTCAATAAATTGGCGGGGTACATGACAACAGTTTTAAAGGCATAATAATAACTAGGTTATTTTTAATTTTTGGTCAATATTGGTACAGGAACCTTCAGGTCCTGCAAGATTTACAAACATTGGAGTCAAAAACGGAACACTATCTTTTTAAAAAAAAACATTTTCTGATTTATTAGTAACTGAGATATTTAATTGTTTTTCTGTATTCATCAACTTAACTGGTATAAAATATGTTAATTACACTTTGATTATTTAAAAAACCTACCCTAATAATAAAAAGCTGAAAATAATAGTGCGTACTTAATTTAGTACACCTGGTATAGATTTTGATAATTGTAATGGTATTCAAATTTTTAATTTGTTCCTGCTCAAAGTTTTTCCATATTAAATCGAAATATTTGCGACAATATGACATCAAGCAATATCTATCTGCTTATTCGATAATCTCAACGATTGAGTAATCGAAAGCTGCTTTGATTAATGAGGTTGCGGAGTGGATACTAGATAATATTAACTTAGATACATTCATGCGACGTCACCTAAAGAATTCACAGAGAAGTTATGAACTAGTTTTAGGCTTATACGGAAGTTTCACCCGAAAAGCACGTTCTTTATGATGATTTTTTCCGGTGTCACAAGTAGAAGGTGGTGTTTTATTTTTTCAATTGCTCTCTTTTTGTGCCTATAAAGAACTATTATTTTGTCATATTAGAACAATGGCTTTGTTTTATTATTACATTTTTATTTTTTTATGTTAGATTACTTCTCTCAAAGTGTTATTGTTATCTGAAAAATTGTATTGAAAATTGGACAAAAAATCGATATCAGAATTTTTGTATCATTTTTTCTTATTTTTAAATACTGAAAGATGTTTTCCAAATATAATTCATAATATATATATATATATATATATATATATATATATATATATATATATATATATATATATATATATATATATATATATATATATATATATATATATATATATATAGCCTACAATTGATCAATATAGCACATTTGCCGCCAGACAATACATATTATATAACTATGTAGAATTTGAAATAAAATTAATAAATGGATTACATCTTTTATTAAAATTAATATATATTATATATATATTATAGAACGCATAAATGGTCAAAAAAGTTACAAAGAGTGGTACACAATCCGTATTTCTGGAATTTTTCTCCTAAACTATAGATGCATATGTGGAATTTGATGTGGGAAAGAAAGTTAGATTACTTTTGGAATGACCTTTAATATACTTGAGATCAATAACACTTCGAATAACACCCTATAGGTATTGTCTGCTGATCTATACGACAGTCATCAATAATATGTACTATAGATCAATTAATAAAATAATAATAATAACAATTATCAAAACGTCAAATGAATGTCTACTTGTGACTTACCATTTCATGTTAACATTTTTGCATTTTATATCGACAATCTTTTTATTTTTGCTTCTAAAGATTTTTCAGTTCTGATAATAACAGACGATTTGTATTTATAAATATAACACGGGTTTGAATTTTTTATCGAATGCAGCAAAATATTTATAAGCCCAATTTCCGAAACGTCGATCGCCCTTTCTCCTTTTCTGAAAATAAAACGAAAAAAAAATCAAAAATCATGCGCACTACGAAAAATGGCAGCCAGAGGCAAACCGAAGCAATACTCGTACAAAAACAAACTATTTTTACTCTGTGTGGGCGATTGATTATGCATATCTAAATAAATAATAAAAGCACTTAAACCCGCGTTTTAATTATTTCTAGGGACGAACAAAAAATCAAAAGCGCCATCGAAAAGAACGATTTCCTTGGGAAAATTCTTAGCGGTAAACGTCTTGAAGACGTTATAAATGCAATGTCGTTAAGGGAGGTGAGCGCCAAGCAAAAGTTGATCAAGCAAGGCGAAAAAGGTTCAGAAATGTACGTGTCAAAAGAGGGAAAATACCGCGTGATGGTCAAAGGAAAAGCCGTCGGCGATTTCGACGACATCAGGGTGTTTGGCGAGCTAGCTATATTGTATAACGCGAAGAGGCTTGCCTCAATACAGGCATTGACTGACGGAAAAGTGTGGGTTCTAGACAGACGCGTTTATCAAAAAATCGTCATCAGCTCGAATATAAAAGAGGAAGAAGAAAACCTTAGGTTCTTACAAAATGTGGATTCTCTTAAGGTCGTTGATGTGGATATTCTGCGACAGGTTGCGAATCTTCTAAAACCCGAATTCTTCCCGTCGGGTACGCAAATCATCAGGCAGGGCGACAAAGGAAATAAATTCTACATCATCAGGGCAGGTGAGAACCCAAACACTGATTTTATGAAGTACGGTATTTCATATTGGGGTGCAATTGTCTCTAAGTGAAATTTTGTCTATGGAGTGATTGTTTAATAAAAACATTTTGATACCATTATTATTTTCATGTACAGAGTGTTCCTTCTGAAAACTCTTAAATTTCTAACGTAAATAGCATATTAATAAATAACATTAGTTTGGTTAGTACGTGCGCGAAAGTGAATGCATCAGAAGATATAGATAAAGATAGAAACTCCAAAAAATTGTTTTTTTTTATTATTTCCGAACGACATTGTAATGAGAAAATATCGACATCAAAGCAAGGTGAGAAGAAACTCTTATTAAAATTTTGGTCTTACGAGGTACAATATTTTAATAAGTATATTAAGTTCCTGCCGACAAAATTTAAGTTGAAAGTAATTTTCAATATTTTCATTTCATAGTTGTTTCTGAAATAATAATTATTAATCAGTCATTTTTAATACTTTAAATACTTTATAGAAAATTGTTTAAAAAATAGTAAACAAATTTAGCGTCACTTTTGTTCAAATTATTAAGATATTTGCTAGCAAATTTTTTTATGACCCAATCAAAAGTAATTGTAGTTTAAATTAGTTTCTATTTGTTGGATAATTAAACCCCCGAAAAATTAATCAAACTAACGCTATTTTTAAATATTTAAGCTAGCCTAGAACGTTTTTTTTTCTTAAAAAGCAGGAACAAAATTGTTAGGTAACGTTTTACTTCAAAATGGATGAGTAAAGAATAAAAGAACCATAATTCGCAGACATCACACTCGAATCAACTTTGCACAAGTAATTGTACATACTAAAAAACATTTTAATCAGTTGATTTATCCATGAAGCTATTAAATAATACGGTAAAAATTGATGCGTCGCAGGCGGCATTGCTATTTTCAGCGCATGCCTTTACATTTCATCCACTAACCTGCACTTTGCGTCATTTCCCTTCTAAACAAAATAAATAAGAACTAAAAGTTCAGACAACACCGTGTCTTTATCAAATGGAACAATTGTCATGTCATAATATATAATTTCATGAAAATCTGAACTTTTAGTTCTCATTTATTTTGGATTTTCACCAAGTAAAAGCCACCTCAGTTCATTCCCGTCTAAACAGCGATTTCCACATAATCATCTTCTTTTCCCAAATCTAGGCATATTTTGAGAAAATACACACAATCAACTTCTTTTCCCAAATCTAGGCATATTTTGAGAAAATACAGACGTAAAAATGCCTTATAGAAACTTATTGACGATCTGTCAGCGGCCATGTTGCTTGTCAAATGTCACGAGCTCATTGGTTGGAAACGAAAAGTTAACCCTATAGATATTGGCAATAATTTGACTGTGCTTATGAAATTTGTTCACAATACCTGTTTAAATAAAATATTGGTCAATATCATGGATTTGCTAAATTGTTATCGAGTTATTGTTTAGTTTTTTTTTTTTTTTTTTAATTTTGATATTCATAACTCTCCCAAAAAGTTGACTCGAATTTAAAGCCGATTACAGATTTGTCTGGAAACTTTTTGGATTGGACCTTATTAAAAACAGAAAACATGCAACAGTTCAAAACGATGAATTGCATTTTATCCAAAGATTTAGTTCGCAGCGATCGAAATTCTTTCACCTCGCACATCTTCGACGTTTTTAAAGACAAATTAGTTTCATTACTCATCTACAGACGACAGTGCGGTTTACATAGTGCATACAGAGTATCTCAAAGTTAAGTACACAGGGCGAAAATCTGAATTCTTTAGTTACCGTATTAGAAATCTGTATTATATCTTGCGATTGTGCGAAAGTTTTACTACTTTTCGCAATTTTTTAGCTCCTTAAGAGTTTATTTAATCGAAAAATTTTAAATACAAAGTTGTTTGTATGAAAGTGTTGCGTGCAATGTAAATAACCACCATTATACAGGGTATCTCGTAACTAATATCACCTGATTTTATTATATGGTGTGAACGATATTTTAATTCTACATTCATTGTCTACTTGTATATCTATTTTCCAAAGTGCAAAGTTGATGAATTCGTTTTTTAGGTACAGTGACTATTTCCAAAAGTGGCGAAGGAATAATTGGTACGCTGGGAGAAGGGACGTGTTTTGGCGAACTGGCTCTCCAAAAGGAAGACACCAGACAGGCCACGGTTACCGCGGATGCTCCGGGTGTCGACTGTATGACCCTTACCAGGACGGACTTCAAAGATCATTTTGGAGACGTTGAAATACCAAAAATCGAAATTAAAAGAGGGTCGTTCAGGGAAGAAGCCAAAGCCGAGTACCAGGATATTGGCCTATCCGACTTGAAAATATTAAAAACATTGGGAGTCGGTGGGTAAGTTGATTAATTAATAAAATTAATTTAATTATTTAGTTAATTAATTGTTCCCGGATCAGGTTTGGACGAGTAGAACTAGTGCAGCACAAAAAGAAAAAGGATTTAGTATTCGCGCTGAAATATTTGAAAAAAATCGAAGTGGTGTACCAAAACCAACAGGAACACGTGTACAATGAAAAAATGATCCAGATGAACTGCAAGTCAAATTTCATCGTCAGACTTTACAGAACGTATAAGGATAATAAATACGTTTACTTTTTAATGGAAAGTTGTCTCGGTGGTGACCTATTCTCCCTTCTGCATAAACAAAAGAATAAACGGTGAGCCTTTCTTGTAAGTAAGAGTATCTCTTACTGAAATCGGGGTATTTCGTAACAGGTTTGAAGAAAAGGATGCGAAATTTTTATCGGCCTGCGTACTGGAAGCTTTCGAATACCTTCACAACAAAGCAATAGTGTACAGGGACCTGAAACCGGAGAACTTGTTGGTGGACAGACACGGCTATCTAAAACTAACGGACTTTGGGTTTGCGAAAAAAATGCCAGCCAGAGGAAAGACCTTTACTTTTGCCGGAACACCCGAATATGTTGCACCCGAAATAGTTTTGAATAGGGGTCACGATAAAGCCGTCGACTACTGGGCTTTCGGAGCGTTCATTTTTGAATTACTATCGGGTATGGTCAATATAAGCCAAAGTCATCAAGCAGGCCTTTTCTTCCACTGCTAAACGTATATCCCCACCCCCGTCTTCATGTGCGATTTAAAATCAACTGTTTACTTCGCTTACTTTGAGTTTGTTTTTTTTCTTTTGTTTTTCATTATCGCGTCCTAAATTCCATTTTCCGTGCCGCTTTGTTTCCCTTTTGATTTTATGTTCATGTTAAAGTGTAAACTTTTTTCTAAAAACGAACAACCGTTGAAAATAGATCGAAAAGTCATACAAACATATTGAAAAAGTAAAATATATCAGATATAAACGATTTATCAAATTGTTATTGGCCAGTGTTGCCATAATCATTCAAAATTTGGTGGTAAAAATTGAAAGGTGTCAAATCAGGTGATCTGAATAGTCAGGTCTTTGATGGAAATAAAACGAACGAAAGCTGCAAAGAACTTTGTGGTTTGATTGTCCTTGATAGAAAATATCACACCGTACGATAGTTTACAGGGTATAGCAGTTTTGAAGATGAAATAATTGACTGCTATATTTTATATAATGGGAGCAAGTATAGGAAAACCTGAATGAACCTCATGGAACTTTCTCATAAATACAAAAATAAAATAATATACGGGGAGTTCTATTAAAAATACGCAAGTTAAGTGCTTCTGACTGTAATGCTAACCATCTTCATTAAACGGTTTGTTTCCTATAAACAATATATATTTGCCGTCAATGTTTTTAGCCCCAATGCCAATATGGCACCTCTGAAATGGGATCTTCAAGCAATTATACCTGCAATCTTGACATTTTGACACTATGTGTATCTATATTTTTTTTAAATAAATGTTGTGAATTGCACCATTTTTTTAAAATAAACCAGGTGAACAATTTATGAATTATGTGACAGAGTAAAAAATTTTGTTTTTGAAAAGCAAAATAAAGATATTGCATATTAAAATTCATTTGTAAACTTATAACGGACAACCTGTATATTATATGTGACACACATCACTTAGACATCAGTAAACCCGTACTTAACTATTTTGGTTCACGGTTTTTCCACTTCTATGGGCTGTATCTTAGCCGTACGGCTGGATCAAACTTTATACCTACAATTTTTTTTTTCAGGTAGAACACCATTCCGAACGGGAGACAACAGTCACATGCGAACTTACAACAAAATCTTAAACGGAATAGACAACGTCAATTTCCCCACTTATATCAATTTGAAGGCGAGGAATTTAATTGAAAAATTGTGCCGGCCTGTGCCGTCGGAACGCTTGGGGATGTTGAGAGGCGGAACGAAAGATATTAAAATGCACAAGTGGTACCAAGGTTTCGAATGGGTGAGATTCAGCCAATGCCAGTTACAGTCGCCATTTAAACCAAAACTCAAGGATGTGACAGACACGAGTCATTTTGACCAGTTTAGGCAAGACAAGGATTATCCGCCCGATGAGACTTCCGGCTGGGACGTCAATTTTTGAAAATATAGTTTTAAATTTATTGTATATAAACTAGGACCATAATTTTATACCAAGCTGGAGGATTCTGGGATATTTTTTGTAGTACGCTAAGATAATATTTAGAAAATAATTTATTGCACCTAGTAAACTTCGTCTTCACTATTACTTCAGTTATTTTGTTGATAATTTGACTAGATTATTTACAGGTAACAGAAACACTATATCGAAGACTTTGATATCATTACGACATTATATAACAATCATAATTATTATTATTAATATTAAAATCTTTTTGTATTTCTATATTATTATTCAATAAGTTATTATTTATATATAGATGAACAACAAAAAAAAAAAGATATTCTCTAATTTTATAGTTCTATAATACTTCCATTGCTCTTTAAAAAAGAGGTTTTAAAAACAAAATACTCAAATATTTTTCAAATTTCACATATCATAAATTAAAAAAATTGCTTTGACTACTCTTTGATTTTTTTTTCAACAAAAGGTTATGACCTGACATTTTGGAAAACAACTTTTCTTTCTCTCTATCATATTTCACAATTTTTATTCTATCCTGTATCACGTGACACTTGAGGATACCAAAAATCCCACAACTTTTGACAATATTAAAAAAATTTTAGTGCAAATATAAAAAACACAACCATAAATTAAAATATTTTGAATCCATGACACATTTCAGAGTAGGAAACTAAAACGATAGATATTACTACACTAACATACACTAACACACTTTTTTTTAATACACCCTATTTATAAAAATGATGTAATACTGTAGTGTAAGATGAATTTTATTTTTACACAGTACAAAGTTGTGATAAATATTTGATATATACATTTTTTAAAAGTAACAATTATTTATGGATATGCAATTTACACATTTTAGCTGAGATAATAAAAACTAATGCCCCAACTTGGATGCATTTTCAAGGATGGAAAAACATAATTAATATTCGATCGATCCTATTGTAATTTAGAAAAAGAGGTTAATTGTCCCCAAAAAGTAAATTACGCCTTCTAGGTATAACAATATTACTAAACTATAAAGTATGAAATGAATAATAATTAACTATTTTGGGTAATGTTACCAAGTGACGAGACATTTCCACTAAGTAATTGTTGAGCTGATCTGGCAGCAATTGTGGGATCATATATCAACTGCGTCGGTGACGTTTGGCCAGAACATGTCAAATTCTGAGATGTAGGAATTGCTGGGTAAGTTAGAGCTTGAATTCCCCCCTGCGGGGGAAATATACCACTAGCTGGTGGATAGTTTTGATTAGGCTCACTACCAGCATTAACCTGTGGATAGCTAAGATTGACATTATGGCTGTGAGAATAAGTCTCTGAAACTGGCTCTTGGGAGTACTGAGGCTGAGAATAACTGTACATAGGTACATTTGTGCTCAAAGGTTGGTTATTATTAGGGTTATAAATTGAGGTTTGTACAGGATATAAAGGTACTTGAATACTTGAAAATTGAGGAATGGAACTAGGTGGCGCCAAAGGATTAGTTGTCTCAGACTGAACAGCTGGTGTAGCTTGTGTATAAATTCCTGGAAACTGAGGAATATGGGTTGGTGGTGGAATGCTACTAAAAGTATTAGCTTCAATAACATTTGACTGAATGTCATTAATAACTGTGGATGCTGGTGGTGTGAATTTATCTGCACCAGTAGATAAGTTTGATGTTTCTGTAACACTTTCTGACAGAAGAGACTTGTCAGAATCAGAAGTGGTTGTTATGGGTTCAGTGTTTGAGAGAATAGTAGATGCAGTGCTGTTAGACTTGTAAATAGTTGGTTGCTGCTTGTGTGTGACGGCACTTCTTACAGGAATTCTGTGCAAATAACCATAACCTATACCACAGCCTACAAGACCTTCACCACCCCAGTGCGAATTTGGAGTGATTGTAACTTCTCTACAAGAATCATCATCACAATTGTAAACATATAATTTAAGGCTCACTCCATCATGGTTTTCTATTAAATTGAAAAGATCTTCACTTTCATGTAAAATGGAATCTGAACTAATAATGTAATCTGAAAAAGGTCGTAAACCAGCCAAATCCGCTGGTGAATTTGGCTGAACTTCTAATATATGCCACACATTGTCTTTTGCTGTCTCAAAGGAGCAGAATCTGATACTTATTCCCAGATGGCCCTGGCCTCCCCAAGTATCGCTTGGTTCCACATTTACACTACGTACACTTTGAGTCTTACAGCTGTATACTGTCACCGGCAGTTGCTTCCCTAGTAAGCATAAAGAAATTGTTAGAATTAAAAATCTCCAAATATTCAAGTATACCTATTCCACTTTTTAATATTTGTTTCAAAGTATCATCATCTTTGTCCAATCTAGTACCATTAATGGATATAATAAAATCAAAGAAAGGCTGCAAACCTGCCTTCTCGCCGGGCGAATTTTCTTGGACCTGAAAGCAATCCACTGATTTAACAAATGTATATGATATCTATGATATCATTACTCTTAGAACATGATATCCATCGGAACCGCCTCCCGGTATTTCTACGCTTTCAGCGTTACCCATTATTTAAGAACATTAAGAAATACGTGGCATCTACGAATAAAATCGCCCCATCTTAACCCCAACAAATAACTTTGACAATTAATGACCCATAGTTTTGGCTGGTTAGTTCAGAAGTATCCTGAGTTCCAGTGACGTCAACAGATCTTAGTACCAACCCGGAGAAAACAAAATTTTGATATTCTTGGTCTAAATAAATTTTTGTGTACTTTCATCAATTGCTATTCATATATATATATATATATATATATATATATATATATATATATATATATATATATATATATATATATATATATATATATATATATATATATATATATATAATTTTTTTCTAGCACGACGAAGAAGCGAAACGATAAATAAATAAATCTTCGACGGATGTCGGAAATGGGTGATAAGCGAAACTACCTCCTATTGAAAAATCATGTATCTATGTACCTACCCCAGAATACGCCGCAATTGTTTGAGTGCGATCCACAGTTGCCGGATCTTTTTTATGGCATTCTGAGTAAGCGCGGTTTTCAAAAGATAGGGAAATCTAGTATTCTAAAATTAGGTAAAATTAAGTAGATGAGTATAACATTATATTTTTCAATAATTGGAAGAAGGCAAGAAAGCCATTGAAACCAAATTCTTTATTTTTGTTGCAATACAAATAGTTTTTATGTTTCTCATAAAAATAACTTTTTCCTACCCGCATATTTATTATTAAGCTAATAATAACGTGTACATTTTTAGTTATAATATGCCATTTTTTGCCTAGTTAGTATGTATCTATTTAAAACTAAAAAAAAATAATACGAATGGTAATACATATTTGAAAAATCCTCTACTAGGTATGGGAATGTGTAAGATTAAAAAACGGCTGCAAGGCAAAATTTTTGCAAATTTTAAGGGTTTTGTAAGTCCGAATATGAGCGACTATTTCCCGATTTTATCCTGAATACCAATAATAATACATTTTAATTGTATATATATAAGCAAGTATTTGGTTAAATAACAAAAATTTAAAAAGTCTGTTTTTCACTCTTTTTGATGACTAGTACCTGAATTTTATTTAAATTGATGGAAATATTGTCATATTTTGTTGTCAGAAATCTTACTTAATGCGACAATTGGAGTGAGACCCTGGAGAATTTGTTCCAAAACATCTGTCTGATGTAGTCTGGATTTTACATTTTCAGTTATCTGAGATGCAGCTGCAGTTATTTGTTTCTGAAGTATTTCAATATGCTTTTGAACATTAGATCCTAAATTTTCAGCTAAATATTCAATTTCAACTTTTCGAGTACAAGTATTCCCAAGATTATTTAAACAAACATAATGAATATGTTTACATATTGTGTTTTTAATATTATAGTCCATACATGTACATTGAAACATATGAGTACAAATATTACAAAACCTGCATATTAATTCACAACATATATTAGAATTTATTTTTGTTACTGTGACTTTCTGTTCGAGTTCATCGTTACCAGAAGAGTTTTTTAATAAATAAACATTATCTGAGTCAGTATTTATCTGATATTTTTGAGTCAGGGCAAGTCGGTGTCTCTTATTGACTGTATTAATATGTTCTGTACATTCTCCCTCTGTTAATTTAATTAGTCTCTCAATTGTTTTATTACGCAAAAAATGTTCTAAATTATACAAAGCCTTGTCAAGTCTTGGAACAGACTTCCTTTCTGGATAAATATATTTAATTACTTTGTGCATATTTTCAACATGAATATTTGTAATTCCACTTTTCTTCCTATAACAATATGCCCACTTTAATTTATTATCAGCATAATTAGTAAAGAAATACTCAAAAAATGTGCGGTATTTGGATTCAAGAATACTTAAAAATGAACATAATCCTCTTTCGAACCGTTCTTCATTCAATGTGGTCTGTAAATGTTTCAAGGTTTTATATACCCATTTTCGATCCTCGAGGGGTTGGACTTTACTAAGATTTTGTTGCCACCCTCTGTCAACATGCCACGCACAAAATAAATGCCTTCCGATAGGTCCCATGACTTTTTGCCAAGCATTCACAAATACTCCCGTCATATCAGTCATAAGAACTTTTATTTTGATTTCACCTACAGCTTTTTTAACTTCATTGAAAAACACTTCATAAATATAGGTGTCTTTTCTGTTTGTAAACATAAATGCCGTAGGAAAACTATGGTAAAATTCATCAATTATTAAAATTGTAGTCAACTCAAAATCAACATCATGAGTGGTGTCAATACAAATAATATTTTTGCCAAATTTTTTCAACATTTGATTTTGCATTTTGTTCATAAATATGAGGCAAAAATCTTCCTTTTGAAAATTATATTCTGTGAATTCTACTGAATTGTGTTCCTTATAAAGAAGTATTGGATTCTCCTCCCATTGTTTCCATTCCTCAACCCTCAAGGATACATTCATATTGTCATTTTTATGTCTGAATCCCTGTTCGACATTAATTTTATAGGATGTTTGTATATTCCTAATATCTTGCAGGGTGAGCAAACTGTCCCTATTACAATTACATGTGTTCTCTCTAATTCCATCTAAAATCCTAAAAATTATTTTAATATGTCTGTGAATTTTTTTTTGCTGAGAAAATTTATTAAAATAGTTTAAGAATACATACTCATTCTTGGAAACTCCCTTCACTAATTTAGAGGCAATGTTTTCTTTACTGACTTTTGATATTCTCAAATGATGCAAATCTTTCGCATGGCCATAGTGAGATTTGTAGTATTTTACATAACATTCACCATTTTTAAGCTTTTGGACAACTATTTGGCTTGTGCAAGCACTATTAATTTTTGATGTTCCCTGAATTTTTGAATTTTTTTTCAAATTTTCGTGAGGCACAGTTCTCTGTTTACCTAAAAATAAAAAAATCTGTAAATGCATAATGTAAATAATTACTACTACTACTACTACATTTATTACTCGTAAAACAATGTATTTGTAAGAACCAAGTAAATACTTACCTGATCTACTACAAGAGAAGTACATAATATCTTTGCTTTTATCACCATAACTACCATTCCCTGGTATATCCAACCCGCGTTTATGTCCAACTTTAATGTATCTTATATCACAAGCGTTCTCTTCTAAGCTTAACCAAATCTCAAATTCTACAAATATATTATGTATGTACAAGATGTAAACCAAAGATTGTCGTTTACTTACCTTCATATGACATAAAAGCCTTCTCAACAGTTTCTTGAATAATATTGTGTTTCTGTGATAAATGCTTCCTTAGGTCGTCATTCTTCTTAAAAGAAATATTACAACCCTCGAGGCATTGAAAATTTGCAATTTGTTTATCAAATTCGATAGGCGACACTTCCGCTTTATGAACTTCTTTTCTGTGTCTCTTAAAATTACTTTGACACGAAAAGGTTTTTTGACACTCAACGCAACACACACCCATTATTTTTTACAAATCCACAAACAATAGAGGCAATGGTAAATAAAATACATGTGATTATTCCTATTCTCTATCAACAAAAATTTTTGTTATTGAAATGATAGAGAAGAGTAAAGAGAGTATTTATAATATTGAAAATACTTACATGGGGCAGAAAGAGACAGAGAAATGCCAATGATGACAATTGACAAGAATGATAGCAGGCAGTTGAGCGTACAACTTGGCAACAATGGATTACTGTCAAACATTACCGCCTTCTCATCTTAGACGCCAAAGCGAGGACGCTGCAGTCGCCGAAATTTTGAGAAATTTTTAGGTTATCGGAAACAGTAATTTTTGTTTAAGCAGATTAAATTCAAATTTAGCCATGGTAAATATTTAAAATCTTGTAATCTCAATTGCATTCATTTTGCTTTTTTAGACTATAGGCAAGAATAATAAAATGGCGCAAAACATTAATTACCGGGTTCGAGTCACCCTGCAGGATTCTAGAACTTTTATCGGCACATTTAAGGCTTTTGATAAACATATGAACATGATCTTGGGCGACTGTGAAGAATTTAGGAAAATTAAACCCAAAAATTCAAAAGTGGAAAGGGAAGAGAAAAGGGTATTGGGATTTGTTCTGCTGAGGGGGGAAAGTATTGTTTCGTTAACAGTAGAAGGCCCTCCACCACCAGAAGAAGGTTTGCCTAGGGTTCCTATTCCTGGCGCTGCACCTGGACCAGGTAAATTATTATTTCTACTTTTTTTTTAAATTAAAATTGTTTTTTGTCTAGGTATTGGTAGAGCAGCTGGTCGAGGAATGCCTGCAGGGATGGCTGGGGTTCCAGTTGGATTGCAAGGTCCTGTTAGAGGTGTTGGTGGACCATCCCAACAAGTTATGACCCCTGGAGGAAGAGGTAAGTCAGTGGCTAGTCTAGTTCAACATTTTCCACTGTTTTTTATTTGCAGTTTATACTTTTTGTATATTTTAGTAAATTAAATGTGGTTAGTTTCTCTAGTCGTATTTTACTGAGTTAACTGAAAAATAGCTTATGTTGGCTATTGAAAAGCTTAATGTAGCTTCTTACATAAAACATGATAAATTCACACACATTACAGGTCAAGTCGCTCCTCAGATGAATCATGGTCCCCCTAGAATGGGTGGACCCCCACCTGGTATGATGGGGCCCCCACCTGGTATGCTTGGGATGCCTCCTAATCCAATGGGTATGGGTCGTGGTGGACCGCCAATGGGAATGCGAGGGCCACCTCCGGGCATGATGAGGGGTGGACCACCTGGTCCTCCAAGAGGATACTAGTATTAGTTGTGTGAACTTAGGCTTAATCTCTCAGAAGCAAGATTTTTTCTGGGTAATACATTATTAATAACCCTAAGTTGATATGTTCAGATTTTCTTTTAAGGTTATACCAGTAATGTAAAACCTGTTCCAAAATAAATTTCTCAAACTGAAGTGTTTTTGAATTCTATACTCTCTCTAACTGTGAACAGTGATAGTTTATTCAATAACAACAAAAGTGTCATATAAGAGTATGGGAAACACTAAATTACAATAAGAAATACTAAACAAATAGCTTACACTGAATCACATTTGAACTAACTACCTCTGCAGCAGTTTTGGTTAGTTTTGATTAGTTTAAATCTTTAAACAATGGCATGAAAGGATCTTTGACTCCTTATTTAAATATATTCAATTTAATTAAATCTTATGTTCTTCACATTATAAAACGCTTTTTTTTGAAAATAGTGAATTGTCAGATGGCTAGTGACTAACAGTTTGTTGCAGTGCTAGAAGAAAAATAGTTGCACTGGTGAGTAACTTTCTTTTTTAATTTGGTTTGATGAAACCGAGTTAAACTTATCACATTAAAATTTGCTGGTTAATAGTGTTTGCATTTAGGATATTTGCAATATTTCCCCACCCATTTGAAAATGAATTAATAGGGAACTGTTTGTCATGTTAACATGTCAAGTAATAAGGCCGCTTGATGATATCTGGAAGTATTAAATGTAGATTTTAGATTTAGATTTGCTCATGTTATTCCACATTATGTAGGTACTTACATACGTCAATAGAATAGTGAGTTATCTCACCATTTAAAATCCTAAATGCTGACCGAAAGCTATTTTTCATTTACCCCAGGGGCTAGTTATGATATGTTGTTGTAACAAACATCTTGTAAAATGAAATAAGTAGTAGTAATTAAATAGTGACATCATCATATTAAATTTTTGCAATTTATAACACGTAAATGTTTAAACGTATAATAAAATAAAATAAAAAATAATATTATGCAACAAGTCTGGCAAACGGCATTTTAGTCAAGTTTATTTGGCACGAACGGGGCGCAGCTGAGCGAGTGCTTAATAAACGAGTGAGCGAAAAAGTTTATTTCTACGGGTACATTTTTGCAAAACAACACGAATACATCTGACATGCCGTCAGAATTGACAGACGTAAACATTCAAGCCGTGTCGGGAAATGCCAGAAGTGACCCGAATACGTGGAAAACAAGAGTTACGTGGTAAAATGACAATATCGGTGTATGATTGGGTATGTTAGAGAACGGAGTAGAAACATTATTTCTATATAGTCATTGAAAGGAAGTCCTGTAATTTCACTCAGTAGATGTTTTTAAATTTTACCGCCTGGTACCCCATTTTGACATCTTAGTCTACAGCATATAGACACTAGCTATGTTTTATAACACTTGTTATGGTCGTAGACTCCCTAGTGACTCAAACATCTCGATGTTCCGAACACATTTTAATCTCTCTAGAATATCGAGGGCAAATTAAATATACCTAGAGGTATGAAAGCGTTCTTGCAGTCTATTATTAAACTAAGAGCTAAATTTTGTGATCACTAGTAATGAAACCAATTATTTTTTGGGGTTTCAATTTATGTGATGTCGTCATAAAATGACTTCATTAATTCCAGATGTGGACTTTAAACTTAATAATTAATTTAAACTATTATCAAATTCTAGATTCTAGGAGAATATATCTAGAGGGTGTCAAAGCAATATATTTCGTTTATTATTTGTTTTAGAGAAAAATGGTAAATACGATACTAATGGCCGTAAAAAAGAAATCACTTAAGATCATTGGTCTGAGACATTAGTAGGTCAAATTCACGTCCTGGTGACGTTATATTTAACATAATTTTCGTCATTTGGTGATTAGTTAATGACGTCATTTTGACAACCTTCTGCTATCTGGGTAACATATACAAGCATTTTACATGAAATATTTATAATAACTTTTTTGATTGCTCGATTGAAAGGAGTATTTTTGCCATTTTTTCTTTGACCATGAGATTCATTCATTAAATTGTATGTTATTTCAATAACAACCAATAGATGGTGTCTTATTAAAATTATCAGTGCTCTCTTGAGGTGAGGGATAGATTTGAATTGTAATTGGTAAATGCTTTTCATATTTGCTTATATATCAATACCTTCCAATACCCCGCAGCTGTGTACTTTAAAATGAAAACGATAAGATAAAAGTAAATTTTGCCTCTCCTTATCGCTTTAGGAATCTTTTCTTCATGAAGTTTTTATCTACTCAAGTAATTTGTTCTAAATGCGTTGCTAATTGATTTTTCAGTATCAGGTTTGACTAAAAAATAATTGTGTACATGTGTATAAAGATATGTTTTATAGAACAAGGTTTTATTCGGTTCCACGTAAACTCGTTCAATTTCGATAAAAAATAACAAAAATAATACTTATCTTTATTTCCATATACAACAGAAATTGTCTATTTACAATTTTACACAGTAAAAAAGTATAATGTAACATTCGTACCATTAATCAAGATAAAATCTGTTTTTTTGCACAAGAATATTAATGCAAAGAATAATTATTATTAACCGCTTTGATAACGCTCTTCAAATATGAGCTTGCAGATTTTCTGATCGTTACGCTCGTTATTATTGTTATTATTAACAATTTTTATCTCACCATTTACATATTTCACCAGATAGCGAAATCCCCATAAAAATAAATTATTTAATAAAAAAAAAACAAAACTAAAACAAACATTAAGAACACATTAAGAAACGTCAAAATTAATAAAAAAAAAAGGATTAACTTAACAAATATACCTTTGCTTATAAACATAAAACGAAAAACTATTTCTAATTTATAGCCTGAAAACGTGTAATTAAAATAATTTAATTGAGTTTCTTATTTTGTAATATGCTGATATAAGCATTATACTAAATTCATCAGATGGCTTGTCTTGGCCACGAAACATTAAAAGGACCACATTAACAGAAAAATCAGATCTAACATCTATAATATGTTTACCCCCATTAGTAAAACAACAATTAATTTAAAAAACAGACTTTACCTTTCCGGTACACCAGCTGTGACATAATTACCTTAAGTATTATTCACTTGCTTCTTAAGATCGGATTTAAAATTCATCATCCCAACTAGAGTAATCATCCAGAGCGTCATCTCTTTCGTGCTTAAACTCTTCGAAGTAACAGGTATCAGTGTTGCCGCGCAAATGGATTTTGATTGGAGGTTCTAGTTGCATGCTCCTCAGTTTCCCCCAATCGAGTTTCGAGAACCACGGGTGTTCCTCGATGTCCTTGATTCCATTCTTCAGACAACCCAGTCGGTCGATCGACAGAGGTCTGCAGAGCCGTTTGATCAGATTTCTCGCTCTAGGGGATATCGCTGCAGGAAAAACGACCGAATCGATGCCCTTCAGTATGAGTTTGTAAGTCTTCAGATCGTTGTGCTCGTCATTTTTGAATGGAGATTTTCCAGTTAAGATTTCGAAAATGAAGATGCCTAGCGCCCAGTAGTCTACGCCTTTATCGTGGGGTTTGTTTTGTATAAGTTCCGGAGACACATACTCTGCCGTTCCGACGAATGAGTTCGCTTTTTCATTGGGGTGTACTATCCTAGAGAAGCCGAAGTCCGTTAGTTTCAGGTAACCGTTTGAATCTACCATGACATTTTCGGGCTTAAGGTCTCGATAGATTATATCGTGAGAGTGAAGGTAGCCGAAAGCTTCCACTATGCATCCTGAAATTAAAAAAGAGTGATATAAAATGACGAAAAAACAGCCAACAACCACCATAAATTATGGTTGAAAACCATATAGCTACAGAATCATATAGACCTCGCCTATGATGACAGAATGGATACTTTTGAAGCCAACATGAAAGAAATTGAATTTGAATATTTCAAAACTCGCTGTCAACCAATAAGCCTTGTATTTCGTACAAATGTAGGTTACGGAATAACGGAATAACTGCAGATGGCCATTATTTTTTCTTAAAGATTTTTAGCGGATAGAATACTTTACCGCCTCTCTGAGATATGGACGAAAGAGAGTGTAAAACATGGAATAAGCTATCACAGCTGTTGGTTGGTCACAAACCATAGAACAAGTGCACTTTAAAGTGGTTGCCTAAACTCATGGTTAGCGTAGGGAAAGAACAATTTAAAAATTCCGACGACACTAGGGTCTTTTAAATTAAAAAAAAAAAGCGTGTTAAGCGTCTGTCATGGCATAAATTGCAGGTTAGTGCGTGAAATTTAGGGGCATGCGCGGAATCAAGAATTAATAAATTGATGCATATATTTATATATCCTATATTCCTATACTATCTCATAACAAGATTGAAAACTACGAAAACCCCTAATAAATACCTTCAATTTGAAATTATAAGACTAAATTTTTTTACCAAAATTTATAGGATTCCCAGCGGATTCTGAAAAACATTGTTTTCCTAGAAGGTCCGCAAAAGTCTTTGAATTCTTTTTTCTCACATTAAAAAACCAGAATTTTTCATTTTCTAAATTATTATTTCCAAATTATGCTTTTACAAAGGCTGTCTTACTATGACTGATCATATCTCTTCCTATTTAAGTTGATTCGTGGCATCCATTAAGGGGCTCTTAACTATTTTTGCAGGCCGATTTATTTTTAATAATTTAGGTCAACAAAAAAAACTGTCTAGAAAATTTGTGATTTTTCTTAAGCCACACAATTTTGACCAAGAGTCTAAAGAAACTTTTGTTTTGACCTAAAACCCAGAAAAAAAAACTTTTAATTTGTATGCTATTAAAAGAAATACAGACAGATATTTCGAACATGGTATTATTTTTTTCAGCAATGGGTTTTGTGATCCAAATGACACAAATGGTTTTGGTTGGTTTTTTTCTTTGGTTAATTCTTCTTTATAGAAACAATCCCTAGCATTTATAAAAATATCTCATCAATTATGGTTTAGACAAAAAGTTACTTGTCGTTTTATTATTTTTTCAATTTAAAATTGCTTGAATATTTTTAATAGTAATTAAAAAAATACCTGCATAAAATTTGGCGGCGTCCGTATCGAAGCATTTTCGGTTTTGCTTGCGTAATAAACTCCACAAGTCGCCACCGAGACACGGTTCCAGCAAGAAATAAATATATTTGCTATCTTTGAACGTCCTGTACAACTTAACGATGAAATTGTTGTCGCAGGCCATCTGCAGATTTTTTTCGTTGAACACCTGGGTTATTTGACTCTTGCCAACAATCTCGTGCTTCTTTAGACACTTTAGCGCGAAGATTAACTCCCGTTTTTTGACGTGTTGCACTAGTTCGACCCTACCAAAACCGCCGATACCCAAAATTCTAATCCTCTTAAAATTAATCAGATCTAATTTCGAATATTCAAAGTTTTCGGCGTTTTGTTCAGATTTGCCGCGTAACAGATCGTCCAATGTGGCAAAATGTCCGAAAAACTCAGTTTTACTGAGCACCAGGCATTCGACGCCCGGAGGATTGGCCACAACGCTACTGCTACTCGTCTCCTTTTTTAAAACAGATTCTCCGAAATAACTTCCTTTTGGCAGTTTCTCGACCTTTTTGGTGCCCCTTTTCAGTGCCAAAGCCGTACCAGCTGTTACGATGTAGAACTTTTCACACACTTCCCCTTCTTTGATAATCAACGTGGAGGCAGGAAATACTTGAACCTTGAACAAGTCAATCAGAGGGTACAACCGATCTTCCGGTACGGTTGAAAGTACCGGTACGTTCTTCAAGTACCGTAGTAACTCATCTTGCCTTTCGATTGCGGATTTCACCAACAGGTTTTTAAACCGGACACAGTCTAAAACCCATACAACTCCCTGAAATGAAAAAGAGATGAACCACCTCTACTACAAGCTATCTCCTTATATTCGGCTCACCTCGGAAAGAGATTGTACCGTTTGCTCGGCTTTAGCTTTATATAAAACAGCTACTTCACCGAAAATGGTTGGATGACCGTCCAACTTGGACACTACTTTGTCGTTTTCCGTCACTTGGAAAGTCCCGCATTTGCTAATGAAAAGGTTACAACTGTAGTTGCCTTGTTCGAGTAGAACTTCTCTTTCCGACACTTTCCTTTCATGTAAGTGTTCGATCATTTTTTCGATGTGAATTTCAGTTAAAATATTCTTCAAGAAATCGTTTTTTTGAATTGCCGCCCGTATCAATTGTGCATCTCTGCAAAATGCGATATCAAACTAGTCACATATGCATTTATAATGCGTTTTTGGTGTTAATATTTCGAAATTAACAATTTTTTGAAATAGGCAACCCTATTTTTAAATGCTAAATACTATAAATTTATAAAATTGACAACGTTTAACTAATTATTCATTAAAATTTTAAATGTTAGTTTTATTCACTCTGTATTTTTTTATATTTAAAGTAGATCCCCTTCTATTAAAAAAAAACAAAAAACAAATATAGAGCAATGTTTTGCTTGCTTGCATGTCGCTCTAAAAGTTTTATTTTTGAATATGGATGGAAATTGTGTTGTTTTAAAACTATTTCATAAAAAATCAAATAGAATTCGAGTCTGCTTGTGTTATACTTTTTATATAAAACAAGCCTGTAAATGTTGTATGTATAATACAATATAGCGGTAGTACTAAATTTTAGCATGTATTATGCTGATTCGAATACTACTTTTTGACGTAAATAGGTAATAGTGTTGTGTTCTTTATCTGTTTTCTTGCTTAAACCAAAAATCTGACTTGTCAATTTTAATATGTGTATTGTATTGAAAAGTAAATTCTAAGAAAAATTATCAGTGCATATTGTGTATTGTATAATATTGCAATTGCTATAAGTTGGAAGAAAAAAAACTAAATAAAATCTAAGCTTTACAGGCACCAATAGAAATATTTTATATTATTAGAAATAGAAATAGAAATTTAGTTGTTTTAAAACACTTTCACAAAAACCTAACAGAAATTGATTATATATTTGAATTGTGCCTTATAAGGAAAAAATCCTTTAAATTTTGGATAAAATAGAAAACAGCAGTAGAATTACATTGTGGCCTGTACTTTGTTAATTTGAATGGTACTGTTTGACATAAGTAAGTACTATTTTGATATTTTTCAGTGTTCTTTCAAATAAAACTGAGTCGGCTTTACGTTAGTAGGTACACTTACTCGGCAGTTGTTGAAGGTTTAATATTATTCTCCTCCAAATCATCAAACTTTTTGGCGGCTACAACTGGGCAAATTATTCCAGGACGCCTCTTATCCTTAGATTGCAACTTATATCGTTTTCCGCGCACTTTTTGGATATACTTCAGAGTCATATTAGATTAATATTAGTAATTGAATTCACAGCACTTTAATAATTGAAGTCGAAAGTTCGAATTATCACGGTAAAGTTTTTTCGCAATATTTTTCAAGAGATAAATTCGGTAGGAATATTATCTGTGTATAGCGATTTTATCTTTGTTGTAATGTTATAGCATTACTATCAATATCGATTAAAAAATGCTTTTTAAGGGGAACGTTGACGCGTTCTGTACAATTGTTATTGTGCCATAGGCGTGCAAAAGTTTTTTTCTGCGAAAACTGTTGTGCCATTATCTTTGGTTCCCACTGCGGCGAATCGCAAAGAAATTCAATGGTCCATCTCGTATGAGTTTAGACAGTACAAAAACCGCAGATGTTACAGAAAGAAAAAACGTTTTACTCTAAAATCTTCTATGATACTTGAAAGATGAAAATGGTTTTTTTGTCGAATATAAACCTAGTTTTAATTTTACTTACCTTTATTAAAAAAAGTATTAAATGTAGTTTACTATCAATGAAGTTATAAAAAATTACACCATTTTTTAAATATTGTCAGGAACGAGCACAATGGGCCATCCCTGGCTCTGCCTACGTTCCAGGGGCTTCGGATATGGAAGCGTGATTACACGCGAGAAGGCGCTGTGATCTATAGAATTAAAGCACCGCTATATAGTCAGTAATTCAATGAAACCGTAGAACGCGAGGATATAATGATATAAAATGATACTTGTGAAATATATCATAGAAAATTTTAAAAACGTGATATCATAATAAGTTCAGGGTGGAAAAAATATATAGAAAAATTCATTGCTGTTAGGACATTTACCTACTAACTTTCAATTTGGAGGCAAAATATCTGCCCACAAAAAAGTCTAATGATGCTGGTATTAAATTTATTCTTCGGTCTTCTAACTTTTAATAATAAATAATAAATAATTATATAAAAATAAGTAATAAATTACAAATTTAGTGGTACAGCTACTTAAATTACAAGAATTTTTTTTCAATGGATTAAACAAGTAATCAATGAAATATCAAAGTATTTTTGCAGCTGTCCATAATAATAAATAACTAATAATTTTGTTATTAAAATGCATTTATAGATTATATTAGTAATCGTAAAAAGTTTTGCTTAGAACAGAACTTTTTCTTACCATTTTTGTCATTGTCGCACGGCGTAGTAAACAGTGCGAAAAGTATTCACGCGAATTGGTTCTAGTCCACGGCTGACGAAGCTGACGTCTTAAATCGATACTTTGCGCATGCCTGATCAGAACATAACTGTCATGTAAATGTCAATGCATAATGCATTTTTATGAAAGATGCATTGTTATCGCGCCGGCACTGTTTTTTTACCGGAATATGTGAAAAGAGCTAGGAGTATTTTGACGCGAAAGCGTGGTACTAATTGGTACAAAGCGTGTTAATAAAACAAACACGAGGTTGCTTGTGTAAATATAGACTCTATATTTACATGTGTATACGTACATTATATTGTTTTAATTTCGAGATTTGCAATTCCTGAAAATTCTGTCATTAATCCATTTCCGCAAATAGTAGGTATGATCACTAATAAATAAATGTTGAATATTTAGTAAAGTGTGTCATTTGTAGGTAGTAATTCGATAGCAGTTCATAATTAGTAATAGCAAGTATAAGTACTGCAAAGGAATAATAAATTTGTTCTTCTGCGCAAACATTATTGGAAAATTTGCATATATATAAATGTCACTTTTTACATTTAGTTCCATAAAATGAGGATTTGATCACCGTTTGCACCCTTTCAGTTGTTGCCCTTATGAACGAACTAAGTAAGAACAATTCAGTTTCACTTATCGTGAAACCGACGAACTTTTCACTATATTGTGTCCATAAGCAAGGTACTCCGTAACGCAAATATTTATTCCTTTACGAATATGAGCGGTGTTTAATAATAAATTACTGTATTAATTTTGTTGTTGTTGTCATCGTTAGGGTATATTGGACTAAATAGAGAATTTATTACAAATCAATTTTGCTTATATTTACTGACTATTTTAAAATCATTATAAAAGTTGTTGGTTATCTAAAATATACTGATGGTATTCTGACGTTTATGATTTCTGATGGTCACAACACACAGTGAATATCAATGGTCGTGACTTATCATCAAAAAAATAAAAAGCCGTTTTACAAGCGTTTATCAGTATTGTATCAGTATCAGTATTTGCCCAAAAACATCTACGAGGCAGATAAAAACGTTTTTCTACTCCCATCTGTAAAATGCTTAATTGTCCACCGATCTAGTGTGCGGGAAGCGTCACTTTACCATGTCAGTTTCGTTTCCCACGGATCCAAACCACTTCGGACATTTCCGTGATTTTACCGCACGGGTCTGGGAGCAATGGGATGTTTTCGGAGATATTTCCCACGCCTTGAATTTTGACCTTTGTCAATTCTGACGGTACACTTTACCCGTTTACCACACTTGTTGCATAATATACTATAATAGCGTTATTACAGTCATGACCATTTATTGTTTGTCTGGATATACTCAAAAACTTATCTTGGAACAAAAAAAACCTGTTTTGAAAGAAGTCCATATTATAGAGCGGTAAAGGCACACTAATCTTTGCCTAGCGGCATAGTTAGGGTTCAAAATCCAGAGGTCAGCCTATACTAACATCACAAATTGTTTTACGATTTCTACTTTGAATTTCAATTGTCAATTGTCAATTGTCATATTGTTATTTATAAATTTTGGCTATTTTATTGTATAATCTTATCTTATTAGGCTATTTCTTTTAATTGTTTGTAACTGTCTAATTAACATAGCTCAAGTGATGCTTCGCTAATGCTTATTGTAAATATAGGATATTATTATTATATAGTGTGCAACACGTTGATAACCTTGTGTGATGCATTAGCGTATTTTTATTCGATTCTTGGTGAAGCAATCAAGCAAAGTGAATAAAACTCGTTATTAGTATTTGCAGAAGCAGCAATAATGTTCAGATTTAGAAAAAACTTCATTGGACCGAAAATTAAAAGAATCATTTACAGAAACTACTTTTAATAAATCTACTTATCGGATTGACTATAAATAGTCTTATCTCCATACTATTGTTTTGTTAGCCGCCTTACAGACAAATTAGTGTGGTTGCTTCTCATATTACATACAAAAATAACGTAACTATATGGTCCACTTTTAACGGTTAACTTATGAAAATTTTTCTGTTTAACCTTTTGGATTAACTGTATCCGTCTCGGTTATGTACCATTAACGATACATTGAGAGCAACAATTACGTTTTTTTTCGAAGTCGTACTATTCAATAATAATTTTCCTATATCTCTGTTATCCCATTCGAAAAATAATGTAATTATAGTTGGAGGGTTAATGTTTAATGGTTAACTTTATTTTGCGTAAAAATTGCTGCTTAACGATTAACCTTTCGATTTACTGTGTTCACTTTGATTTGGGAAATTTCAGATTTTCTCTCAATGCGCAAATAAAAATGCAGTTTTTTTTTAAATTTCGGTTTACTATGTAAGGCAGTTTTCGTTAGATCAGTCATGCAGATTGCAAAAATAGTACCAAAAATCTAACATTAACAAATACATTCAGAGCAACGATTATATTTTTCTTTTCGAAATCCTACTATTTCGTATATATCGTGTTAGCTGTTCCATCCACACTCAAATAATGTAACAATAATTTGCATCGATAATATTAATGAAATAATCACCTAAACTGCGACAGCGCAGCATTTCCTATTCGTATAAAAATACTAAAATAGTCTCACTATTTCATATTTTTAGTGCAACCAGTACGTGCGCAGCATAATAAGAGTTCATCTAAAAACGAGAAAAACCGAAAACATCAATCAAATCCTAACAATGGCAATGCTAAAAATATTAAACTAAAAAACAAAAGTTAACAATGATATAAGGTATAGAATTAATTGACGCTAATGGCAATAATTGCACTGCGGGTGACACTTGATCCCGTTGACGCCGCACTGGCAGCCGCCGGACGTATCCCCTTTGCCGCCCGGGCCCCATCGGGGCCCCCGCGTAACCCAGCAAATTTCCGTTTTGCACATCGAACAACGCAACCAATCACAGCCCCATTTTTTCATTAAAATAACCTAAAATTTTATTTGCAGGAGTTCGAGTAGGCTCAAGGAAATGGTAATGTGAAGCATACTTTACAAGTAGGACAGGTCAGCGCTTCTCCTTTCTCGACCATCCCCTCCAACATGTCCTTCGTCCTTTTAGCGTCCTCGTCGATTTCAGACTCGGACTTCATCTTTTCCTGATACTGCTTGCAGTTCATACCGGTGTGTATGGCCTGAAAAATGTTTAATGAAAGTCGTTATAACACTCCAAGATACTAAATTTTCTAAATCTTCTTGAAGAAATTCAAGTAGGCCTTGATTGTTGTTTGCAGACCGAAAAGTAGACTTTCCAATATCACCTACGAGCACTGTAATGTTTATGAAACAATAAAAATCGTTATGAATCTTCAGAAAACATCTGGGGTGAAGCCATAAGTCATGTCATTTTTTGTAACTTGCTTTAAACTACGTAGTAGTTTTAGGACCAACGAAATAAAATCGTAGTTAAAACATACCAATTTTACACAATTCAAAAATAATTAAAATGTTGAATAATGTATTTTAACAAAATCAATAATTTTGACATCAGTAGTCATCTTAAGTTTGTTTAAGAAAAAGTGGGACGCCGCTGCCGTTTTGTAGTGTATGTAAGCATTTTTTCTACAAAATTTTACAAAAATTTGTTCGCGACGTAGATATATCTCAAAAATGAGTATTTCTCAAACAATCCCAAATGTTGAAAAAATGCAGTGGTTTGAAATTTACATCTTATAACTCAAAATATATATAAACAACTAAAATGATATTAGAAGTTTGGCGTCGTGTAATTTGAAAACTATGGATTTTGGCGGCCTAGATTTACATAAACCTTTTTAATTTAAAATTAAAATTAAATGGATTATTGAAAAAGTTAACTGATATGCAGGGGGCATTTATATCAAAGCTATTTACAAATCTTGTGGATTCCTCTGTTTCAGTTAAACTCTGCAGGAGAGGGAGGAATCCACAAGGTTTGTAAATAGTATTACAGTAGCTTGTGGATTTTTTTTTTGAAAAAAAAAACAATCCAGTTTTAATTGAGTAAGTATGAATTTTTTTATTTTCAGGAAAAAGTGTTGCATTTTAAGTGATTTTTTAGTGAATGTGTTATATTTTCCACAAGTGTTACTTCAAATTTATTATAATCTATTGTTGATGTGATTTTCGTTTTCAGACAGCTTATAAAAAACATTTGCTATAAGCAAAGATTTTAAATATGTTTTGAATTTCTTTTGATTTACGTCACTGATTTCAACATGACGCATATTATAGTTGTTTGAACGGAATGAGAAGGTGATTTTGATAACCATGGTTACTATTTTTTTTGTTAACTGAAATTGAATGTCAGATCTTTTTTCTGTGAGACAGAAGCGTTAGACATGTCAAAAGAAAATGGAAATGCATAAAATTTGAAGAATTAAAGTTGACAAGGGATATGGTGAACCTACTTTGACCAAAAAAAAATATATATATAAGCGATACAAGATGTTCCAAAATGGCCGAGAAGACACTAATGACGAACCTCGCTCTGGACACCCCAGCACGTCAATAATTCATGAAAACGTTAAAGAATTGAAACAAATGGTGTTCCAAAATCGTCGAATCATGAAACGTGTAGCAGCAAAATTTGTTCCGAACCTGCTTAATCTTGAACAAAAGGGCCGTCGAAGGAGCATCGCTCAAGAGTTGTTAGTGGTGATCTTGATATGTTCAAAAAGGTCATAACTGGTGACGAATCATGGAGATATGGTTATGACGTCGAAACCAAAGCTCAGTCGTCCCAACAGAAGAACCCAGAATCGCCAAGACCGAAAAAAGCACGTCAAGTTCGATCAAATGTAACTATTGTCTTTGATTATCGTAGCGTTGTACATCAAGAGTTCTTACCACAAGGTCGTACGGTTAATAAAAAGTATTACCTTGAAGTTATGCAATACGAAGAAAACGTGTGGACATGGATATGTTCCCAAACCTCAAGAAACCCATGAAAGGAAGGACGTTTGAAGAACTCAAGGCTATACCAGAAAGTACTTACGAGAAGTGCTTCTGGGATTGGAAAAAACGTTGGCACAAGTGTATTATATCTGGGGGGTGGGGGGAACACTTTGAAGGAGAAAACATTAATTTTGATAAATAAATACTTTTTGATAAAACTTATGTCACCTTACTTTGTGAACACACCTCATAGGTAAATAAGTACCTGTCAACATTAACAAATTTTTAGTTCTAAAACATCTCTGAATCAGTGGTTCCAAATTGTATATTAATTTATGTAATTATTATTCCTTGTTGGACGAAAATTGGGTTCGAGTCTTCCTCAACTTATGGCATTGTAATGGATTATGTGAAAAAATATTTTTAGAGTTTGTTGACAAATGTATAAATTTGACCTTATCGAAATTGTTGCTGATATTTTTGTTGACGCAGATATCAACAATTCCGCTCCTAATATACATGTGTAGGATTAAGTTAAGTATTTCTAATACGCGTAGTTAACATACAACAAATACGGAAAAAATATTCTCGTGCGTCATTTGTAAAGTGTTTAGTACGTCGCCATAAAATTTGAAAATGTATTATTTATAAAAAAACCTAACGTCATATGCTCGTACACATAAATAATAATAAAAGAAACGGTAAAAATGATGTAGCGGGCTTTTATTTTTGTATTCTATTTGTCTGTCGTTTGATTGGGTTAAAAACAACTCTGAATATTTAAGTAGTTTTTTAGAGGGAGAGAGAGATATACCTGGCATGTAAGACAATTGATCCTTTTGCAGACGGGACATTTAAAATCGTTGACGTTGTCTTCAAAAATACACCATCCCTTGCAGTCAGGAGTTTTGCAGTGGAACGATTTGTCAGTCATGTTTTCCGCCTGAGCAACCGACTTCGCTAAGTACTGCTCGTACATCGCCGAAGATACCAACGCCTTGATTTCTCTGTCTTGCAACGCGATGTTGCAGGAATAATTGTTATCTCTGGAGACAAACAAAAACTTCGAAAATTTTATGTAAATGACTTAATACCAAATATGTAACGCTAATATTTTAATTTTAATTATTTTAAAACTTCGAGTTGAATCTTTTGTTGAATATAAAAATCGCTTACGATAGTTTGTTTTCCGCAAAACATCAACAATTTTACTGCTTTTTATATTAGAATTTTGCAGCTTTACTGATTGCTATCTGAAATATTAAAAGAAAATTTAGGTCTCGCCCAATTTTATGACTTTTTGAACAAAAGAAAGGAAGACAGTATTTTTGACATAAATCGTTATGTATTTAGTTATTATTATTTTTTACATAATTTTACCAAAGTTTTTTCGATAAATCAAATTTAACCTGAATATCATGAAATGTGCTGAACGTTCAATGATGTTAGCGACGGAATAATAATTTCCAATGTCCTGATACTCCTTTTAACGTTGTCGTAATAAACTTAATCTTGAACTTGAGTGGGCACTAAATTTAATTTCTTTACTAAACGACTGGTCAAGGTTAAATTAGTGAACTACATCAGTATTTTTTCTGCCGACTAATGTGGTTGTAACGGAAAAATAATGGACGATTGAATTGATGTTAAATTATTCTTAAAATTTAAGAATTTTAACTCTGTGTCGCTTTGAAGAAAGAAGTGTAAAAAAAATGGCATTATGTTTTGAAAAGCTACAAAAAAAACCTTTTCAGTGCCTACTTAGAAGGAAATGTATTCTAAACATTTTTAATGCAAAAAGCAAAATTGGATAACTCAGTTTTAAAAAAAATCATTATAACATTGGCGGCAATTAATTAGGGGATAAATTTAACACCTATTTAAAAGAAGAACGTTTTTTAAACAAAAACACTTCATTAGGGGAAAATATACTACCATTTTACTATTTTAACTGACTTCGTAGCTTCAATAATTCGTTCGTTCAATGAGTTAAAAGTTTTTGCACTTTTTGCCGTTTAAAACTTCCAATTGATTTTCTTCCGTAAACAGTAAGAATTTCAGCAATTATTTTGAAATATCCATTTAAAATGTTATGCTTTTCAATACAATTCGATCACAGTATGCAAAAAGTATATTTTTTAACTCAAACTAAAAAAAAATTGAACAAATATATATCAAATTTTTTAACTACTAACTATAGTAACTTAAAAAATTAAAAACTAAAAAAACTTGATGGTGGCCTTTTTTTTTCTTCGAAACCTTCCATAATATTTCAGCAGATAGCAAGAATAATATCTTAAAACGATGTTATTAATATTAGCGATACGCAACATTGAGTCATCGATCTGTGGATGCCAAATGTTTAACATAAAACCTGACGAGGAAAATTTTGAAACAATCACAAAACTTATAAAAATCTTATCATACCTATAAGGGCACTTGACCTCGGCATCTTCTGTGTACTCGACCGTATGAGCTAAGCATTGTCTACAAAACTGGTGTAAACACTCCCTCAAAGTCACACCGTCGTGTTCGGGCACTTCAATCAAACACACCACGCACTCAAATGGCTCCGCGTTCGATACCAAGTCCGCATTGTCCAAATTCACAAGCTGTTGATAAGTTTGTTCCGGCTGAGGTGCTTTTTTCTTAGCCGAACTTCTGAGAGGAGTTCTGCTGAGTCGTACCGTGGCGCACACCGCGCAAACATTGCTGGAAATGGGGTTGAGCAGAGTGCACAAGTGACACTCCCACTCCTTGGGAGCTTTGAGGGTGTTCGAGTCATCAAAATCTTCTTCGGCCTGAGCTCTGGGGGCTTCGGTGGGTGGAATGGAACTTGTCCTTTTCTGATTTATTTTCCGATCGCTGTGTTTATTTAGCACTTTAAGTTCGCTCGCGTTTACTGCGATCTCGTTATGCGCGAGCATAATTTTCGATTCAACTTTGGAGGTTTCTTTCACTTTTAAATCAGTTTTACTACAGGACTGCCCGGGCGCATCGTCTAAAATGACCTTCTGCGCTTCCAATCTCGGCTGTTTGGTGACTACAGGGACTACGTCGACTTTAAACTCAGTGATAGATACCGATGGAGTGGGTAGATATTTACTAACAATCCGTTTCGTTTCCTCTAGAGAAAGTTTCCTCGCTTGACTCTGTGAAGGAGCAGCTTCCATGTCCGCATTGTTCGGAATGACCTCTGATGATTTGGGTATGACATTGACTATTTTTGGTACGTAATTAAGAAAAGGGATTTTCACTTGAGCATTGTTACTTGCGCCGGATTCAGGTGTGTCTATTTTTTTTGGCGACCCTTTCGAACATCGTTCAGGTTTTAAATCATAATCCTGGGTTTTCAATTTCGTTCGATTGGTATTAGCGGTTATCGCATCGGAAGTTGGTATTGCTTGAGGGGTGGAAACCGAAGACGTTGAAGGAAGATTGGACGAATCGACTGATGGTTTAGCATTTGTGTAAGCCTTTTCTTCACTTTTATTTTCTGCGGATAATTAATAATAAGCGGCATCGGAATATAGCAAAACGACCTTAATTTCAATTGAGCAGAATAAGGAAAAAGTACGAATGCAAAAAAACAACCATTCGAGAGTTCTTAGGTTTGGATTAAAAAATATACCTTTTTCTACTCAGGATTCTAAAATTCCATATTTTACTAATAATTATTATTTATTTGCTGTAAGGGTTTACTTAATCCGTAACTGCGGTTATGTTCAATAACCAAAATCACATACGAAAAAAAACTCAGCTCCTAAACTAAGCTACATTTCAATATAATTCATAATATAGGAAACGCGTCTTCCTTATTATTGTGCTCCAGGAAGTATGATGCTTTCAAAAACTTAAAAATAACATTTTAATTTATAAATAACGCCGGCCTAAGCGTTCGAATGTGATGAGTCTGAATATATTTAGAATCCGAATCAAAACCTAATATAAAGTAGGAAAATTTTACATACCCGGTGCGACCAAGTACAAAAATACGGGACATCCCGCGGTAATATTGTAGTCTTTTAATGTACCGGCGTCGTTCGTCACCAGTTCCTTTCCCAAAATCCATTTTTGAACTTCGACCGGTATTTCGAACTCTTTGAAGATCTGCCGCTTCAACTCCGCCACTGTCAAGTTCTCGCGGACATCGACGGCGAAGGGACCCCTATGCGAAACTTTATCCTCGACGTACATCTCGATCCTAACAATACAAAGACTCTGACAGCTGTCAAAACATTGTACAAGCCAGGAGTTTAGCTCTCCACAAACAGTTCAATTAAATTGACTCGGAGTTGAGTTGGACTCTTGGTAATTATTTAAACACTTAGTATTGAGTATTCACCACGGACAAGCAACAAAACAGTAATCTCTGGATTACGATTAACTTAGTAGGTTAGCTAATTTTCTAACTTATTAAAATTCCAGCTGTGGATAATATAGTTAAGTACACGCGCTTTTCATTTTAAAAAACATCTTTTACGGAAAAATACCTAGCTAATAAAGAATTCGCCTTTATCAATATGTGTCTTGATATCTGTATATGCATATATTTTTGCAATGTAAAAATAACAGATGTTCGTTAACAGCTCAGCTGACCTTAGCTCAGCCGGTTTTTAAGTAAAGTCAACGCACCTGGCACATTAATTGGTGACCGGGGCGAAAAAAATCAAAATTGAATAATAATTGAAAGTTCACCATGAAAAACACTAAGAATTTTACTTTAAGAAACAGTCTTCTAAAATTTTACCATAAAAAGAAGTTGCTGCAGTAATTAAAAAAAAAAATAAAAAAATTATATATTAATTTAAAAAATAAACTTTACACCCGATATAGTTTATTGCGCAAAAAGTTTTATAAACGGTACTGTATGCATAAGCTTATGCAAGCACGAGCGGAGCGAGTGTTTAAAAAGCGAATATCGGAAGAAATTTATAAACGTGTTGCATATTATACTTTTTCACTAACATTTTTGCAAAAAATGCATTCACTGAGTAACGTAATGAGTGTAGAATATACGCAGAACTATCAGCAACTGACAAACGTCAAAATACCATTAATATCATATCGCTCCCAATGCGTGACTATAGAATCGTAAATGCTCGAATTGGTCCGCGGCAGAACTCCCAACCCGTGACTAAAGAATCGAAAATAATAGAGAAAAATGAAAGTTTATTTAAGAAACTGAATTATTTTATGAATTTAGTGCAAAACTTAATGTTGATTTAGGTAATTTGTTACATGTAATTAAAAAAAGGTATGGTAAAATTTTGGTTGTTAAAAACCATATAGATAATATGAAAACTAATCACAGTGCGTTTGAAATGAAATTATTTAAACATATCGCGTGTGTTTTCAATTCAAATTTCATACTTCGTTGATATTTACTTACTGAAATCCCTTTTTATCGAGTCCTGATTGCCCTTGAGGTTTCTGCCTAATGACAGAACAGTTGACCTTGAGCTGCGCAAGTTCTTTCGCGAAAATCGCCGCATCGGTCATATCACCTTTGGCTATGGCAGACTCCAACTTCCTCAACCGTCTGTTGATCTCTATCGTGTCGGTGTTGAATTTACTGGCAGACTTTTGTTTCTTGCCGTCATTTTTCGCTTGTGCGCTAATCTTAGGCAAGTTAAAGAATAACGAGAGCTCATCGCTTTGCGCCAGATTCGCGTAAATTCTCGCCGCCGAATTGCCATTCTTGTCCGAGTAAATATCTTCGAAGTCCTCAACCTTCATCGGTTCGTAAACGTTGGCCGATTTGTGATTTTCCAATAGTTCTTTCAGACTGTTCTCGGGCACAGTTTTTTTGACCACGCCGCTTGTTTGGGCGGCCGAAGACACTTTTAAAGGCTTCGGATTGTCGGATTTCCTTACTTTAATGTTCTCGTAAATAGTCTTTGTCTGCCCGATCAAAATTTCCGCGATCTTCTCTTCTTCCGTCTTCTGTTCGACAACGTTCTCCTTTTCTTCTTCGGTTCCCTGATCTTTAACCTCCTCGGGTTTTTCTAGAATCACGCTGGACCTGCTACTTTGCTTCAACAAGATATTCGACTTCCTCTTCGGCAGCGAGTTTTTCATCTCGATCAGCATCCTTTTCAGTTTCTCTCTCTCTTCCTTCTTACTCGTATCGTCTACTTTGGACTTATCGTCGTCCTGGTTCAGTTTTTTCTTTCCGTGGTTATAACTAGCCAGAGCGGAAAAGCCGATCTGCGTTTTGGACCTCTCAAAGACCCTCTCGTTTTGCGCTTGTTCTTTCCTTAAGATTACTGGGCTGGAAGTTTTCGGTTCTAGTGGTTTTGTTTCCACCCCGCACTTGGTCGATGGCGCAAATTCGTCGAAATAAGGCTTGATGGCCGAACAAACTTGACATATTATCCTCCAGTACTCGTTTTCCAAATTACACTTCGGACATTTCCAGCTTTTCTTTTCGGACTTTGGAGTGTCGGCTTCCCCGCTCGTCTGCTTGACCGCGCTCGCACTCTCAGACTTGATCAGGGGATTGAACTTTTCATCTTTTTTCTTGCCGATCTCTTCTATTCGTTTCTTGTGCGCGCCGAGCAGGTTTTCCTGTCTGCGCGTTTCGTCCAGGCTGTGTTGTTTTCCGAAATACTTTTCCTTTTGCGACGCGCCGAATACGGTCGCTTTCGTTACATTGGTTATAGCATTAAATTTGGCTATCAAATCTCGCGCCGATCTTCGCTTCGGAGACGACCAGCTGTCCTGAACGCCCGCTTTGGAGTCTCTGGGTTTCATAAATTCGGGAATTTCGTTGCTCGACACGCCGTTTTTCTCTTGATCTTTGCTCCTGATGATCTCCGTAGCTTCCCGGTCCAATTCGCTGATGTTCGTCAAGAAGGACATTCCCGATTTCCGTTTCTCCTCTTTTTTCTTATCGCAGCTAGGTGCGACTTCCTCTAAAGTCAAGTCCAGCGTGGAGTTCCTCACGTACTGGACTTCGGGGAGGCGCTCCGCCGCTTCGTATTTACTTTCCTTTTTGCCGGACGTCTGCTGGCTAACGGTCGAGTTTCGTTTATACCAAGGTCTCGGGGATACCGGGGTGTCTACGAAGCTAGTTCTGGACGACGAAGGACTTAGAGGATTCATACCTTGATTCGTTTCGGTTGCGTTTTTTCCATCATCCTTAGCAGACCTCAAAACGCCGTCCTCCAATTTCAACGAGTCGTTGCATAGAACGTCCTGGTCGGGACGGGCCGGTGCCAAACGTTTCTTCCTCTTCAAACTGGCGGTTGAGGAAACGTCCATTGACTGTTTCCCGACCGGAGGTTGAGGAGCTCTCCTTTTGCCTTTGACGTGGAGGTAAGCGCCTGCTTTGCGCACTTTGGACGATTCGCTATTCGTCCTGCGATGCACTTTGGGCTGTTCCACTTCCATTTGTTCAGCGCGCGTCATCAGAGGCAAACTTCGGGAATTCTCCTCCTCCGTTAATTGTTGAGGTTTCAACAGCGAATCGCGGTTGAAAAACAGGTTGTACTTTTTCCTCAGCGTCACGTTTTTGTCGTACTCTCTTCGTCGATCGCGTTGCCGGAGTCGCGCTTTATAGGTGTCGGTTTCGGGGCCAACCTGTATGCACTTTTCGACCACTACGCGTTTTTCGTATGCACCGGGAGGCACGAACGAAAATGACGCGACCGTGCCGGCACTCTTATTCGAATCCAGACTGTCGAGGCTGCTGGTGCGTGAGTCGGTGTCGATTGATTCTCGCGACGTCGACGGCTTGAACCATTTGAAGAAGGCGAAAAGGCCGCTGTTTCGTTTGGCCGTGAATTTTGGATCGTTGCCAGATCTTTGTCCCGCTGGAAACTGCTCTTGATTCATGTTACTTCTTTTGGTCCGGAGGTCATTCCACACTCCTGCTGGAGGAACAAAAGACTAGCGTTAGAATTTTATCACGGAACAGATGTAATTGCGTTTTAGGTCACCGGCGATAATCACGCTGAACTTTTCTCGTTTATGGATGGTAAAAGTTGACCACTTTTCCATTGAATCCATGGTAGAATATAAAGCAGCTATTTTTATCAAAAACATTACTTTATCTGTTCCTCCTTTAATTTGATTTTTTGTAACGAACTGAAAAACGAATAACAGCCGATTTAATTTTTAATTATTATAGGATTAATAAATTAATTTTTAACATCTCCTCCAAGTTGTTCTGTTATAACACGTTACCAAATTCATTAACTGTAAACCAGATATTAAAAAATGCATCATAATTCTGTATTATTAAAGTCTAGAAACGATAGTTTTTTTCTTATTTTTTTAAATTTATTGTCATAAAATTTGAAAATTATATTGTGTAATGTGAAAAAATACCAATGTATGGTCTGGTTAGTATATCGTCTTGGCTTTTGGCGGACCCGCCCCCCATAATCAAGCATGTGTCGGCTGATATCGAACTCGAAATCCATTTCACCGTGCTGCTTTGCGTTCTTTCAAGGAAAATCAACTTAAGTCATTTCCTGTGTGTGTTCTACGATACCGACTGATCTGATGTTTTATTGCGGTTCATAGGTTGTTTGCATAATTTGCTACTAAACCTAAGACAGATGATATACACCATGGAATAGTGTGAACAAAAAAAACGAATTCGTGTTTTCTTTGCCATGAATCACCAACTTGCAAATCATAGTAACGCCTCCGGAGCAGAGGTGTGTCGAATTTTCAATAATAGATTTAAAAGGCTTTCACTCGTTACTACAAAAAAACCGATCAAAATTAGCTAAAAATTAAAGCGGCAAATCAAAACTACATGTGCAATTTCAGTTTAATTTTAGCGGGATCAAGCAAAATTGCTCGAACCCTATCACGACAAAATTCAAAGAATTCGTTTAAGCAATAGCCCCGAAGAGCTAAGCTCGATTAAGTTTCGCCATTGGCGACTTTTTATTCACAGTAAGACGGATGGCTTGTGCTAGGAATAATATGTGGTGCCACCTGCCGGCGAAGGGAGTAAACTTTTAGTCAGCTGTTTTTTGGTCTGGAAAATTAAAAGTAAAATACGTTTCGTGTAACCATTTCACTTTTTAAAACTAAGCCATTTCCAGAAATAAATGTCTGACTCATTTCTTTGTCTTTATTATCTTGTGAATAATTTTACCAACCCTCAATTTTCTTACTAACGTTATCCCCAATTATTGGAGCAGTACGCATACTGGATGTGATATTTAAGAATTTTTTCTGGAACGCAGAAGTTTAACTGACTTTTTATCTACCGAAACCAGGTGAATCTTTAAGGAATCTCTAAATTTAAATTTACACGGCTTTTGAATAAGCATTAAAAAAACTGCAAACTTATGGCTTAAGGCATATTTAGCAAGATAGAAACATGCGATAATTAAAATCTACAGATGAAACCGTACTCAGGGAGAATGCAACGTGCAATTATGAATTAGGATCAGGAACTGCGCAATAATTTATTGTTATAAATTACATAATTTTTCAAATGCGTTTCCTTTTTATTGCCCGTGGTAACTGGTCAAGGTTTTAATGTATCTAGCCGATTCGGGCCTATTGTCTACTTTGCTCCGCACAAATTCCATGACTAAAATTACATACTTGGGTACGGAAAGAAATCACGCAGATTTACAGATATATCTGCGACAAAAAAATCTACGTCAAAGAAATCGACTTACCATCATATTATTTCAACTGTTTAAACTAACAAACTCAAAATGGAAACTTTTTCGGTCCATTTTAAAGCGCCCCGCGATTAAAATTATCGTGAGAACTGAAAGTTTTCACTGAAAAGTTTTCGATGAGCATATTTTCGGTCGGGCGTCTCTGGCGCGGTACATCTAAATTTAGTACCAGTGATAGGTATAGTTCGTCGGTAAAGTCCGGATGTCAAATTTTGTTGTTTTCATTCTGAAAGTCGTTTTAAAAGACGAAAAAGTTTTCCAGATCGGACGCGGGAAACGGTGTTTCGTTTTAATTTCTTTTCAAGGATAGTTTTTTCTTTATGCTTCGGGCATTGAGATATTTACGGTCTGGATAAAGTAATTATAGGTTCTTGACTAGTGCGCTCATGGAGTAGTGATTATTTATACTGAGGTAAATATTTGGGAACTAATTTTCGCACAAACGAAAGAATAATATTTCTCCAGTCTTAAACTTACTGATATCATTGATGATTTTTTTCGATATTTTTTTATGCTACGGAATATGTTTGATATTCTTTACGTATCTAATGGTTGGAATAAAAAAAACTGTTTCGAATATATTTAAAGATCGATTTAAAGAAATATATATAATATATACCTATAGCCACTTAAACAGTTTTTATTTTTTGAGTAAGTATAGTAAATATATTTATTGCGCCAAGTATATCAGCGAGCATAAATACCTATTTTTTTAAAAATAGGTCCAAAATCGAATCTTAAATTGTTTACGTAGTCGATTACGTTTTAAATTTTGCACTTGACTTTTGCCAAGATATTCGTTGGCAATTAAGCCAAGCCAAAATTACTAAATAAAATTCATCATTTGTGTGTGATGGCTTCCTATTGGTTTAATTCATGACTCGAGCAAAACCAGCCTAACGCTGCATAATGCCCAACCACTCTAAGGGAGGTACCTCAACTTACTGTGGAAGATTTTCTAATTTATCCCATGCGAGCAATTTTTTCCTTATCGCTAAATTTTATTTCATTTGTTTCATCATTATTTTCGTTGATAAGTAACAGTTCTTACCAATTTGGTGGGTATAAATCTATTATTTTGATTTGATCTATTTATTATTTATGTACTTATACATTGAATCCTAACAACTCCGTTCATACACATAGTTATACTTTTGTTATAATTACAAGAAAAATGATTGCATTGACGTAACTCAAAACTATTGCCGAATGATTCGTTTTAATAAAATTTTGTGATTTCATTTTTGAGTCCTGCAACCAACAATACCGTGGCATTTTGCCAAGACCTATTCTACGATTGTTGGCAACACTGTGTGTTTACTGTTGCAGATTGTCAATTGGGAAAGCGTCAACTAGATTTCTTTGTGTTTGTTTAGTCCGAAAAAGTACGTTTGCTTTACTTTATCTCGCCTAATTGTGGTTGTTTATGTTTCAGTGTGAACAATGATTTGCGAGTCGGATTTTTCGGAACACTAATCCCTTCGCGATTTTTTGTGAAATTTTCAACTCCTGAAGTAAAGGACTCGCCCAGTTTTGTTTATAACTAGACACTGAACTTTACGGTAGCTCTTTTCGTTGGACTCTACAGCCGGTCGGAAAGTGTTTTTTGTTTTTAATTTCACAATAATTGTGATGTGCTCTAATCATCCTCCAAGCAAAAGTACCTTCAGAAGTCTTGTCCCAAGAAAACTAGCCTACACCAAAAGAAAAGGAATCTTGATACACCCGACGGCCATGTTTAAAAACTTTTCTAATAGTAGTGTTATAATTTGTTCGTGTCTTACAATATAAACTGTACATTTTATCTTTTCGTGAAAGTATTCCTTGTGATATTTTCCAGTTTGACTAACATGAAGCTTTTAGAAAGCACCACATTTGAAGCCATAAACAATGCCCTCCAAATACAAACAGGGGATAGCAAAATTATTGGACGAATTGAGAGTTACTCTTGCAAAATGGCTGGTGGTGATAAAGCCTTTTACAAAAGATTTAATGCAGAAGGAGTAAATCCGAATGATTTGCAAGCATTGTCACCACCGCAGGGATTGTCACAATACAGCAGAAGTATATCTGGAGATGAGGAAGGACCGCTTTGTGACACAATCAGTCGCAAAACTTTATTTTATTTGATAGCGACCTTAAATTCATCCTTTCCTGACTATGACTTTAGTGATTTGAAGGTAAGAGTGATTATATGATACTTTTCTACAATGTAATGTGTTATTTGTTATTTAAGTCAGAAAACATAAAATAATAATAATTAATTTAGCATCTGTTCATCCAAAGTGTTTTGATAAAACATTTACTGGTCATTGGTTTTACTTGTTTTCAAATAGTTGGTGTCTTTCTTTTCTCATTAATGATGTGCATGTACCAAACACCAGATGGTAGCACAGGACATGTTGCTGCCAAGAATCAACACAAGAGAGTATATATTTGTAGGGTGGGAAGTTCTCTTCCTTCCTTGTCTAGGGGAGCTGAGTGTTCAATGATCATTTGGTGAGATCACTTTTGCTGACACCCTAACTGAAAAGTGCGCACCCGCGGTAAAGGTTTACTTAGCGAGTGCAATTTTTGTAAGCGCCTTCTTACTTTAAAGGAGGCCGTAAATAAGTTGGTATTGAAGTTGTGAATGGGTTTTTATTAAATATCATTCAGTAACATTAGTCAGACTTTAAATCAGGAAGTAGATGTCGCAAGGTATATAGTATTAGTATTAGCAATACTACAGGAGTATAGAGATGTTAAAAATTCTTTCTAAATGATGATCTCTTTTAGAGTCACGAGTTTAGCAAAGAGCCATTTCCGCAATGGGTGACCAACGCGATCGACTCCAACCTTACTGCAACTGCCGGAGATCATTACCGTATCCTCAAGCCCAGCCTCTGGGCTGCTATTGACGCAGAAATATCTTTGGATCATTGCGACATATATTCATATAATCCCGATCTGGCATCCGATCCATTTGGAGAAGATGGGTCCCTTTGGAGTTTCAATTATTTTTTTTACAACAAGAAACTCAAGCGGATTGTATTTTTCACATGCAGGGCTAGCAAGTAAGTTGATATTTTGATGTATTAGTCGTTGCTCGCAAATTGATCAACAAAGGTTACTCAAGAAAAGCATTTTAATCAAAACTTTGAATTTGTACCTATGTTTCTGTCTGTTTTTTAGCCCTAATTATTCTATGGATTCTGGATTTGGAAGCGACTTTATAATTGAAGAAGATGAGATTTATGAGTAAAAATGGGACTTCATTCAAGAGTTTAGCTCGAAGAGCTGTTTATGCATTATTGTTATTCATTACACGTTGATTGCACTTGCAACTGGTTCTGGATAGGATATAGAATAGTTGAGCCCACTTTTAAGAACTAATAAATCTATGCACAATAGATTTATTGCAGGAAGCATGTATTTATTGGTTTTAAAACTTAATATGGTGCAATAGTTTAAGCATAAAGTTTCACGTATTTTGGACTGAAATCTATTGGTCAATAAATACTATTTAGAAAACTTTTGGTGAGAGCAAAAGTACAAACTAATTTTTAGGTACTTAAACTAATTATTATCTTGCAAGAATTTCATTAGTTTTTTGAAATAAAGAGTGCATTGTTTTCCTTAGTAAGAATAAAGTGTCTGATGTTCAAAATGTTTGTGATACCTTCCACAAATTAATTGGAATAAACAACAAAAACAGTATTATTATTATTAGATAGCACACCAAATTACAATTTTACAGTGTTGCGATTTATTGGGTTAAAATTTGAAGTGTAATTTGCAACAACCAAATTTTTCTTATCATTTAACATGTTTGCTAAGCTGGCATGATGTAGTATAAGTACCTGTGTATTATATTAATTCTTGTGGTAGTATCTGTTACTTTTAATATTCGATCAAAACTTTAGTTATTTAGGGCGAGTTTGCGCTGTAGGTCAAATTATTTCTCGTACTATTGTAAAACTTGATCTCACTCAGTAGTTCATTTATTTGAATATTTTAACAAACGGCAATCAGATGCATAATTTATCTCCGAAGTTGTCATATATCTATCATATTTTGTGAATCAATGTTTTGTTTTCAGAGATCTGAATATAGAGCATAAAATAGGTAAATTTAAAGTGTATTTTTTCTCATTTTCGGTCCTGCAAACGTTTTAGTGTGGCGATCTACTAATACCCAAAGAGTTAAATAAAAATTTCTTTCCACTCCCTACTTTCAAAATACCCAATTATGCATAAATCAAGACTGCAGAAAGTTTCACTTTAAGACATGAAAAAAAAAAACAGTATTACATGCGACAGGTTGATAAACTGCGCTGTTGAGTAAAATGGCATTTATCGAACTTATTGCATCCACTCCACCATCATATAAAGGTAAAAATTTTCGAAACTTTAAGAGAATATAAATTAATATTCATTGAGCACAGGTTGGGGGTTATTACTATCAGCAACTAAATGTGACTGAACCAAATAGAACAGAGTGTTATTTGGGGTAACATTTGTATTTTAAATAAAATAATAGCCGGTTTAGTGTATTAAGTATTAAGTTTTTATTTCTTCTCAGTTATAAACTTTGTTGCATCTAAAAACTGATCTGTAACATTTAGATAATTCTTTCTAATTCGCCATACCATAATATTTACAATTTATATTTAGCTTTACCAGTGAATAAAAGGGAAAACAAAATCTCTTAAGCATAAATATATCTATCTATACATCTTTGTAAACTAGAATAACTGAAAATACTGAACAATCTCAACGATCAATAAACGAAACATGTTGTCTATAATATATATAATTATTTCTCAATCTAAAAATATTATATATTTCTAGAATTAGTTAAACCATTCTTTTATGATTTTCAAAAGTTAATTGAAAAATACAAATAAAAAAAGTTGTATCCTATGTTTCATCATGAGCATCATTTAGCCATTGTTATTGCGTTAAGCATTCCTGACCTTCTAGATTTGTCGAAACTTGAGCATTCCTGGTTCATTTAATTGTACCATATGGAGGGTACCATCAGGGATCATTTAATAATTTTTCCTCAAAAAAAGTGGACCCTTGTAGAGTCTCATTAAATTCAAAGCATATGGAGAACTGGCGTTCTCAATTTTTGTGGGAAAAATTAGTGACATAAAACATGTTGAAAAAAAAGTTTCTTAATGTTCACAAAAAAATCACAAAACTTGTGAAAATCGATAAAATTTAATACCTGTTGGCACTCATTACCCATTCTTTAACGCCTGTTGCATCTTTCTTGGACCCAAGTCATGGAGTTTTGTTATGTTTTCATGATTACTTTAAGCATTTGTTACACTGCTAAGAAACAACACTGCGTTCGGATAAAGACAGACAAAAATAAATAAATCTAGAAGTATCAGTCACATTAGTACCTACTCCAGTCAATATTCTGTCACATCAGACCGTAATTTACACGAATGATGCCGAAAGGAAATATTTCCCATCATTGTAATTTACACATACATCGCTTTCTATCTGTACATCATAACATCGGAACTTTGGTACATGCAAATATAAGCATCACAGAGGAGTCTCCGTGCGTGTTCTGGGAGATGTCTATCGACAGGAAAATCTTCGTGGAGCTGCCGACACGCAAATTCTTCAGATAACCAGTGAGAAACGTCTGGACACGCAACCATTTCAGGAATATTGTACCCGTTCTTTTCACCTATCCAATAAGCTAGTTTTTATCAAAGTCAAATAACTAGAGATAGGGCGTTCACCTCTTCGATCCGCCATTGAGTCGAAAAAGCACCAGGGTGCTTTGTGTCCCACGCCGCATTTTACAAAAGCTACATAATGTGAGGTTTCTATACAAATCACAGCAAAAAGTTCCATAAAAAGTCTTGGCGGCCTAAAAAATTTCACTATTAAAAAACCTAGCAAATAAACGCCTTGAACATCTTAGTTATATTGGAAATGTTCTAGGAAAAACGCATGTGTTCAAATACCATAAAAATTACGTCTTTACTGTAAAGATAAAGAACTAACCAAAATCTGATCGTTACCATTACTGGGTTTAATAAAATATGACGTACCGACAGTGGCCCTCCAAAACCAAGAAATCACCATCAACCACTAGCTCCCTGGGTTTATGTTGTTGTCTCATTTCATGCCTGTGCGCAGTATGGAGACAATCCAAACAAAATGACGTGCTTTCTAGACCCGCCTGGGAGGCAGGGCCGCCAAAACATTCCCGACACTCCCACTTCGCGAGTATACCGCACACGAAGCACTGTCGCGGCGCTAAAATGTGAAAAATATGTACTACTCTAGAGAACAAGCCGGTAATTAAATTCGTAACACATTTAACTTACAGCCATCTATTATGTCGGTAACATCTAAAAGTTGCGATGGCAAAATTCTAGGATACATTTTGTAGTTTTTCCCAAATCTAGGCATCTGTAATATTAAGCACGAAGGAACCTCTTTTAATTTAATGTCGCTCGTCAAAAAGCTCTGTTCGCAGAGTTGCTGGACAGTCGGCAGAGTCAAATCCGCATCTTTCTCGACAAAAAGCTGGTAATAAAACGCTTCCTAAAACAGGACCAGTTTCACTTTTAGCTCGCACGTTGGTTCATTGTGTTCATACTTGTCCCGAATTCAATTTCAAAAATGGCTCGGCTTTTAAAATTTGAGCAAGTAAAGAATTAAGGAACTCTTCCGGATCTTTTTCCTCACTCGTTAATCCAGATACTGAACTTAACCTGTCCAACATCCTTCTTAAATTCATAACGTGGTCCGCACTTACAAACAAGTTTTTCCTCAATGGGTTTACTATTTCTTCCCTCAGAACTCTCTGAACCTGCATAATTTTTTTTATTACACATGCCATTAATTATATAATAGATTCCTCTCGCAACAACTTAAAATTTTTTAAATAACGAATTAAATATTATTTCTGTCTGTTGGAATATTTTACCAACTCCAGAAGATGCAATCAGAAAATTTCAAAATGTCAAACTGCCTAGAAATTTTTTGAAATCAGAATAAGAAATGGCTGAATTATAGCCATAGAGTGATTAAACAGAGAATGACTTACTACTTTTCCAATCACTTTATTGGGTTTAATGATCATAATTTTTTAAAGAATTAAGATCATAAATGCTCTATGACTTTGGGGCATAAAAGTTGTGGTGTACTCTTTAAAAAGAGACACTCGGGTGTTGGTTGGTTACATTTTATAAATAAATAATCAGTTGTTAATCATAAGATGCAACAGTTTGGTTCATTCCTCAGTATTACCTCGTCATAGTCATTCACGTCGTTTGCATTTTTGGGCCGGAAAATTAAACTGTCAAATACAGATGTGTAGGTAAACATGGAAAACAAGGTAACGTCCAGGTAGCAAGAGTTGTGGTGCCCTTGAATACCTCGGTACTTTCCGCACACTGCCTCAACGTCTTCTTCAGTCGCCATACACAAAGGAGCCACAGCGCCAGGAATGACAGGACATTCCACCTAATGGACAGCACAAATTAAAAGAAAGCTTTAGAAATGTCATATTTAAAACAGACAAATTTACCATAATACTTTATTAGTTTACTCCCAAATGCAAAATACTTACACCTTCAGGTGAAGGAATCTGATGGACAGGTGTAGGTATACCATCCTCAAACCTAGCGTCCTTATGACACTGTTCTAATGGAACAAATAAAGCCCTATTTGTTGCGCATTGAAAAAAACGATCCCCATTATGAGTACCATCTGTTAAAGTTAAAGGCAAATGGGTCCCTTCTTCTTCTAATTCCACTCCCACCAAAACAAAATTTGTATCTTTTTCGACTCCCATCCATCGCACAACTCCTACATAAAAAAAGAAATTTTTTTTTGAAAGAGATTTTTAATATAAATGTAATATAAAATTATTCGAAGCTTCTCATAGTTTTAGTTATAAGAGAAAAAAGTGTTATTTACCATACAATGGATTATCTGCGACGTCATTTAATACCTCAACCAGGCTTCCAATTACCAAATCATTTGTAGATCCAGGCAGAGGATCTGCATATTTTGGTTCACTGTTGACATAAAACGTGCTGGTAGCCTTAGCCTGGTGCTCATTCCTTTCGTTAATCTCTATGACAGATAAGGGTAACAAATTAAACTCGTCATCATAAATATTCTCGGTATTCGCGTATATCGCACAGTTCTCAGCGTTGTGTTTGTGATTCATTTTATCTCGAGTTTTTTTTGATTTTTCACCAATACTCAGGCTCAGGTTACATTTTTTTCGCTTCCCTAATGACATCATGGCAACTTTTTTTATTTAACAACTATATACGCACTTTTTATCAATCCAATGGTGCAGCACATAACATTTGATCGCGAAAAAAAATTCGCGGGCCCATCTATTTTGATAGAGTGGCGTGTTGGCCGATAGAATCTGAACTACTTAGATAAAAATAGAAATTCTAAAAAAAACGCGCACACTGTTGGTACCTCGGAAACCGCGACCAGAGGCACAACAGTTTATTTTTGAACTTAAGCCAGCTGTGGGAAATAAGGTAACAAGTAACTCCAATCCGTGTGGTATAAAGTGATGCAACATTCTGTTTGTGCAATATTTGCAATATTCATTCTATAGTTTTATCAACAATTGATAATTTCAAGATATGATGAAAATAAGATAAAAATGAATAATTTGTGTAGTGCGAGTGAAACAAGAAAATAGTGCAATATTTTCCAACACAGATGCAAACAACAACTGCAACAACCAAGTCTGTTGTTTACATAAGATGACTTGTTCTTCCCATCTGCAAGAGCTACAAGAAGTTAAATTCAAAAGTTTCTTGTGCTTGAGGGGGCCTTTAGACTTTTTTATGGTCAGGTATCAACTGTCTTAAATTAAATGGAATATCTTGCACATGGAATAAGTAAACATTTTGGAGCTGGTAGCAGTTCTCAGATAAAATAGGTGTAAACATCAAGGAAATTCTTGAAAATACTGAATATTTAATTTAATTTTTACTAAAATACTAAATGTCACAAATATTTTTGTCACCATGTATAGGATCATTCTTATTGCTTTGAGTTATATTGTAAGATAACTGAAAAACTTTTCATTTTTCTTAAATAAAATTAACTTACTTTTATTATTATCTTGCTTCTTTATGGGATCCTTGTGCTCTTTATCTCTTTCATTCACGTCAACAGAGTTTGTATAAAACTTACTTCGTTTTAAAGTTGTACCATCAATTAAATGTGAAATTGGATTACCACTTTTGTTTCTCACTCCTCGATTGTTTATTGTATTAGCATTCGTTATAGCATAGTACTTGTCATTAATATTATCATTTTTATCTAGATTTTTTCGACTTTGATCAATAATTACTGAACCATGGATGCTATGTATATCCATCTCTGATTTATTCCTGATTTTATTTTCATTCATGAGGTGAGTTTTCTCTGGTTGTATGATAGTATTCTGATCAAAATCATTGTTGGTGTTCACTGATGTATTATCAGAATCAGAAATATTTTGTAGGGATAGAGAATTCCTAATATAAGTCACATTTTTATTAGGAAGAATCTTTTTTGAATATTCTCCATATCTGGTAACAACTTCTTCATGTGGAGGTTTATCCAAACCACCATTCAAAAAACTTGATATATTCTTTTGTAAACAAATATCCAGATCACTTACTGGAGGGGGTGATTCACTTTTATTTGCATAAATAGATGGAACAACACGTTCTATGGTGGTGAAAACTGCATAGCCGGGTAGACATTGGAAATATTGAATGCCTGCACAGGATCCATTGCACCTAGATTTTTTGTTTTTTTCCTAAAAAGAAAAAACTAAAATTATAACATCTGAAAGAACCTAGAAATATCCATTACTTATAGCAGATATGTTTTGCACCTACAGAACTTGGCAAAACCCAAGTCTATTTTTAATAAAATAAAAGAAATAACTTGTTACAAACAGAGTGAGACAAAAATCAAAAATTTTATAAAATGAAATCAAATTAATCACTGGTTTGTGGAAGCCTTAAAAGTGTGTCCTATTAGTCATACCAAATTTGCAATCAAAACAAATATTAAACCACATAACATTAATTTGCATTTTCAAATACAGTTTTTGAATATTAAGTGATCAATTATTTTTTGCTTGGTTAACTCTTTACAATTCTCTTTTGACTTATAAAGACTATCTACCACACAAGTGGCAACAATTTCTTGAAAGTTATTGTAATAGATATATCCACTATTCTCTATTACATTTATTTCTTAACCAAATTGACTGTATCACTAATCTAACCATAAAATATAGTAGTTTTAAGTAAGGGTTAAAATACGTACATGCAACTCAATGCCAAAACTATATCCAAGTCCTTTAACTTTCCCCATATACTTTATTGTTCCCAATTTAACATCTTCACTGTCAATAAATCCCACAGTCACATCTTTTGAAATAGTCATCAATTTTTCACACAATGATTTATTTTTCGCAAGCTTAACTCTTTCCTGAGGTGAAGCTATGGAAGCAATATATTGCCACAGCTTTTTTGGGATTGGCAAAACAGACTCTGGATTTGATGTGAAAAATGTCAAAGGCTCAAAAGACTCATTATCTCTAAGACATCTTATTTGTATATCACCGTTCTCGCGTTTTGATTCAATTATTACAATTTGGCCCATTAGAACAGTGTTCGAATTAATGCGGCTTAAGCTTAATTCCTTCAAAACTTCGTTTTTTAGGAATATTGCATACTCCTTTTCTCTCGAACTCATAATTACTCGTTTAATTTAGCTCACTATCCGTAAACATACCTTACGAACATAAAAAAAGTTATGATTTTGCTTATCTGGTCGTAGTCGAAAATGTAAAAATTATGTGTAAATAAAATATACATAAACACACCTTTTGACACCTGTGATCGTTCGACACACAGATTATGAATGTCATTAAACAAAAGAATTAATTTTTTGATCTGTGTATATCTGCCTTTATTTGTTGGGGATTAAAAAAATAACTCTTGTTAGTTGTTAGCACGATTTTATTTCTGCCACAGATTGAACAGGTTCCTGGATCTCAATTTTAGCACTTTTGAAATAGGCACGAATTCTGTTTAGGTGGATGCCCTCGCATTTTTGGCCTTACCCATTGAAGAAAGAAGAAGCGTAAGAGGTTATGTTATGGCGAGGAACGAATTTTTTAAAATGTATCCTTTAAACAAATTTTGTTTTAAAATCTACTATTAGATTTTACGCATCATTAATTCCTTATCACTGATATTAGAGAACTGGATTTGCCATTTACTAATAACAGGATAGCTGAAATTGTTTATGATGTCTTAAGAGTGGATTTGGAACCAAAACGAAGTGGCGTGATCAAGGAATTGTGTCTTAAAAATAATATTGTTAAATTGTATGTATAATTCTATAAAGTTTAAATTTGTTTAAATTTATAGTAAATCCCCTTTTTAGGTTTCTGCAAGCTCAGCTGGCCCGACAAATGAGAGTAGCCATAAATAACTTTTTTGAAAAAGTTGATTTAGTCATTGAGACCATCGAAAGTATTGGGCCACCGACAACAGATTCATATAATCACTACTAAATTATGCCAGAACACACTCCAGCCCCCACTCCTAGCAGGGCAGTGTACGGTTTTGCTATGTTCTTGGGCTTCAAAATATTTTTTATTATTTATATTATCTGGTCTGTAATCCCAGAGAAATATTTTGAAAAAGTGGGTATAGACTTTCTGCCACAGCGTTATTGGGCTATTGCTGTACCAATTTATGTTTTGTCCACTTTGACACTCTTTGCCTTTGTAATTTATCCCAGCTTTGGTTTGATAATGACTCCAGATGTGGATGATATACGCACAATCATGGATAAGGTGGGCAAAAAACGAAAAAATAATGAGATTAAGTTGGAAGAATATCAGAGCCCTTCTTGTGTTTGTAAAAACCATGAAAAATGTGCTAAGGAATATTTTGATGTCAAAGAAATGAATTCAAAACAAAAAAGGATACCAGTATTGAGAGATTTGGATATGTGGACTGTATCTGAAAGTTTGTATTTAAATTAAAGATTTCCATGATAAACACTTAATTATTTTAAACCCATTAAAGAACAGATTGCAATCTGTTACTGACCACACCTTTGTTGGTCAATTGAAGTACTGAAATATCCCGATTATGAAATAAAATATAACATTTTAAACAATATTTGATAGTTTTTTAGTCACATACATACAGTGTACAGATTTTCATTATTTTTGATCTTACAACTTTAAGGTAACTCAAAATGTTAAATTTACAGAATAATGCATAACGTAAAAGCATCTAGCATACAGGATGATTAGAGTTTCAGCATTCTCAGAAATACTTATAATTCTGGTGTATTTAAAAAAAAAATGGGTATAGTATTCTATCATCTACGGTACATGGCCATATATGGAAATGTTATAAGTAAGTTACTAAGCCATCAGAAAGAAGAATAAAATACAGGGTATTGGAATAAAAAAAGTTTTCATCCTTACATTTCAGAAAAAAAATTTAATGTACAAGATATGTCAAGAAAACTCGTTTCTGGCTTACTCAATGACATTAAAAAGGTTCTTTTTGGAACACCATAACAATCAATATAAGTAGTTATTATTTAATATTATTTAGAATATTGTATTGTAATAGTACAAAAAGTATTTTCATAAATATTTTTAAACTATGGGTTATCATCTAATATGGCCATGTGATCCTTTGTTTTCTTAGTTCTGCGTAACCTTTATTAGAATTACCAACATGAATTACCCTATATGCCAAATAATAAGAAACACAATTAGAATAAGGACTAAAAATTTTAGGATACCCTACAGGACGCATCACACTCATTTTCTAAATTTCTAGTTATTTGTCCGCCTTTGAGTACAGTATTAACGGTTGCTCTAGCCAGATATCCCGTTGACTGGATGTAAGGCACTTCCATCAAATAAGAAACCTTTTCTTCTGTTAAATTATGATCCTAAAGAGTTTTTAAATATGAAAATGCTTAAGAGGTATAATCTGAATGACATACCTTCGCATACATGTGTGCAGCATCTTTTATAAGCTGTTTTAGGTCAAGAGGCTGGCTAAAAGTAAGCTCCGGATTTCTCCCCAGGATAGTTGCCACAATTGTAAGGAGTTCTACAATTAATTGTCTATATTCTGGAACATGAATGTGATTTAACATCTATTAAAAGAAAAAACATTAATACAATATCTCAAATTGTACTGGATAGTTTTTACTTGTTCAACTAGTAATGAAAACGTCAAATCTGAACGACTCATATTTGACATAGTCGGCTCCTGAGGGATAGTTCTGCCTTCTACTATAATCCCCTTGGGAGTCCTCAACATGACATCCCAAACCTCATTATAGAATGAGGCTGGAACTCTGCATAGGCAACCTTCCAGCTGTCGACGTTGAAGAGGAGTTAACCTTATAATATTACTTGTATTAAATATGTTGAATTAGATAGATTGACATACTTATCATGGGAGGCCCACTCTTTTAATGATAAAACCTTGTATAACAGCTGCCGAATTTGATATGGGCTATGAGCTTCAATCCGTTTCTTACTCTCGAATATTTCTAAGAAATATTTCATGGCTTCAAGCACCCACCCTACCCGAATCTTCAAAATACCTTTAAAATGATTTTATGGTGTATTGTTATGAAAATCATAAATGAAAATTAAATCTACAATGTTATTTATACCATTCTCATTTATTTGTTGAATATTACCTTTAAATAACTCGGGATTGGTTGATATCAGTCGACCACAGTACAAAGTAACCTCTTGTTGTAAAACAGCCTGAATAATGTCATAAGGTTGTATAGTACTATAAACTATAGATTGAATTTCTGATGGAGTCATGGGTTTGTCAAATACTGTTTCTTTTTGCCCAATAACGCCAACGGTTAGCTAAATATGAGAAACAAAAATAGTCAATGTAAACCGCGATTATTCCACACAACACAAACCTGTTTTCCGTGCACCAGGACTGCAGTAATAAATGGACTAATAGAATCAACTGTATGATGCAATAAGCTGCTGGTGTACCGCACCGCCGCCCAATGACGCAAACATCCACCTTGATGGTAAATCCTCTGAAGGCACTCCTCCACTGTTCTTTCACCAACAGCAAAATGTTTCCCCTCCTTCCGCAAAAGGAATCCATAAAGTTGAGCCCGAGCGTAAAGGCTTTCTTGATTTTTTAAAGTATCGATGATTTCATTGGTGGGTTTTTCTTTAAAATCCTTAAGGAAATTATAAGGTAGCGTTTTAAAAGAAAATTCTTTTTCTTGATGTAACTGACCGAAAAATCTTGTAGTTCGTCATTGTAATGTGTCACTCTAGGCACATCAGTTAAGCTCTGATAACCTATATAATCATGTTCTAGTTGTTGAAAATGACTAAACGTATCAGTAAGGCCTTCCATAATATTCATAAAGTCCAAATGTTCTGCAATATGTAACATTGAAATTATAATTGAATTCTGCAAACTTACAAACTTACCAACGCAAGAGCTAGAGATGAGGTTCTGCAATCTCCCAATTCTTACTTTAACGTTATCACAATAACCTTTTTTAAGCATCGCCAACAAGTCGAGCATTTTTTTGAATTGGGGGTCTCTCATATGCTCCTCCCTAATTAAAAGGCATACAGTAGGTCTGCCGGAAAGTCTCCAGTACCTTTCAATGGATTATAAAAGTTAAATTACTGTGAATTATTGCAAAGTATCTTGGTATAAGTAAATATTACTTAAAAACTACCTTCCAACAAACTGTAGTTCGGTTTTTATGTCATCTATCAACAGGGCCATATCTCGATACAAATAGAAATCTGACACTTCAAATATCAAAGGATAACAGAGTACCGTAGCTCCACAAATTCTATAAAGTTTACTAGTACCTAAAAATGTACTTTGGAAATAACATAGAGCTGATATGTCATGTTTTACCAAGGCTTCCAATTGGTCTTTCTGGTCTGCCATGCAATTTCATTTTTTTATTAACCCCCAAGTTTTGATATATTTGCACTAACTGAGTGGAAGACCAAATTTGCACTGGTTCCACCTCATGAGGAGTCTGAGTTTGAATGCCATAGGTAGCCATCATGGCTTGGAGCCTCATGGATTCTGCTATTAGCACAATTTGGACCACCAAATCTGTAGCGGTACCCTGCATTTAACAAAAAATCTCAAGTTCCGGCACTGGCAATATTTGTCTCAGAAAGGTACGCGAAGGAGTAGTGAGAAAACAAAAAACATCCACAACTATGAGACATGCTAGTATCGCTATCATTAATTCGAACTAGAAGTAATAAAATATGCTAAAATTCTTAAAAATTTATTATATTTTTAGTACCATCTGTAATCCAAAGCCAAAATGTTCACATTACAACTTACTTCTGCAAATCCAAACCAAAAACACTACAAGTACAAGAAACATTAAAAAATATACCAAGCAAAAGAAGAACAGGAAAGCCACAATTATTCTAATAAAGCATAAGCGCTACAAAGAAACTGGTTAGCAACATTTAAATAATTAATTTACTTACAATTGATGGTTTTGCCTGAAGCACAAAAAAAAATAAAACAAAATTAGAACACATTGCATTTAAAAGTTTTTTTTTATCAATTTGTGCATAACCACCGCAAACGGCTTTGAAATGTTCAACAATCAACATCAACATCTGGGGGCATGTTTCACAGCTTTTTGGCAGATAGCTAACAATATTCCAAAAAATCAAAATGCATTAATCAAATCAGAGGAATTTGAATACTAAAAAAAATTTAAAATTTAAAAATTGATCAAAATTAAATTTAGAAAACCAAAAGTCATTATGTTAAAATAGATTATAATATTATAAGCATTAAACCATAAAATTTAAAACGACATAAAGAGCAACACTCTATATTATTTCAATTTTAAAATTTTAGTACTTACCTGAAATGCAGAATATCGACCACCTTTTCTAGGTCTATTATATGATGGCAAATATCTGCGTATTGGATCTAATTCATTAATATGCAAGAGACCAGCAGTTAACAGTTGAGCCAATATAAACATAGCTTGGTTCCAGAGAAATAGACCATTATTCTCTTGGGCCATATTTTTTGCAGTTGTGTGCTGTTCAGACCTTTCCTTTTCTACATTTTCTTGAGAGACAAAATAGAACATGGGTATAACCGGATCTAAAATACTGGTGAAATGAATCTGAAATAAATTAGCTTTCAGAGAATTACCTTCATTATGGTCTAAAAATATTCTCTTTTTAAGCAACTCTTGGTATTCCACAATTTGATCAGGGAGATTTTTGAAAACCCCATCTATAATCATAAAAATATAAAACAAGGGCCATTCACATTCAATTCCCTCAAAATTTTTAATCTCTTCTTTCTTGTAATACCTAATTTGCCAATTATGTTAATACATAAATTACCAATTGCTCTCCATTATACTTTACTTTTGATTAGGATCTTCTAAAACTGTCTTATATCCATCTCTTGTAAATCGCTTAAATCCATAATGACCTCTAAGGTTCTGCACAATATTATTCTTTGTGGTATTGTAGAGCATATCTTCATGTGTAGCAAAGGCAGGATAAGATATAGTAGCCAACAAAGATGAGTCAACTTCCTGAAATATACTGACCCATAATTAATTGTTTACTATATTGATTTCCTGACCTTGGAACAAGATTCTCTTGGTAATAAAGTCTCAAAAATACTTCTATTTCTGTTATGGGCATCAATATCAACATAAACTACACTCCAAGAGGCCCCTTTCTCACCAAACAGATTACAACCATTTATGGCCTCAAGAGCTGATTTTGCTATACCAATTGAGCTGGCATGAATTTCTGGGCTCCCATCATTATATTTGCTCCCTCTTTCCCACATCCCAAAATCTGGAGTTCTATATGCCCTTTCTACGTAATAAACCAAGTTTTGAATAAAAGCTACCTCATCCTGGAAGAATATTTTTACCAAAAAGAATTGACAATTTATATTTCAACATTTACTTGAGTATAAATAATCTGCAATCCAGATGTTATCATCTGGACTAAAAATAATAAATAAACTGACACCACATCAATTTGCAAATGGTTATATTCATCATCAGAAAATACTTCATTGCCAGTAGTTAAATGAAACTTTACATGCAGTGCATGTGCAACACACTGGTTTTTCTTAAATAACTCTACCCTTAAAGATTGTTTCATCCAGCACTCCAATATACCTCTCATACATTTTACAGTTGATTGTCCCAGCTCATATGATTTTCCTCTGTCATCATCTATCCTCCTGATTATGCTTGATTAGAAGAGGGTATACATAATTTGTCATGTTCTTACCTGTAAGCCTGATATAAACCCCAAACTGCAGCAGCGCAATATACACTATCTCTAATACTTCCCACTTCAGTATCACCTGAAAAGACTGGAAACAATCCAGTAATAGGGCTTTGGTATCTTAGCAATTGCCTTTTCACTGAAAATTACCTAAGGTATTTTTTGCTTTGGTCAATTTTCTTTTTTTAATTACCCGTGCCATAGTAAACATCTAATTGACGAACAGTTTCTTCATAATTTGCTGTTTTAATAAACTGGTCAAAATTTATATCTTCCATAATACTACTATGAACAGTCATCCTGAAGATGATTATGAATTACTGCCTTGCATTGGGATTTTTGGTTCGATATTAACTACTACTAGCGTATTTTGCAAGAATTATATTTTTATAGATTTAAAAATAAGTGTAGACAACCAATATAAATAAAAATAGATGTCATACAAAGGTCAACAAAAATTTAAACTGCCCAATACAAACCAAAAGTGCCAGGATCAATTGGCCAATCAAGCAATTGGTTTAAGCCAAATAATATCAGTTCTCGGTGGGTGCGCATACGGCAGTGTGTTATTATCCAAGGGGTTTGCTGAACGAAAATTGTTGCATAAAAATAATGTTACTTCAGAAAATCAGAAGTGAGTTTTTGTTCAGCTGAATCGGAGATATGTGAGGTTAGTTTTGTACCTTTGGCCTAAATACTCAATGAACAATAAAAAAGTTGTTGACAAAAATATATACTGTGTTGTCGTGCCCAACAGCTATCTGTGAAACGCATCATTGAATTGAATATACTGTGCTGCAACTATTCCATAAAAAGTTTTGAAAAATAGTTCTAATGGACAACATTATTTACGATTTTTTTCTTCAGTAGGTAAACTACAGGATTACCATATTTTTCTTGGAGAAATGGCAATATCGTTAATTGATGAATTTCGAAAAAGGTGGTTAACATCAGTTATTGGTATTTGCATATTTGGTGCTGGGGTGTATTTGCTAACATGGAACGAGGTGATTATATTATTGATATAATCTGCTTGTAGTTCAATATTTCTTACAGGGAAGAGCTGTACATCATCATCATTCATTAGAGGAAGTGTTCCAAAATGCTATTTCTTTAAACCAGTATGATAAATTAAGGCCTGAATTTGATGGAAGGGTTGTTCATATTGCTGGAGATTTAGTGGTTGATGAACCTTTAACTGATCCTGAATATGGTATTTCTATTCAAGCAGTGAAACTTAAGAGAAGAGTTCAGATGTATCAATGGGTAGAAGAACGATCGTACGTTTAAGTGCTTAAGTTGCTTAAAATTAATTTTACAAGCTTCAGGCCTAGAAATGATGGTGATGATATTGTTCAGCAAAAATCAGAGAATGATTATTATTATGTTACTGAATGGCGAGACAAATTAGTAGACAGCAGTACTTTTTACATAAGGCATGGTCACCGTAATCCTCGGTAAGTTCCATACCAATCAGAATAATAAGGGATCGACAAGTAGGAATATTTTGCCACTATAGGGAAATGCCATTAAAAACAGTAACATATATTGCACCTTATGTCCAAGTAGGTGCATTGAAATTGGGTGCAGAAATAAAAGATAAATTTATCGACTTTACTGAAGTTTCCAGTGATGAACGTCCAGAAAGAAGAGATATCAAGTTACATATGGGAATTTATTATCACTGTCAAGTAATTTTATTATATTATATCCATTATGAATGATTGAGTTCACTGTGTTAAACATTTACATGTTTTCTATCAATAACTCCATCAACTAAATATAGGTGACCACACAGGAAAGTCATATGACCTGGGTCAATCAACTAATTTTAGGATGTTTGGAATCCTGAGGTTGGTGACATTCGAGTCCAATTTTACTATGCTGGTATGGCTGGAGAACCTGTTACTGTAATTGCACAACAGCAGCATGATATTTTAATTCCTTATCACTCAAGCAGAGGACGTGACATTGCTTTGCTAAGGTATGGAAACTTAGATGTTTCACAAATGTCAAATTTTGAACATTCCGATGCAAGGTGGGAGACTTGGACCTTTAGATTTTATGGATGTTTTTTTGTTTATTGCTCAACATTGTGTCTGTCATGGTTGCTGAAGGCATTGTGTAAGTATTTTTTGGAAAGTTGCTTGTCAAATGTAAGGTCAAAGATGTTTCAGTTTCAAATCTGCACAATTTCACAGGTGAGGCAGTGGATTGTAACAATTTTATGGTGGCAGGTTCTGCCTCACTGTTGATAATAGCATCTGCTTGGATCTCGCATAGGCCTGTCATTGGTGTAAGCCTTGTATTTACTGCTATTAGTCCATTTTTATATTGCATAATGGGAGTTTATAATGCTGCCCAAAATGGTTTTGGATTGAGAAGTTGAAATTAAAGTCAAAACTATATTTGTGGCCTAGCAAATAATGGTATGGTACTCTATTGTAAGACAAGGAAAGAGAAATGGTCACAGAGGAAAGAGTAATGAAGTCGCAATTGATTGATTTGTTGCCAAACATGTTCAGCTTTAAAAATAAAACTGTGATTATTGAATAATTATGAGTCATTTATTGAAGGTTATAATTGCTATTGTGCAAATTACCTTACTTCACTTAAAGAATATCACCTACTTAATATTTAAATTTTCTATTAAATAATCCCATGGACTTTTTTGATTAGCTTTTGGTTTTTTCTAAACAATGAGCCAAAAACCACTTGGCAATCAATTTCCTCATTCCAAGGTGCTACAATTGCTTCTTTGAATATTTTTCTACCTCCTGCCCGTCCCGATATTTATTCCATAGCTTTGAAAAAGTAATCTAAATGGTTTTCTTTTGTGATTGGGACTTTAATTTAATTTACATTTTTCATCAGTTTGTGAAAATAAAGTTTTGTGTCGATTTACACTTACAAAATCGGGAAAAAATACCTGGTAATTTTATCTGTCAAATTTATTTAAACAAAGTAAACAATTAATAAAATGAAGAAGAAAGACAATTAATCTAAAATATTGGCCCAATGATTCTGGCAATCTTAGCCAGCACCAGTAAGTTAAAAATGAAATGAATATATACAAATTTTAAATCCTACACTTTATATTTATTAATATGTTCAAAATTCTGCATAGCATTAAAAAATGCTTTATTTTAATAGTTTTGTGTAGCTTTTTATGTTTTATTTTGTGTGACGCGGTTATAAACAAATCGTCAAACGGTGAAAAAAGTGAATGTTCTGCAGAGGGAATTAGTAAATACTCTAGAGGTATCAACTAGGCAAATAATTACAAACGTGAACGTAATTAATTTTCATTATTTTAGAAGCTAATATTAATTATATGAAATACTTGACGCTAATAGAAGAAGCGAAAAGAAACTACAAGCCTTGTAACCATAATAAATGTAACTGTCATGGACCTGTAATAGCGCAAGATTTAAAAGTCTTTAAAGAACGCGGGATTAGTGAAAAACTAATTGATAATGTGAAATCCAAGTATACCACACTTTTTTTAATTTTCTTAAGCATGAGTTTAAGTTAAAATTTTTAGAGGAATTAAATACCAAATTATTAATAACCGATTATACAGAAGTCCCGATTGCATGTTTCCCGCACGTTGCGCTGGAATTGAACATTTTCTTCTTCAGGAAGTTCCAAATCTTCCTGATGTGGAATTTATTGTCAATACTCGAGACTGGCCACAGATCCACAAAAGTTATGGCTTTTTTGGACCAGTTTTCTCGTTTAGCAAAACAAATGAATATCATGATATCATGTATCCTGCTTGGTCATTTTGGGAAGGGGGTCCAGCCATAAGCTTGTATCCTACAGGAATAGGTCTGTTAGAAGTTTAATTAAAAAATCTTTCCTATTAGTTGCTGTTATTACTGTTTCTTTTTTCCTTGGAAATAAAAACACAAACTTTAATGAAGTAACCAATAATGAATTTTAGGACGTTGGGATCTTCACAGATCTAAGTTGGGTAAACTTGGAAATCTTACAAAATGGGAGGACAAACTGTCACAAGTATTTTTTAGAGGTTCTAGAACATGTTCTGAACGGGACCCTTTAATATTACTTTCAAGGGATAAACCAAGTTTAGTGGATGCTAGATATACAAAAAATCAAGCTTGGAAATCTGATGCGGTAAACTTCCCTCCTTAATTTTGTTTAAAAATAAAGTTTGTTTCTTTCTTAAAGGACACTCTCCACTCTGCACCAGCCGAAGAAGTTCTTTTTGAAGATCACTGCAAGTACAAGTATTTGTTCAACTTTCGAGGTGTGGCAGCCAGCTTTCGGTTTAAACACATTCTGCTCTGCAAATCTTTGGTATTTCATGTGGGGAATGAATGGCAGGAATTTTTTTATAATGCTCTAAAACCATGGGTGCATTATATACCAGTAAATTCTAAAGCAACAAAAGAACAGATACAAGAATTGATTGATTTTGCTGTGCATCATGACAGTATTGCCAAAGAAATTGCAGAAAACGGATACAATGTAATTTGGAATAATCTGAGAATGAAAGATATTTCATGCTATTGGCGTAAATTACTAAAAAAATATGCCAGCTTAATGGTTTATAGGCCCAAATTAGACAAAAGTTTAATAGAGATTAAACATTGAAAATTTTTTTTGAATTTTGCGACTGACAAATTCAGTTTCTACAAACTTAGTCTAGAGCTATTAATGTGTCCTTATCAATAATGACAATAATACTTGGTCGCTTGACCCTCTAAATAATCCTGACAATAATCATTATGTTATTTACTTAATAATATTAAGTAGGTGTTAGGTGTCCTGTACTTTTTGCAGTATTTTGCATAATAATGCAACTTTTGCGTGATACTCAAACATTCCTAATTATCAGAGATTTTTTGTTTTTGAAATATTCTTTCTCTTGTGGATTTCATTCTTATTTATATTCTTACATGAACGCTACTTTTAGTTTGTCTGTGTTAGGCAGAAAGTAGAAATTTTAAAGCTAGTAAGTAATAGGTTCTCGCTGCCTAATTAAAAAATGTTTCCAGTTAGTTGTCACTTTTGGTTTGACAGAAAGTGAAGTGAAAAAATAAAAATTGATGACCGCCAAACATGAACCTAAAATTTTGAATAATTATTTCTGTAGTGTTCATTTCGACAAATTTTGTTTGTAATTAACACACAACAGTAATTTAAAACCAAGAAGGGTCTTCTACATGTGATATTTTTCTGTTTTCATGTGCTGTCTATTTTTAAAAATTTGAACTTAGCTATAAGATGTGGTTTAAGCAAACTTGCATTGTCTTACCCACTACATTATCTTTATTTATAGAATGTAATTTAAATCTTACTGCATGACTATGAATTTGAGAAAAAACATGAATTTTAGTATTAGTTCTACTAAAATTCGTTTATGTTTTTCAGTATTTTACCTATATAAAATTGAAACTTTTTTTATATTTTTATTCATTATATACAAGACTTGAATTCAAAAATATTCCAACACTATTTCTTCAGTTAACCAAAAAAAATAAATAAATAAAATAAACAGGTAGAACACTGCTTTGCAGCACTTTTTAATTTTAAAATCGAATTTTTAAATGTATTTTTCTGACAATGTGTTTCAATTTTATTCTAACAAATTTAGCGAATGGGTTTATTTTAACATAAACATTATTTTATCGATTTTCTTAAAGTTTACTTTAAAAAAAGTGCTTGTAACCCGAAAAAAAATATACTAGCATTATAGGCCAACAGATCTCTATATTTTTTTATTTCTTTGTTGTTTACAGGTTTTCTAGATATTTTTTAAGTATTTGTGTTGCAATTAATATTAATAGGAAGTGGATCTCGTTAAATATGTTTTAAAGAATCAGATTTTATTAAAGAAATAGTCTTTATTTAGATAATAAATAGTACAAAAATTCGAATTTTCGCAAAGAAAAGAGTGTTCGTGGCAAACGAGAATTATTCCATTGCAAAAATCCAAAATCTATTACATAATTCAGTCTATTTAAAGTCAAATGTAAATTAATACTTAGTAAAATTGAATAAATTAATGAAACAGCATTAAGAGAGTCTTTAGTCTCTGCATTACACTATTCCGTCGATGTCAAATCCTCCGTCGCTAGCGTACAAGAATTCGTACATAGACGCAGTTAGATCTTCAATTTCTTTTTCTTTGTCGCTCGGCAATTTCGTAGATTTGCTTTGTCTTCTGAGCTCCATATCCGCATCGAGTTCATCGTCTGACACGCCTGCGTACTTATCTCTGACGTCTTTCATAATGCAGGCTTCCAACTTCTTGTGTTTATAACATTTGAAGAAAAACATCGGCCGGATCAATTCGCGAGACAGTGGCGATTTTTCTTTCTTAATTTCGGGTACGCATTGCTGCAACGATTTGACGAAAGTTAGTTTAGACTTCAGGGACAGGGCAACTACCAAATCTCAGAAAATATACGAAATCTACGAAAAGATGCGTGATGCAATATGTAAACAATCATTTTCTTCTGTCATTTTTAAATTGCAGAAACAAGCAATAATTTCTAGACTTGACTAGCGTGTTCATTGTCAGCCATAGATTATAAGATTAACCCCTGTGTACTTGTATCAACAGCTGCGTATATTTCTAAAAATTCCGATAATCATATTAGCAGACCTTGCAATCATTTACTAAAACCTTGGCTTAATTTGAAAATGTCTATCGACAAGACTCTCCATATTGAGTTTCAACAGACACTTCTTAAATGACATATTTTAAAATAGTATATTATTGAACAAGTGCGGTGTTTAATAAACGAGTGAGTTATAGTGTATTATCCAACAAGTCATTTGACTCACGCGTTTATTAGACACGACGGGAGCGCAGTTGAGCGAGTTTTTAATAAACGAGTGAGTTAAAAAATTTACCGAACGTGTTGCATACTATACTTTTTCGACGACCGTTAGTTTTTGGGTACATTTTCGTAAAACACGAATACGTTCACTGACATGACCGTCAGAATTGACAAACGTCAAAATTCAAAGGGTGGGAAACATCTCCGAAAACATTCGATTGATCCCAAATCCGTGCGGTAAAATCCCGGAAATGTCCGAAGTGGCTCGGATTTATGAGAAACGAAACTGACGTGGTAAAGTGACGCTTCCGGCACGCTAGATCGGTGGGTAATTAGGTATTTTACAGAGGGGAGTAGAAAAAGAAGAGTTTACTGTTGCTGCTATATTGTTGAATTTATTATTTAATTGTCCACCGCTAGACTTGTTTTTTCTTTTGACATTTGACAATTGTTAAAATATTTTCCACGATAAGACAGCGTTCAGAATAAACTGTTCCTGCCGTACGTAAGTTAACTACTCACCGAAAATTGCTGGCAAAAGTGAAGACCGTCTTGCATATCGTGCTTGAGCTCTTCATCTACCGGCAAATTTCCGATGCGTTCCGTAATCCTGTTGAAGTTGGGCTCCAAATTTTCATCTAGGTAGCCCAGCTCTTGCATGATGCAGGTCACGTTCTTTACGCGGTTGCTCATCGACGAAGCCAGAATTTCTATTTGCCCTTTGATGCCCATATCTCTCTGCGTTGTGATAAAAAATTAGTTAGAAAATTGATGGAAATTTGGAAACGTCGCACTGTGGACAAGTCTTTCAAATTAGCAGCAATTTTTCTAAATTCATAAAATTTGTGTTGCCAATCACTGTGCATGCCATGCAGTGTAAAATATGTTATATTGCTACATTTTCGTGTTCAAATGATGTCGGCCTATCTTTAGATCACCTTCGAGAGTGCTGTAAACTATAAGGAATAATTTGTTGAAGTTTTCTATGGCATATTTTTTAATCTCCAGGTATGTGATTTTATTAATGTATTAAAGTGTTTTGCGTTAATTATTTTACAGTGAGAAATAATATACTTCATCCATGTTAATGTATTAATGTGAGGTTTACCGAGAGTTAAGACAATAAAATGTAGTTAGCCAGACTTGCCTAATGATGTATGATTTTTTTTCTAGTTTGCGAGGTTAGAATGTTGACATGCATTTTTATTGCTTAATATTGGTTTGATAGACAACCCGGTGGTCCGTAATGAAAAAAGCAATCCTAGATTAAACTCGTGAAAGTAATGATATTGCGGCAAATGTACCTTAGTGACGTGTCGCTCATTAGAGGTATTATTTTTTATAGCTGTTTTTGAGATATTGACATAAAAACTGAGATTCGCGGGTTTTTGGAGATTTACGTTCTAATTTTTTATTACATGCAGAGCGCGCTACTAACACACTGTAACTTTAACAGATATACTCATTTACTTTGACTAAATATACCGGTTTTGAGATCTAACCTCTCCAAAAATCGGCTGCTCCCAATTTTAAAGTTGGTTTGGGTCATACTATACAGTAATGATAATATAATAGTTTAACTATTACCTTTAAAATACAGTTGCGTTTAGTTTTAATCAGGGATATTAAATTATTTTCATCTCTCATAGTTATCACATGCATGCAATAACTGAATTGTCATTATCTGTTAACAAATTTATTATTTTTCATTTTAATTAGTAGTGCTCGCATTTTAATTTTCTGCATAAAAAGATACAAACACTTTTATACAATCAATCTTAACAAAACTGAACCACTGAAATTTGACGTGTTTTAGGTTTACCCATGGTGCGTCGGTTAGAAACTTGTACCCATATAGATTAAAGCGTTTTTCCCGCAAAATTTAATTCGATCTGGGCTTATTTTGACAAAATACTACCCACAATATGTCAGGTACAAACTGAACCTGTCGGATTGACGAACTCAGCGGTTTGCTGCAAGGCAAAGAATCTAGCTATTAGTCTAAACTTTTCGCCTTTATTTTATAATACTCGTTTTTAAATTATTTGAAGCTTGTATATCTGTCAGCTACTTACCGACATCCTGTTGCTGCCATAAAATTGCTGGCCGATGATAGGTAATGGCGAATAGGGCGAAAAGGGTACTTGTTGGTACCCTGGGTAGTAAAATGGAAAACCACCTTGGAAACCGGTGTTGCCGTATGCCATTGGACTGTAAAAACTACTTGGTGGTATAGCTGAGAAACCTTGCGCTGGTCTGAGAGCTGGTTGATTTATGTTGTTCTGAAAGGTAAAAATGGATGTTTAAAAGGGTCCACAGATTTAGTAGTGCTTGGATTAAATCAAGCAATTTTTATTGTTACGGGCCTGGCTATCAGTAACCTACTAAAGGTAGGTAGATTATCTCCATGATGCAGTTTTGGGAGCATAAGAAATGTTTCTGTTAATCTCGCAAAATTAACAGGAAATAACAGTTCCACATGATGTTTGAAATTATAAAGACCAATGAAACATTTATGTTGTTGGATAGATCTCTCGAAAACGAAACTCATTTATTCAGTACTAGAACTTGATTTATTAGAAAGTCGTTTGATTTCGCTTAATTTGTTTCGTTTGAGCTTGTGCTTTTACGTACATAAACTAACTCTATATTGCTTACAAACTTAAAAAAAAAACATTAGATACTTGACAAAGAGAGATTACTTAACTGTTCTTTTTTCTAAGAAAAAATCCATTTGACTGTTTTTTTTAATTCTTTAACATATTTTAATTTTTTAATATATAAGAGCGGTAAACTGGGAAAGGCATTTTTTCGATATTGAATTTGGGTTTATCAGAAAAAAAAATTTGGCAAAAAATTAATATGTTAACAACCCGTAAAGATATCAAAAGTTGGTTCGAAGTTGTCTTTTAAGTTTAATGTGATTTACCACTCTGCCCTGTATAATAAAAATTACGCAATTTTAAATTTTAAACCAATCGCAGGAAGATAGCGATAGCGGATATAAGGCTTTAGGGTGCAGATATTTCTATCCAAATATATACAGCGCGTCCGGAGATAGGGTTCTATTAATTTAAGGGGTTCTACATGAAAAAAATAAGATTTTTTTTCATATGATCGTGGGTCCGGAGGTTCATAGTTGTCAAGACGTCTAACCAAACTTATCAAATCTTGCTTCGTCTCTTCACTACACGTAAAACCGCCACATTCCAAAAAATCTAATTAACGGCAATTAAAGATATTAATAAAAAACGGATTAGAATTTGTTGCCAGAGACATGCAATAAAAAAATCGAAAATTTGAATAAAACAAAGGTAAAATTGGTGCCCATTTCTTTTGTCAAAAATATTCGGGAAGGTGCCGCCACTGAATTTCGTAATTTTAATTTAATTGACCGAGCCTCTCGTCACAATAAACAACACTACTAAATTTAAACAAAAATGTTTAGGCATATTTAAGTTTTTTATTAAAAATCCTTTTTTTTATTTGACACCCTGTATCTTGTATCTTCAAAAGTATTCACTTTGGGACTCATGTCACATGAAAAAGTTTTCTTTTTTTTTCTTAACTTAATCAAATGTTATTATTTTCCGACACTCCGTACACAGTTTTTGTCTACTCGTTTCGAGGGTGTTTAGTTACTTGTCGATTTTTCGCGTTAAAAAATATCGAAAATAAACAAACATTTTATAAGGGACACACTGTATAAGTCTGGTAGTAATACACAACGAGAATAAATCCGATTAATTCTTAATTATCTCGGTTGTCGAGTTTGATATGAAAAACTTTTCGAGCATCTTTAAATTATTGAATCAAAAACAGGTAAATAGTAGTACCGAACATTTGCCCTATACTAAAATATTGGGAAATGCATCCCATGTATCCCATAATTCTTTTAAATGTCATTAAAAAATAAGAAAAATGTGCGCGTTTTGCATTCGAAAAAATGGTCTCCAATTTGAACAAGGGTTTTAGGTATAATATTATGTTATAACCTTTAGATATAATATATTTTGGAATAATTAATGTAATAATAATATGATAATTTGAAAATTGTTAGAACACACGCAAATAACTGAATTTTAAAATATTGAGTTCCTTGTATGTTAATAATTGTTGACTTGGATATTGTTTTTAATAAAATAAATATGATAAAGCAAATAAATTTTGAGCTTAGTTTTCAAAACAACCTTATACTAATATATATTTCTGAAGAGCTTAAAGGATTTCAAATTAATTTAAAAACAATATATAGTGTGACTCATTTAAAAAGAAATGGAAACGCTGTTTTAACAAACTCAATAAATAATGGGTATCAGCAGCATCAGCAAGCAGTTTTTTTTAATTTTCGAACCAATTATTTGATCAACATTTTGTTTGGCACTCTTTTGAAGCTTTTTCGCTGGAATACTTATTTGACTGAGTTTATGAACGCTGTTTTAACAAACTTAATAAAAAATGGGTATCAGCGGCATCAGCAAGCAGTTTTTTTTATTTCTTATCAATTATTTGATCAACATTTTATTTGGCGCCAAAACATATGTCAAGGCAATTTTATAGATATTAGCAGTTACTTAAATGTTAATAGCTATGGCTCTTTTGAAGCTTTTCGCTGGAATACTTATTTGGCTGAGTTTATGAACGCTGTTTTAACAAACTTAATAAAAAATGGGCATCAGCAAGCAGTTTTTTTTATTTTCAATCAATTATTTGATCAACATTTTTTTTGGCACTTAAATGTTAATAGCTATGGCTCTTTTGAAGCTTTTCGCTGAAATACTTATTTGGCTGAGTTTATGAACGCTGTTTCAACAAACTTAATAAAAAATGGGTATCAGCGGTATCAGCAAGCAGTTTTTTTTAATTTTCGATCAATTATTTGATCAACATTTTGTTTGGCACTTAGATGTTAATACCTATACTTATTTGGCTGAATTTATGAACGCTGTTTCAACCAGCTTAATGAGGAATGGGTATCAGCGACATCATGAAGCAGTTTTTTTTTTAATTTCTGATCGATTATTTGATCAAGATTTTGTTTGGCGCCAAAACATATGTCAAGGATAGTCCGAAACCCATTCACGTTGTGGAGCATATTAGTTTTGTGGTTAGGTTCGAAAATATTTTGAATTTTCCCGCCACCAGGTAGTATTCTTCAACAAAAAAATACTCACTGGTCGGTATGCCAAAATTGCTTGATGTAATTTTTCAATATCGATCGGCGGTTGATTGTTTGGAAATACCGAATTTGGTCCTGGTGCAGATGATGGTGGCTGATGGTCGTGTTGCGGGTCCTCCGGGATTGTTGCCGGAGTCGTCGATGGAGGCATCTCGATCGTGGTGCACTTGGTCACCGCCACTTTCATCTCTTTGCGGATCTGTTTCACCACATCCGACCCGAAACAACTTTCATAGATCTAGTTTATCGGTATAGATTATTAATTGAATTAAAGTAAGACGTCCGCTTACCTTCATCATGGCATATTTTTTTATGAATTTGTCTTCGCTGCCCCCAAAGGACGCCACTGCCGAAATGCAACACACCGATAAAAGAAACCAGATGTCCATGTCTTTGAAATTATTTCTGAAATTAGAGGATATTAAGTTGTATTCGCCTCGCATTATAAACCTTTTTGATGTTGTACTTCTAGCGTACTGTTTATACAACAGAAAATTGTTTATCGTTAATTGGTCTGAAGATGATTGAACACGTTATTGCTATGTGGTGAAGTCGGGAATCGTATTTAACAGAAAATAAGGAAGCTGGTACTAATTACATCATCCAATTTGGTCTGATATTATAGCAAATGATTTTCGTGAGTACCTCGATAGATATTTTTTGTAAATTACAATGCAAACTGCGTCCAATTTACTACTAGCTCTTAAAAATTCGTTAATCGATAATCTAGTTTATCCATTCATAAATATCGCTACTGCTTTGTTTTAAAACACTTTTGTTATTGTATAACTCGTTTGTAGAATAATTCATAACAAATAATTGCGCAATAATCTGGCGTGGTATTCATTCATAAACTTGTTCCCAAAACCATGACCGTGAAATGATGTGTTTTAATTAAAACCACTAATGGCATATTTATAGTTATGCACTTGGACAAGCGCTTTCTGGTTAGTTCTACTCGATTTAAGTTCTACGGTTGAAAATACAGGTGTTCTAATATGAGGGATTTCTCGAAGAAAATAAATTCTTCGATATCAAAAAGGCAACGACGTTTTCTTCAAATTTCAGTGTGATAATTGGATATTAAGATATGGAACAGATTCGTTGAGTTTTTTATCATCAGGGCCTACTTTTGCAAATCTAAATGACAAAAAAAAACAAAAAAATACAATACAAAATTATTTCAAATTGAAGTAGTCTACAGAGTGCACTTTAAAATCTACACAGCAACTGTCTTGAAATTAGTCGCCCCAAAAAAACTCTAGCCCTAAATTTAAATATTCGTTCAAAATCTGCACTTTTATATTAATTTATTATTATTATTTCGACACTGTATAAAAATTATCCCATCGTCATTTCTTCATGTTATGATAGTCGTTTCTAATCAATTTACAGACTGTTGGCAAAATTGATATTCCGTTATTTTCAAAATAATTAAGAACTAAAAGTTCAGATGACAATTGTTTCGACAACACTGTGTTTTTTGAAAAAAACACGCAGTTTTTGATTGATTTTTAGAATAGATTAGGTTATCCTTTTGATAAAAACTGGTAAACAATCGGAAAATACAGTTTGATGGGAAATGATTAAATCAACCATCACTTGGGTTTGGACCATGATTTATGAGACATTCTGTATATTATGAAGTTAAGGATCCGGACATTAGTGCCCGATGTACGGAAACGGCGTGGTTATATCTGTAATTCTGTATAATTAAAAATCAAACAGGTTTTATTATATGTGGGTAAAGCTACCTTATATTCATTCTGCTGATGCTGCTACCGTTATGTTTACCTATAAGCATCAATGACCTTAACATTCTTCACACTTCGCATCTTCTTCGGCGAAGAAGCAGAATTTATTGTTATATCGGTGCTGCATAATGAATTACGTAAAAACACGGACGTTACGAAATTTCAGATGAAAATAACTGTGTCCGTGTTTTGCCATCAAAAATAATCGACTAATGGATCAGAGTTGATGAAAACCTTACCTTGTGTGAATGAAACCGAACAAAATAATTAATTTAAGATTATGGCGTGATCGGGTAACTGGAAGTTTCCGAAATTAAATTATTTTGCCTTGTGTTAGACGAATAAATTCCAAATGTAATCTCACAACCAAGACAATTTTTTTATTTAATGAATTCGTTATAATATAATAATTATTATTATTTTAATTGGCTGTTCGAAATCTGAAAGGTCATATTTTGTTGAACAAGATTGTGTAATGTATATGTATAAATGCTAAAATATACGTATTATAAAATATGATGCCTTTTTTTATTTAACATTTTCTTTCAGTTGATGCTTAAATAAAATTCAATAGTAATTTTGCCACAGACGATTGTTATATATATATAGGGTCTAATCGGTTATTTAGATCCGTTGTTATTTTTGTATAGGCCGAAAACTTCATCCCTAGACTCTACGTAACATTGTAACTGTCGACCAGATCGTAGAGTGTGAAATACATCTTCTTCGCATAGGTACGTAAGTACTTATTATCTGAACACTCCTCCGTGCGGATAATTTTTAATAACCTCGTGGGAATGTAAAATGAGCAAAATTATATCTGCAAATTTGCACACAATTAAAACCCGTTAACTGCTTATTTAGATTGTTATTATTTTATTTGGTCTCAGTATATAAAAAAATATATATAAAAATAACCCTAAATCTACACAAAACCACTTGACTTGACTTGTCCTAATTTGATGAATTAGTTTTTGGTGAAATTTTGAAATCAGTATTAGAAATGAAAAGTAATTCTTTTTCGTTGCACGCTTAGTGTAGGCTATGGACCGTGCGTTCAATTTATCTTGCTAACATTTTAATTGGCTCTAACTTTTTTGTTTTTAGAGGTATTAAGGTAAACAAAAAACCAAAAGGTAGGGTTAGTAGCCAAGTTTTTTGCCAATATAAAACAAAACACTATCAATTTTCTGACATGTAAGCCTACTATAAACTGTGTTACATCATTGTAATCGGAATAATTTATTCTATTAAACAGATATATAATATTCAGCGTGTTTTGTTTTATACATCACTTGGAAAAAAACTTGGCTACTAACCCTACTTTTGTATTTCTTTTGTTTACCTTGATCTGTAAAAACAAAAAAATTACAGCCAATTAAAATTTTATCAAGATAAATTTAACGCACAATACATATAGATTGTGTACATTAAGCATACCCTTATTATTAATGATTTCAAAATTTTATCAAAATATAATTGTTCAAATTAGGACAAGTCTAGTCTGGTTTTGTGTAGATTTAGGGTTATTTTTGCTAATTTCGGTTAGGCAAATGTAATATCTAAGTTACATATATGTACATTATGCTTATATCACATCTATTTCGAATAGTTTTAACTATTTTTGTATTCAAATCACTGGTACTTTTGTTGTAACCCTTGTAAATAGAAGCATTGGCCATTTTAATATGCACCTCGTGTCTTATATGCGAACTTGATTTTCGATGAAAGCTGTTTTGGTCACTAGGTTAAACGTAACAAAATTAAGTAGGTTGATGTTTATTGTAGCATTTTATGTTTGTTTAGTATCCGGACGTTTAATAAAAAAATCTTCCGGTTCCGGTAACAACGAGATTTCGAATTTAGTTGTTTAACCTAGTAAAGAAATATAAACGACGTATTAGTCTTCGTTTATTAAAAAAATGTGCGGACATAACGGGGTCTTCATCAACCAAACCAGCAATAAACCGCCTTACAGAAAATGTGTATTTTAATTTCCTTTAAAGTGGCCGATTGCCTTTTTAACGAGACTTGTTTACCCGTTAGTGGATTCCGGATCTGTTTTTGGTATAATTCCACAAGATTGCCTTCGCGCGATTTGTTTCACTGGTTGTTTCCGTATTCTCTACACAACTAACTTTGAGTATTTTCCGGAGTATGTAAAGATTTTGGTTAGTTTGTACATGTAAGTATTTTATAAACCTTTTCGCAAATGCCGCATCTATCTCAAATTAATGGCAACATATGATGTCAATTTTTATACAGATTTTAATACATCAAAAATTTTTGGTGCCATTTTTGAAATGCAATAATTGTTCACTTTCCTCAATTTTATACAGTATATATTTATTATAATTTTACCCCTAATTTGTTAAATATAAAAAAAAGTTTTGTGTGCACTGTAATAGAAAAATCTAATTTCTAACAGTAGCTCGTAATCTTATTTTTGAAATCAGAGAAAACCTTGACTAAAGTAGTTGGTACCATTTTTGACATAAAAAAATTACTAATTCTCCTCAATTTTATTTACTATATACGTTATTTCACTAGATCTAAGAAAACAAAGTTTTGCTTGCATTCAAAATTTTTTATTTAGAAAATCTATTTTGTGGCAGCAGCTTGGAATTTTATATCAAAGATCACAAGAAACCCGGGATTTTACAAATGCCGATTTATTGGGAACCCTGCTTTTATATCTTTACGATATTTTTAAGCATCTTGCCATATGCTTCCTAAAGATTATAATATGATATCAATTATAATTGTGCCATATAAGAAAGTAATTAATTCGTTCTGAGCTAGTTTATGCCCGTGAAAGCAGGAGCTAGATCAGAACGTATTAATTAAAAGAGATAAAAAACTTATGACGTCTCTGTACTCCGATTATATTCTTTTTAGACTTTCCAAATGTATTTACTTGCAGATGTCATATAAGTAAAAATGCGTAATATAATTTATTAAATTTTACTTATATCAAACAAACAAAAATTACAGATAAAAGGAAAAATATCGCACAAAAGACAAAAAGCGGTAGTCTAAGTATCATCCAATTCAAAATATATAATCAGCAACTAAAAGCAGCATAAACATTTTGTTCTGCATAATTTTTATTTACAATTAACTTGCATTATGATTTACAAAACTGTAGTAAGTAAGCATCAAATTAATGACAATAATTATAGGCGAATAAATGACACAAAAAGCAACAAGCAAAGTCAACATTTATATATACTTGGTGATTTCTTTGAAATGATTTCTCATAAATAATCTCATAACTTACCTTAATCAGATCTGACCAAAAACACTGAATTGTGTGTGACGAACAATAATGGAAAAGCGGCTACGCGGATTCATTCACTGCGCATTCTGTATGTCTTCGTCAGAGTGCCTCGTGGTATTCTTTTATATTCTTCCACCTCTTCGAAGAAGCTGCCTGTTCGGGCGCTAGTTTTAGTTAAGGATACGAATTCGTTGACGTGGAGAATTTAGCGAATCTCCGGCGTCAAATGACATATCTGGCAAAATAAAAAGTTCATCCCAATGGAGCAACTTTTTCCAGTGGAATTATAAGTGATGATAATAACTCAACTAATTACAGGCAAACAACTATTATGGTTTATAAATAATAAAAAACAGGCAGCGACTGAAAAAATGAAAATTACATGCAAGATCCCGTGAATTATTTTAAAGAAGCTGAATTTGTTGTATATTGTAACATAAGACCGGGTTTACTATTTTATAATGTATAGAACCTGAGATAACAAACTCCAAATTTTATGCAACAAGTGCGGTAAACGGCATTTGACTCACGAGTTTATTGGACACGAGCGGAGCGAATGTTTAATACAGGAGTGACTTAAAAAGTTTACCGCACGTGTTGCATACTATATTTTTTCTACGACCGTTAATTTTTGAGTACATTTTCGCAAAAACAACACGAATATATTTCCTGACATGACCTTCAGAATTGACGTCAAAATTCAAGGCGTTTGAAATATCTCCGAAAACATCCGATTGCTTCCAAACCCGTGCGGTAAAATCCCGGAAATCCCGAAAATCCCGGAAAAGTGGCTCTGATCCGGGGGAAACGAAACTGACGTGGTAAAGTGACGCTCCCGCACGCTAGATCGGTGGCTAATTAGGTATTTTACAGACGGGAGTAGAAAAAGTGAAATAAATGGCTAGAAAATGTTCTCTAACATTTGTTACCAATATGTTTCCAACACTCTGGTGGAACAAATACAGGTTTCGTACAACAAACAGTGAAACCATATCGCGTGTATTGTAAATAATGGCCAATTTAATCAATTGAACCACAAATGATCTTTAATAACAAACTGAAACACTGTGCACACCTTTGAGGATTTGCGAGTGTGTGTGGATAGCATTAGAAACAAAATCAACAATAACGCGACGCCGTCAGAATGCGATGTGCTGTCAAAATGTCAACAAGCGCTCAAAGCTTCAAATTTGCAAAGATTGAAATTTTTGTAAAATTTGAAATTAGGTATAACGCGCAAATATTTACGACGGCTTTGCTTTGCACCTTGCGTGAATATTTTTCGTACAGCGTGCCTGATTGTGGTCAATAACAAGGTCACCTAGTAGCTCGGTGCAATAGTTTGATTAAATTTTTAATTACGTTGTCTACAAGCAATATTTGTTGTCGCTGTGTAACAAAATTTAATCAATATGAAAGGTGTTCGTAGGAATGAAAACCATGTGAATCTCCGAAAGAGTAAAAACTAAGCGAATTGGAGAAAATTTCTAATCGCATTTGAGTTAATTTACGAATATTCTGAAAAGTATCCCTTCTTGTTACTTTTTCTACTCCCTGTATCCTTGAAAAAAGGCGTAAAGTGTCACTTTTAGACGTCAGTTTCATTAAACATGATCGCGCGTTTCTGGTACTTTAGCCACGGGTTGGAACCGATTGTATTTTGATATTTTTCAGACCCAAAAATTACTGTCGTAGTAAATAGGTCAATCGTGGAAAAAGTTTAATATGCAACGCGTTGATAAACTTTTCCAGTCACTCATTTATTAAACAATCGCTTCGCTCTTGTCAAATTTATTGAATGTTACTGTTTTACTGTATTTTATGTCCAACGAAATAAATTTTTAAAAAGTAAAAGAGTTTAAAATCTTTGCGTTGACTCAAACATATTCAATTCTTAATATTCGCTTAACATGTTAATGTTAACGTTAATTTAATGTAACGGTATTTTTCCCACACGCATCATTTTTTTGGTTCCTCCAGATTCTGACCCGTTGAAACAATAGGTAGATACACGAATTTTTGGTATATTAGCGTTTGGAATGCTGACGATTGTTACGTGTTACGAACTCGAACTGCTAATATCTCACGTTGTAGCAGTAATTGTAGGTAGACTAAGGAAGTTTTTATGAAAATTGTTTAGAATACTTATTAACTGTGGGCGTTGTACCGTGAAAATAATACGTCATTTTTAAAGCTGAGTTCGTCGACGTCAGTGTCAGTGGAAGTGCGGAGAATGCGTCATTTGTCGAATAGAATGTCAATTTAATGCTCGACGAAAGATAATAATACGTTTGAGTAATCGGTTATCGCTAATATACCAGTCTAATCGTAAATACCAATCGCGGTGTATAATATAGCGTTTGGTTTAGAGCGAAAGATGGACAATTTGGTTTGTAAAATAGGGGTCCAGTTTATAGTCGTTCCTTAGACCTTTTTTATATTGTCCTGTATTGTACTATCCATTCCTAACGGTTGCTGATAAACCTGGATTACAAAAAATCCAGAACTGTTGTACACCATTTGTCTATGGTTTGAGAAAGTTTGATGGTACATCAGAAAAATATTTGAATTGAAATTACTCAATTCTGGGTCAGGTTATAAAATATGCTTTACTGACGCACGTGGATCACTAAGGATCGCTTATTGTTTCGGTATTCAATGCTCCTCTAAGGACGAAAAACATTTTGAAAGCTGCTTTACCTATAATGAAACAATTATAATTATGAAACATAAACTTTAAACATACACACATACACAAACATACTACTTTTACATCAATAATGAAATTTAGACCCTGATTGTTGTTGTATCTTCTTGATTTATTATTATTCACCAAAATGGTTATTGTTCAGTAAGTTGATCAAGATCTTGCGCTAGATTTTTGAGATTTATATTGCTAAAGACTAAATTTTGTACAATAATTTAAAATATCTCAATAATTATTTAATTACATATTAATTATTATGTAAAAGGTCTACTAATACTGCCCAAGATCGGCTACAACTAACTAAACCAACCAAAACGAGACTCCCCAAGTCATGAAAAATGTATGGTGTTGGAAAAGAAAAGAAACTATATTGTTGGGTAAGTTTATTAACAACAACTAGTCTTCTTGAAAGTTATTGAAATCTAAATCTAGCTCTACGTCATCGGATAATGAATGTGCCAAAACTGTGCCAAATATTTTTGCAAAAGCATTTTCCCCTAAAGTATCCGTTTCGAGGACATCGACCGCTGAATGATGTTTAGCCTTAAATTATTATACTAGACATAAACAGTCACACATTTTTTCACAAATTTACCATATCCACCGCTTTATCCACGACATCTTCCAGAATTATCCGGCAGACTTCACTTAGTTTATCGTCTTCTTCAATAGAAATTCTGGCAGGGTGAAATTTTTCAACTGTCACGAATGCATCGGGTTCCGTCTTTTTTTCTTTTTCGATAACAACCTGGGGCTTTTGCACCGATTCGACATAGCGAGCAACTTCTTCCATTATTGCCATCCAGTTTTGGCTAACGTATTTCATTACGTACGCCTCGATGTCGTGGGACGGTCTGTCAATTAAAATTTTTTTCGTAATTACGTGGATCGTAGCTCGAATCTAAAATTCGCGTATTCATATCATTGTAGTTTATGGGGACATCGCAACTACTTCGGGATGTTGAAACAAATATTTTTGGTTCTCCCTTGCTGTTTGCAATTTTCTAGCAATCAACTTTTGTTGCTGCTCTTCAGTTAAAATAGCTAGATTGTAGGGCTTCGTCTTTTTAGGAGTATCGGAGGAGTGAATTACCGCAGGATCGGCTTCAATTCTGTAAGAATTCGCCATGTTTCTTATAATTCGGATTTTTGACGTGTCTCTTGACGTCTCTATCGTTATAAATTTCTAGTGATATGTAGACTTAAATAAGCTTGATCTGGTATATTCGCTTGTAACGTTTTTTTGTTAAATGGTGGAAGCTGTGTTTATTATACCGGATGTCCCAACACTCAGTCAGTCAGTAGATTCATATCGCATCTTTTGTATAATAAACTGCCATAGTGGACATTTTTTTCATTATCTCAAACGATACAACTTTGTTTATAGTTTGCACCTCATTTATTCCGTATACTAAATGGTGTTAATGCACCAGACCTTGATTGCGAACACCACAACTCCATGTTTTTGAAATTAAGACATCCTGTATAGTAGGTGTGTTCTTCACAACAGGCGAAAAATTTTTAGGCAAATCCATTAATACGTTCGGTCAATATTTTACCTATTAAGTGCTCAAATAACACCGTAAGTGTTGTCCATATGGTAATTATTATTTGTTAATGGATATTGTGCGGACGTTGACGCAGTGAGATTTTTTTAGTGCTGAAGATCTTCATCGAACCGATCGGATCGCAAGAGAGCAAACTGAAGAATATAACTGTAAGCTATAGGCAAACATAGATATTTATTATTCTACTAAAGCAATATATTCTAGAAAGTAAATGATATCTAAAAGAAAGCATAGTATTTTTTTTTTTGAGAAAGCATTTATCTATATAAACTTGTATTCCAAAAATAGATTACTGCTCCGGCTTCGTTGCCTTCTGCCTAAATTTTAACCTTTTCCTTTCAAGCGAAATTATAATTAACAATTGCCGATATGGTCATGCTAAATGTAAATTACTAATGCTGAATTTATTTTATGTTTTATATTTATTCGTCGCTACAGACCGTTACTTCCCACTGACCAAAATCTAATGTAAACGATGAAAATCTTTTTTATAATGAGGCGAACCAATGAAGCTACGTAGCCCCGTCGACAGATGGCACTGTAGTAACGCATCGCTGCAAAATAATGACGACACATTTCAAAATTTCTAGATATATAATTGTACATTTCTAAAAAATCGCATAAATATATTATTAGCGTATGGGCTAGTTGTCAGGGTGTACTCACATTTCAACTAAATTAGTAAATCCATTGTGGGCTTATTTTATCCATTAACCTTTTGCGGTCAACACGAAATATCGGGTAAAATGATTGACTTCACCTTTACCGGTAATGTTATTTCTGACAGTTTATAAAACGTGGGGATAATTATTTTTCTGTGACGCGAGCGGCCTGTCACTCACAAAAACATCCATTAATTGCGTAGGTGAACGATTGATTTAACAGATTGCTATTTCTTTGTTAAAAATTGGTTCCCAAAACCCAAACAACCAAAAAAAAAAAAAAAGAAAACGGAGTTTGTGTGTATGGAATTTCCACAAGTTCGTGATATTGTCGTAGCTCGACGACTTATGTTTAAAATTATCTTTCGAAAATTAGATTTGTCCCTTCAGGCTGAGGTAAGCTAATAAAAGAATACCTGTCAACCCTTTTTCGTTGCAGGTCGTGAAAACTACGAAATATTTTTTGCATGTCGGTTCGCTCAGTCAATGACACACACAATTACAGTTCGAAACTTTTGCCCACTTCATATTTTTACCTGGACTGGGTTTTTTGAATAATGTCTCTCAAATAGGTACCTAAACAAACGAGTACCGCCTTGTCACAAATCTGACCCATCATAACAATGGGTTAAATTCAATTTTTTCCTATTTCGAAATCCCAAAGCAAAGATATGAGGAAGCATTAATTTTTTAAAAAATTACCCAGGTCTATTAAAAAATAAAAAAAAACACTTTATATTAATGTAACGGCTTAAAAGATGGGCTGGGCACTTGGGTATGTGATTTTTTGAAAGCGGTTCCCACAAGTAAAATTATTGATTCGGTTTTTACCTGAAATGCAAAAATGCGTTACCCTTTTTATTCCAAGAAAAGCCTTTCAATACGGCCATCGAAATACAATACGCGAACCCGACGAAGAGTATGAGAAAAAAAGGTTGGATATTTCAATAAGCTGCCAAATGTGCAAAAATAAATACTTACGTAGTTCCTATAGATACTACCTAACGTGCCACCTACACTTCCGTTTTGCGTGTGTGGTAGTCCTTTTAAATCCTGAAGGCATAGAACACACAATAGGTCCGAACTATATATATATATATATATATATATATATATATATATATATATATATATATATATATATATATATATATATATATATATATATATATATATATTAATATATATTAAATGGACGAACTGACAATAGAAAAAAAATTACACAAAAAACTCTTATTTGCGTTAATGGAATTTTCTTCATTATGAAGTCGAGACCCACTTAAAAACTTAAATTTAGATTTTAAAGATTTTACTGGTTGCTAACGTTCTGCTGCAAGTTTTGTATATATTTTGAATTCATAGATTTTTTTTAAATGTTGGAAAATATGGGCAAATTCGTTTGATCAGATCTAATTAATTTTCAACGTATATATAACTGTTCACAGAAACGGCAATAAGCTGCTTATAACTTTAACATTACAATTTTTAGAACCTATAAAAATTTTAGTAAAATTTGGAAAATACATGATATATTAGTGTCTAATATGGTATATATACCGAGGTATCGTTTCCAAGAAGTGATACAGTTTCACTAAACAGCAAGGAAAAAATCCGAATTGATCAATACGGTGGTCATTTTAAAAAATGGGAACTCGGGTCGACAATGTGTTCCCATAAACGGCACTAATAATGTCAAAGAGGGACACAGTAGCGGTCATAAAATATGACCCATTCCGACAACAGTTTCGCTTTTTTTTTTCTTAAAAAGAGTGCGCCCATTCAAAGGCACACAAAGGAAAAATGAAAGCGCTTTATTGCTTTTCGGTAATTGTTGCGCAAAAATCGAAGACGGATTTGTTTTTGGGTGCATTATTTCCTAGAAACGTTTTAGAAATTTCTAAATTGTAACTGTTTTTGTTTTTCCTATCTTAAATTTGAACAATTTTTCCATAAACATCAAACATCAACCTTGTTAACTAGAGTAAAGAAAAGAAATTAAAAACATAATAATAATTTTTCATATTCATTACAATATTACCCCCTCTATACTTTTTTTTAATTCCATTGCTTCAGTCGTCGTTTACTATTACATATTTCTAAAGCAATGATAAAAAGTAAGAAAAAGTAATAGGTAAATTAATGAAAAATGTTATTCTCACTATCCAAACATTCTTATTACTGCATCACTACATTCTTAAATATGTGTAATCTAGTATACGGAATCCATATACACACATTACAATTAGGGTGGTGGAATTGAGAGGTCCATTTTTTTTGTGTCAATTGCCGGTCAATTGACCAGTCAATTGACCGAAATAATTTTAAAAATGCAATGAAATTTATATTTATTTATGTTGCGCGTTACGTCGCCATGGAGTAGATATTTTTATTGGGATTCCCCGAATTGATAAGTATCGTATTCGGATATTCCTTGAAGAGGGTATAGGTAAATTGGACATCACAAACGCATAATAATTTATTATGTAATGTATTAAATAATGATAGATAACACTCTACAAATGTTATTTAAAACATTTTGATCGAATTTGACTACTCAATTAAGAAGTGGTCAATTGACCAGTCCGAACACTATACATAATCGAAATAATATAAATGACGTATGACGAAATAATTCGTTTTTTTTTACATTTTCTTAAATTTCGATTTTGACTTGTACAGAGTAATAGTATATTATCCAACAAGTGTGGTAAATTGTCATGAGTTTATTGGACACGAGCGGAGTGCAGTGAAGCGAGTGCTTAATTCTTCTTAAGTTTACCAAACGTGTTCATAAAATTTATTGCGGTGTCAGTAAATTAAAAAAAACTAATTAGTTGATATGATTTATATACTGCGGAGGCGGAAAAAATACTTTTGGCAGTGAGACTTTACAGGGCGAAGTACCCCAATAGATATCTACCAACTAGGCAATCTCTTCAGTATTTAGTGGAACGGATTTATGCTAGGGGTTGTACTAAGTATGAAAAATGGCAAGTGGTAAAACGGAACGCTATCAATGAAGAAATAGCATTGAAAATTTTACATCAAGCTCAAAAAACTAGTTTATATGGTACATTCCAATCTATCGTTAATGGCAGTACTAGAAAACACAAATATAATCCCTTCCATATGGAACTGCATCAAGAACTTCTAGCTCTGATTTTGAACAAAGACTTATGCACCGTTATAAATGAAGCCATAGAGGCAATTTTTTATATAAAATAATGTTTCCTGATTAAGCTACTTTTCGCTGCAATGGTGCAGTTAATCGTAATCGTAATGCATTAGTATTTAACAGTTACTCCATTCTGGGTATGGGAACTGCAAAACCAAAACCATTGGTCACTTAATGTATAGTGTAGAATAAAACACTTTCAAGTTATTGGACTATCTTTTCTTCTCGAACCTCTTAACGGACTTAGAGATTTAAACTTTTCGCAGAAGGATACAGCTCCTGGGCATTACCATCGAGAAACTCGACAATTTTTAAATAATCATTACCCGCAGAAAAGGATCGGTAGAGGTGGATTTTTTTGAAGGTCCTCTCGATCATGTGGGTTAATACTACTACATCACTTTTTGTGGGGATATGTTAAAGATCGTGTTTATACCTACAACATCAGAAGATATGCAAAATAGGATTCGGGACGCGTGCAGGACAATAAGACCGTTTGCGCTAAGGAACACCCAAGAAAAAGTGGAAGGTCTTATTTCTGAACATTTATTGTCCTATGATAATAATTTAAAATAAGATAAGTTAATTTGTAGTAATAGGTATTTAATATTATTTACTTTTTTGTGAATTTAAAATTTGAATTTTCACCAAAATTACTAATAACTGTCTGCTGATTTATTTACGGTTCCAACAAAGTTCATTCTCCTGTTTATTTTTTTAGTTTTGTCGTGGCCAACTAATATTCTAACAATAGTCTTAGAGAGAACGAAGGGTAAAGAAAGTAAGAAAAAATAATAATATAGATGGTGTGCCATTTAAGAAAATCCAGATTTTTCGATTTAAAAGGATTCAAACAGATTCGCTTATTTTGAATACCCTGTAGCATCTAATTCAAATTCCGTTACGTATATCTTTTACGTCATCTCTAATTAACGCTTTCATGAAATATCATATATAAATTGCGTGATACCAATTTTTTTGCAAATGTGAAAACTAGTATTTTTTAGAAAAATTAAAATATTGGAGAAACTATTAAGTTTAGGTATGTATTATTACTAAAAAAAAAGTCGAAGAATTTAAATAAATGGTATATTTTATTCGTTGCGCTTTTTTGAGCCACTCTGTACACATAAAAATTATTTTTAATTGCATTTTATTTACTATTTTTTCATGAAGATAACATAACTGCATACTGTTCGTTTAATGAAAAAAATGGAATAAAACGCTTTAAGCGTTTAAATAAGAGAGTATTTTTAACTGGACCATAGGAACATTTCCACAAAATACGCATCGCGTTTTGGATAAGCCCTGACAATTTTTCTTATTTCCACACTAGACCTATCGAAATGTCACCACAAGCAATTAAATACGTTCTCAGTATCGTTACTTTTTAAGTATCCACCAATTTGTCTGCCACCGAATCCACACAAACAGAAAAAAATCTGCCATTCGAAAGTAGCTCGTAAAAAGGTCACATGTGCCCTTAAGATAATACATCTGCCGGGTCTCAATCACTTTGACAGCACGAGTTAGCTTTGAGAACGCAGTTCCGATACATCAGGTCTAAAAATAACAAAAAACAAATAAGCTAAAGTATGGTGTCCTTAATGTCGTTCCGAAATTGGAAATACCCTCGCACGCTTATGTGTTTATCCTGCAATTAGGGGTAAAAACTTAAATGACAGATATTATTATGGGACGAAAGGTAACATTTTTTATGATTCATGTATTAAGGAAGCTGTGAACGATAAGCGTCTGTGAAGATTGAGATAGAAAAATGCTCACCTATGATCACATTTTTTGCAACTTTTGATGATATGTGTATTGCATTGTAAATTATTCTTGATAAGTGCTGTTATATAGGTCTTCAAGGTCTTCAGGTAAACCCCAAACCAAAAGTGCATTGCGAATAGATCAGGGAATAGAACAGGTTACAATTCA